AAGCTGACAAATATAAGATTACCTGTACATATATTTTACAGATATATCAGTGAGTTCTTTAGTCTGGTATGTGGAATGTTAATACAATAAATCTGGTGCTTTATTGTAATTAAGAAAACATTCCTAGTGATAACAATATGTTTGTGAGTTTGGCAGAACACTTTTGCACTTATCCTACACACATGAAATGTACAAGCTCACTTATATATAAATACCTGTATGAAACTCTGTAACATTTTCATAAATCCTTGTTTGATATTGCAGCCTTTTATCACACACATTTCTTCTAATGACATGCAGGAAAAACTTATGTAACTCTTAAAAAGAAGTGATATTGTAAGATAAACCGAAAGGGCCAATTGAGCTTGTGCTGTGGTGAGCAATCCAGCGTTCCTCAATTTCCCTTTATCAAATTCTTCTCAGTAACCTAAAGGCCTAGAATTATGATATTTGTCTGCAGTAATGAAATCCAACAATTTCTTTTCCAAAAGGAGAGGCCTCAACCAATATCCAAGGTCACAGGGGTCAAATTTGTTGAAACATTTTGATGAACCAAAAGGCCCTAGAATCATGAATCATTTGGTTGATAGGTTCCTAGGATAATGTTCAAGGTTTTGTGAAAAAAAAAAAAAAAAAACTAATATCAAAGATCGTAGGTGCCAAATTTGTTTAAACCTTCAAGTGACATCTGCAGATTAACAAAAGTTAGTCATGATATTTAGGTAACTTCTTTGGAACAAAGCCTGACGAAGTTTCCAAAAAGAAAAAGGCTTCTGCTGAATAACTTATGACCCAGAATCATGACACTTGGCTGGTAGGTTACATGGATAATTTCTGACAAATCTTTGACAAGGAAATGACCTTAACCCATATTCAAGGTCATGGGGATTAACTTCCTCATATATTTTACTGATTGAAGCCTTCCACAGTTAAGTTCATCAGCTTTAGACAGACAATGTTTACTTTGCAAAGTTGGAGTAGATTTAATTTAGAACCCACTTGTAATGTCAATAACATATCCAGCTGGTAATGTATAAGTGAAGAAGTATTAAATAACAGGTAAACAATGCAGGCCAATTAGGTATTTTGTTTACATCATATTATACTTGTTTAAAATGACAATCTGTTTTGTCAGTGCTTATATAGTTCTAGCTGTTTAGTCAATACTTCGGCAGTTCTAGCTGTTTAGTCAATACTTCGGCAGTTCTAGCTGTTTAGTCAATACCTCTGTAGTTCTAGCTGTTTAGTCAATACTTCGGCAGTTCTAGCTGTTTAGTCAATACTTCGGCAGTTCTAGCTGTTTAGTCAATACCTCGGTAGTTCTAGCTGTTTAGTCAATACTTCGGCAGTTCTAGCTGTTTAGTCAATACCTTGGTAGTTCTAGCTGTTTAGTCAATACCTCGGTAGTTCTAGCTGTTTAGTCAATATCAAGGTAGTTCTAGCTGTTTAGTCAATATCTAGGTAGTTCTAGCTGTTTAGTCAATACCTCGGTAGTTCTAGCTGTTTAGTCAATACCTCGGTAGTTCTAGCTGTTTAGTCAATACCTCGGTAGTTCTAGCTGTTTAGTCAATACTTCGGCAGTTCTAGCTGTTTAGTCAATACCTCGGTAGTTCTAGCTGTTTAGTCAATATCTAGGTAGTTCTAGCTGTTTAGTCAATACCTCGGTAGTTCTAGCTGTTTAGTCAATACCTCGGTAGTTCTAGCTGTTTAGTCAATATCTAGGTAGTTCTAACTGTTTAGTCAATACCTCTGTAGTTCTAGCTGTTTAGTCAATACCTCGGTAGTTCTAGCTGTTTAGTCAATACCTAGGTAGTTCTAGCTGTTTAGTCAATATCTAGGTAGTTCTAGCTGTTTAGTCAATACCTCGGTAGTTCTAGCTGTTTAGTCAATATCAAGGTAGTTCTAGCTGTTTAGTCAATACCTCTGTAGTTCTAGCTGTTTAGTCAATACCTCGGTAGTTCTAGCTGTTTAGTCAATACCTAGGTAGTTCTAGCTGTTTAGTCAATATCTAGGTAGTTCTAGCTGTTTAGTCAATACCTCGGTAGTTCTAGCTGTTTAGTCAATATCAAGGTAGTTCTAGCTGTTTAGTCAATACCTCTGTAGTTCTAGCTGTTTAGTCAATACCTCGGTAGTTCTAGCTGTTTAGTCAATACCTCGGTAGTTCTAGCTGTTCAGTCAATATCTAGGTAGTTCTAGCTGTTTAGTCAATACCATGGTAGTTCTAGCTATTTAATCAATACCTAGGTTAGTGCCTATGTAGCTCAGAATTTGTTGGTGCCTATGTAGCTCTGAATTTGTTGATGTCTATGTAGCTCTGAATTTGTTGATGTCTATGTAGCTCTGAATTTGTCGGTGCCTATGTAGCTCTGAATTTGTTGATGTCTATGTAGCTCTGAATTTGTCGGTGCCTATGTAGCTCTGAATTTGTTGATGTCTATGTAGCTCTGAACTTGTCGGTGCCTATGTAGCTCTGAATTTGTCAGTACCTATGTAGCTCTGAATTTGTTGGTTCCTATGTAGCTCTGAATTTGTCGGTGCCTATGTAGCTCTGAATTTGTCAGTACCTATGTAGCTCTGAATTTGTTGGTGCCTATGTAGCTCTGAATTTGTCGGTGCCTATGTAGCTCTGAATTTGTTGATGTCTATGTAGTTCTGATTTTGTCAATGCCTGTGCAGTTCCAGCTATTTCACAGTGGCAAGGTAGTTTTAGGTATTTAATCAATACCTAGGTAGATGAAGTTCTAGCTTGGTTTTTTTCAGTGCCAAGGTAGTTCTAGCCATTCTGTCATTGCCTTAGGTATATTGTATGTAGCTCTATCTATATCAAATCCTAGACAGACAAAGCTACAATGTTTATGTGTTTCAGGTAATTGTTTTAGCTACAGGAACATGGTCACCTATCTATTCAGTCAGTATCTATATTTCTAGCAATTTTCAATGCCGAGGTATGAATTAGAATGGGATTTTAGTCAATAGTTTTAGACACGGTATCAGTTTAGCCGAAGGACATCATTACTAGCTTTATCTCTATGCCTATAATTCCCCACATGTCTAGCCCAATTAGTCACAAGAATAAGTCGTTAGTTTTGGGGATCATTTACCCGGTAAAGGTTCTCTAGAGTAGCTGTTTCCTTCTCTGCTTTCTACTGTATTGACCTCATGTCAAACAATCAAGGTTGTTGTGATTGTAAATGGATTTATAACTTGATTGTATTTCCCCTAGAACAATCATCATAAAACACCACACAGCAAAACTGGCAACATTAAGGGAAGTTCATCTCTCTAATGATTTGTGAAGGTGAAGGTTAAAGCAGAAACGTTTTATATAAGAAAAAATCAATACAAGTGTTTGGACGTTTTGTTAGATTTTCATTTCTGCTCTTCACTATATCCTTAGGAGTACTAAATTTATCTTTCTCAAATTTCATTTGGAGTTTCCCCTTGGTCCATAGTTGTGCCCTATTGATTTTTGGACTGGTCAGGGAAACAATATGACTAATAGGTGTCCGTCTTTTATTTTATTAATGAAAGTTTGGTACCAGTATTTCTTCAGAAGTTGAAGATGTCCTTGTAATCCCCTCAGGACAAATACCAGGGATGGGATATAGGGCTGTTCTCGTTTGTAAAATACATACATATATCATCTTTATATCACAGATCTTGTCGAATCAGGAGGAGCTTTGTATTACTTGTGATGCCCTGTTTTTGATGGAAAGGTTACGCTTAATACACTGTAGCACCATCAATCAACACCACACAGCTGACCTGCATTCAATATACATGAAAGTTGCCATTGAATTTTGAAAAACAAACTTGTATGCAATCTGTTTGTTAACTGAATATGTTAACAGGGATGTATTTCATCTTTTTATAATCTGAATATGTTTACCAGTTTGTGTTTTATCTGCTTGTTACCTGTTATGTACAAGGACCTTGATATAATCATATTTCAATTAAGTTTTTAATCTACCTGTAATTTGTGCATGTACCTGTTATATAGGGCCCAGTGTTTGAGAATGTGCTGCAATAATTACCACCTTTTTCTCTCTGTTTCATAAGATTTTGGCATAACTTTTGAAATTTTCAATTAATTTCTTCCATCAGACTGGGGATTAATGATATTGTGTTGGGTGTTACAAACAACCAAAGCAGCAGATGCTATTTTAAGTCACAATATATCGTCCTTCAAGTTTTAGGTGTTAGGATGGGTATAGGGTATGTAGCATGTCTTCAGTAGATGTTTCTAAAATTAAGGATACCACTACTGCATGAATCTTGATATGCTCACTGCAATAGACACAGCAGTTGGGCCTTCCCTGCTCAGCCAACAGTGCCCAAGATCAACCTCTTTGTCATGTAAAATAAACTATAAAATTAGAATCCTGTGTGTACAAGCTGATTTTCTCAAAACATATCCTTCTGAAGTCTTGATTAAAATGACAGTCATCATATAGATATCTTTATAATGAATCATTCCACAATCCTTAAGGATTGTAGGAATCTATAGATCGGATTTGTCTTGATCAGTGAAGTTTGGGCTGGTTTTGATTTAACCAAACTTAAGATGAGTTTGCATTGGGGTTGGGTGAGGTTTTGCGTTGAGTTTGGGATGAGGGTTTGGGTTGGGTTTTGGTTGGAGCTTAGGATGATTGGGATTGGGGTTATGTTGGGGCTATGTTGGAGTGGGGTTTGAGGTGGGGGTTGAGAAGGGGTCGGGGAAGTATATATATATCATTGTAACAAGCGTGCATATGACATTGTATATGTGACCTGGTTTTATTGTATATACCACCATATTTTATTTATTCAACAAGAAGCCCTTGACTGGTAATGAGTCCAACACCTATATATAAACATGTTCAATAGAATTACAAACTATAGCTATTTTATTGTCCTGCAATAAGTCTACTTTTGAGTTAGAATCTACATGAAGAGTAAATGGCAATTTACCAATAACTGATGCCTTACCTGACCAGTCAATTAATTACATTTAATTACAGGTACCAGAGTTCAATGAGACATGTATTGACCTAAATCTGGGAGAGAATTGTGAGATACTGACCGGGTACAAGGCTGTGTACCGATTATGTATGGGTATGGTGGCTTTCAGCTTCATCCTCATGGTCCTGACTCTGTGTACTCGTAGCAGTGACCAATGGGCAGGCATCATCCACAATGGGCAAGTATTAGTACAGTTAACAATAAATAAAGGTGTTGTGTTTGATTCTCACTGCTCATGGCAGTTTTTGTTCTCAAGAAGCTGGGAACCAATGGATTAGTATGTATTGATGTGGTTGTCCTTTTGCAAATCACTCAACCCTTATTGCTTTGGCTGGCATGCAATGGACCTCCTGTATGTTGTTGTTGAGGAAGCCACCAGTTTTTTTTACAAGGAAATCCTGTCTCAAAATGGCCCTGGTCGTTCAATTGAGTGATATACCCAGCAAACAGACATACATTTAGTCTAAAATATTTCCTCGCTTTGTGTACCGACAGTACAGTGGCCAGCAGGCAGACAACATCTACCATGGGCAAATATTAGTTATGGTTTGCACTAGACAATCTTTGTTAAATTTCATTTCGGGCATAAAACAAGGAGGAAAGAGAAAAACATTGACAACATAGCAGGCAAGTGTTAACATTAACACTAATCGTATACTGTACCCAACAGTTAGTCCTTAGATATTCAAACATGTCCATTCTTCAGTGACCTTTGTATACAGGGCTATAACATACATTTCCTGGGATTTTGATGTATTGTGAAGTGTTTGCTCGGTATTAACTTACATTTTGCAGTATCTTTAATGACTACACATGGCAAAACTAATAATCTTCCATGAATATTACTAAGGTTATAGTAGTGTTTGACTATTTGTTGCTTATTGATATTCTAATGTTAGCCTAGTTACCATTGTAGTGATAGGGTTAGTGTTATATTACAAAAAAAATGTTATCTCTCAGTCCTTGATTTTATAAAAATATTACATTTATTTGGAATTTTCAGTATTTTCACCACCTCATTGTTAACTGTATTTATCAATGTGTTTACACAGGTTTTGGCTGCTGAAACTGCTTCTGTTGATTGGCTGCTGTGTTGGTTCATTCTTTGTTCCATACCAATACAGTAAATGTAAGTATTATATTGTAACACATCTGTTGATTGGCTGCTGTGTTGGTTCATTCATTGTTCCATACCAATACAGTAAATGTAAGTAACACATCGGTTGATTGGCTGCTGTGTTGGTTCATTCTTTGTTCCATATCAATACTGTAAATGTAAGTAACACATCTGTTGATTGGCTGCTGTGTTGGTTCATTCATTGTTCCATATCAATACTGTAAATGTAAGTAACACATCTGTTGATTGGCTGCTGTGTGGGTTCGTTCTTTGTTCCATATCAATACTGTAAATGTAAGTAACACATCTGTTGATTGGCTGCTGTGTGGGTTCATTCTTTGTTCCATATCAATACTGTAAATGTAAGTAACACATCTGTTGATTTTTGTCAAATTCAAGGTACTGTTTCATGTTTGGTTAGCTGTTATTGTGTAACCTTGCTGGTATATTACAATGATGTGTTGCTTTACATATCTGTGTAAGCCTGTTCTTGAAAATGTCCTACATATTATCAATGCATTCATTCTTTGTTGGTGTTTTTGTGTTTTTTTCTCTTTCGAATTGTATCTTCTGTTCTTTTTTTGTATTACTTTTCACATTTTACATCAGTTTTTATATGACTTTCAAACTATGTCATCAACTCACATGTGACTTTCATTTAACAAAATGTTTTTATAGATTGGATGTGCTTTTCTTTTTCAGATTGGCTGTATGTAGGAATGGTGGGTGGTTTCATCTTCATCCTGTTCCAACTAATCCTTCTTGTCGACTTCACACATTCCTGGAACGCAAAGTGGTAAGCTTTAATCTGAATAGTTCCTAGCTAGTCTGAAAGCTGAGTAGCTGAATATTCAACTAACCAGATTTTGTCAGAGAGCCTTGTGACTGAACACTTGCCTAGCTTAGTATGGTTCTGAAAGCCAAGTGATTAGCAAGCATCTGGCTAAGCATAGTCTGAAAGCCAAGTGATTAGCAAGCATCTGGCTAAGCATAGTCTGAAAGCCAAGGGATTCAATAAGCAGAGTGACTGAACACTCACCTAGCTAGTCATGGTCTGAAAGCAGTGTAACTGATCATGAACACTTACTTGAGTAGGTAAAGGTTGCAGTTGTGAAATCCAAAACCATGATATACCCCTAGTACCCTACTTTTACCTAAGCCTGAACATTTAGATAATACTTTTTATCTTACATTTTATGAACATTTAAACAATCAGTTGTAATATAATAGGTTTGAGATGCAATGTGATTGAATTTTCTGTGCAGTTACTGACATAATGCTTTCTGGGATTTTGCTAGTTTAATGTGTCATTGCCAATTGAAACTGACCCTGTAAAACAGTCCTTTTAGAACAATTTTTCAGATATGTTGTTTTGGGAACAAAGCAAATTATGATACTAAAATTTGATTTGTTTATTTCACAATATCTTTATCAATAAAGTGAAAGTTTGGTAGATCTATGAAGATTTGTTTTAATTTGAATTTTCAATTATGTCACTGACAAATATACTCTTCCCAGTATCTTGATAGCTGACAAAACTCCTTTTTTTCTGGTGATTTTTAATTAACAATTCTATTTACAGGCTGAATGTGAAGGGAGGGAAGAGAAGTACCTGTGGTTATGTTGGTAAGTTTTAAGGGGCAGTAGGAGGGAGAATGGGGTGACACAGTAGGATAAAAGATGATAGATAGATGTTTGGAATTGTAGCTTTAACTAGAAGGTTGACCAAGGGAAATAACTTATTCTTGAATAGAGATATATTTGAAGATTTACATTGTAGTAACATTTGTTGCATATATTATGTTTTTGCTACATATCTGTCTGGGTCGTTCCGGTATGTCTAATCAGTTAATTAGTATCACCTGATAAATTGTATATTATTGTCCAATCAGATTGCAGTATTGTCCGCACCTCGTGTTTTGTACACTCATTTCTGTAACAACATAGTATTGTAAAAGTTATGTACTAAAGATTATATGTTTGAAATCAATTGTAAATCATGTAATTCATCACTGAAGTGAAATGTTATTTTGTGTTACAACATAGAACCTTAATGAGTTTTATTGTTTGCAGGTACCTTGATGTGTGCAACAATTTTCTACATGATGACTGTGGTGGGCTTGTTCATGCTTTACTTTAATTACACAAGTCTCAAGGGTTGTGTGCACAACAAAGTCTTTATTGGAGTCAATGCTGGTCTCTGCATAGTGCTATCTATACTAACCCTGCTACCAGGCATCAACAAGTGTATGTTTCTCAGAACAGCCCCATGTATAAAAAAACACTTATCAGTGATTAAAAGCAATTCTGTTATAATAACACAGAAAATCTAATGTTTGCCTGATGTTATGTGGTCTTTTTTTACTGTAAATGTCACAACAATGAACATGAATGTTAAAAAATGACATGTTCCTTTGACTATGGATATATTGAAATATAATCTTTTTGTTTCAATTGATTATTCAAATGAAAGAAAAGAAAAAGAACAAACAAGAAACTTTTTTAATTTTGAATGAAATTTAAGTGAGAAATTTATTTGAAATACATGTTTAATATATGGTCTGTTTAATTAATTTCTGATTGATAACTAAGTTTGACTAGGACCAGGAAACAGAGAAATGGAATTATTGAAAAATTTACAAATCAGATAAAAAAAAAAAGCGTGATGGGGATTTGTGTTATTGAATTCTGACCTGTTTTCTTTTCAGTCAATCCTAACACAGGAACTTTACAGTCCTCTGTCATCAGTCTCTATGTGGTTTACCTCACCTGGTCAGCCCTGACCAGCGAACCACCAGAGGAAAGTAAGCAGCTTCTCTGTGAGACCAAAACATCAGGACTAAAAATCAATGGAGCATTGAATATGTTTTAAATAAAGCAAAATTATGAAATACATATACATCAATGTAAAAATTCATTTGCTCATATCCCCTTTAAAATGCTAAATAATAACTACATTGGTATTCAAATTTCTACAGCATCTGTTGCAGCAAACAGAAATGTTTTTAAGTTGGTCGCTTGTGACTTTCAGGTGTTTGGAATAAATTTGGATTTGGATAATACTAATTTTTCATAAATAACACATGATAAGAATATTGGAATAATTATCAATATTTCTTTTATGACTTGTCAGTACATATACTGGAGACAGTAAGAACCTTGATCCTGGCCAGTATGACGTCAGCAGATCAGAGCCACCTCCTGACCACGCCTGAACCTCACTTGAGGATGGAGTATGTGGCTGACCCAAGCGAGAGTTTCCATCTGATGGCCAACACCACTAAACAAATGTGTCGGCCTAAGCCAGCCTTCCAGGATATGGATATGATATCCGCATATGCTGGGTTATTTCTCATGTTTACTATGGCTATATACTCCAGGTATGAATTATAAATTCTACTTTACAACAATTGCTAAATAAGCTAATATGTCGTATTTATCACCCTTGTTGGCCGCGACTAGTGTGCAAGGGGTCTTATATGGAAGGTTATCAGAAGATACTGGGAAAACCAAGGAGGTTGAGTAGCTGACCCAATTACATCCAATTGGAAAACACATAATGTTTTTTATAAAAACAACAACTGCCTAGCAATAGTTCAAACCCTTTCTAGTCTTGCTGCACTTACAATTCAGATTGTTTGAACATATTGTGAGACCAAAGGTATAGCTATTGATTAAGGTGTTGGTGTTGCCATAATTGCTCCATGTGGTCACTATTCACATTGACGTAAAACCACTGTGGGTAGAATGCATTAAATGATCACTGTAATAGTGCCAAATCCTACACATACATTAATTAGCATTGATTCTTTCACATCTTGGCCATAGCACGGTGCTCATTCCAGCTGACACAACTTAAGGCTTCAAATCTGTATTATAAGTGAGAGATATATATGGACTACAGGATGTCGGCATGTGTATTGTCAAAGAGCAAAGGTGTTTCACTTCACATTTAGACAATCTCCTTAAGACTTTCCCAATAATTGAAGAAGTCCTAGATATTTTAACAACTAGCAATCTGTAGTTATTAGTCTTAATCCACACTCTGAACATGTCAGTCATGTGCTTTTTTAGGGCTACATGTAGCATGGTTTCTTCATCGTGATATCCAACATGAAGGAGAAAAAAATAAAACCGGTTATTTCTGAACAGTTGATTGATATATATTGCAGAAGAGAAAGTCTTTCACAAGATAATCTAATCATTATCACCATTTTTTACCCAGAATATCCCATTACCAACTGGTAGTTTCCTGCCTTGTAAAGAGGTTTTAGACACTTATTTCAGGCAATGTTGACTCTGATCGTTCAAATTTTAATTTATTTCACAAACATAATTTTGTATAATTTGAACAGATTCAACAATGTTTTATTCAAATTTGTTTGGACTAATCAAAATTTAACCATACATGCATTTGCTAATTACTTTAATGTGCATCTGTAGATCTGTGTTTAATCAAAAACTGATTGAAAAAAATCTTACATGAACCAAACCCGGTAACAGGAGATCATATTTTCATCATAAAATCAGATTATAATGTTCCATATTGAGTAAGATTTTCCTGGAGATCGGTCGTGATCAACAAGCTAGTGTAATTTGTTCTGCTCTTTGTAATTAAGCAATTTAGATAAAAAATAAGACATTTATGTAGTTGTACATGTATTTTTGTTTTGTTGTGAAATATTACCTGCACTAAACGACAATAACATTTTTGTAAGTTATTTATAATGTATTAATAGAGGAATTTCTAGATGTGGACATCACGAAGCAGGGCAATTACACAGTCATAGAAAATTTGGTGTTTTGAGTTAAATAAGATTACTGTAGTATAATTAGGACTTATGATTTTCCAGCCTTGCCACATCAGCTGGCTCTCACAAGTTGGGTGTGCCTCGACAAGCAGACCAGGTAAGTACACCTTTAATTAGCTTGCCATACAGGTTTGTACAGTGTGTTATGATACTTGAATATTGATCAAGGTTACTCAGGTATCTTCAGCATAAGAAATCTTCTGTATTCTGTTTATGTGTTGTCATGTCATTGTCCATTGGTAAAGTATAATTGATTTAACTACACTGACATCTGATCATTGTCATGATTACCTGTACAACTGTGTGTTTAAACCTTCAAAATTATGTTTCTTAAACATATTTAACGAAAGAAAAATTTTCAACTGAAGTTTTTACTTACAAAATTTTAGAGAGCAACACAATTTCAATGAGTTCTCATTGAATACACTGATATGTAAATGAGACCATTAGATATTCTTTCTCTCTGTCTGTATATATATATACTGTATATATATATATATATATATTGTATATTATATCTCGCTATAAGAAAATATGCTGTATTTATATGATTTAATTTATGCCAACATTCTATATGTTAACAGGATGTAAAGCATTATGAATGCTGTTGCTGCTGTCCTGTAAAGCCAAGTAAGTATAACAGTGTGATAGGGTTGTTTTCAAGGTGTGTGCTTGGTATTTCCTCACTTGGAAAATATCAAGAGGAAACGAATTAGTTTCTAAATGCAGTTTGGATTAGACTTGATTGAACCATGAGATCAGCAAATAGACTGAAATATTTTTATCTTCCTTCTTCATTGTGGTTGCTATTTGATATAAACTTTATTTATTTACAACAAATGAGCACCAAGTTATCCACCTAATATTAATCACACTTGTTGGCCCGGATATAAGTGTGCCTTACTGTGGATGGAAAGAAAAGTATCTGCAGAAAACACACATAATTGGGAAAGTGACAGACTGACTCCCGTACCTTTTCATGTTCGCTTGGGTAATAAGACCTCAGATGTCTAGGTTGTTGCTATTGAATATGAAAGTTTTCTAAAACATTTTATACCATGTAGAAATGGGAACTTTAGGACAAAGTTCATCAATCCCAGTATCATCTAGTTTTCAATACTGCCAGCTGACAACATAACCTTTTTTTCTCCAAATATGTCAGGTCCACAATACTTCTTAACCACCACACAACTTCTCTGAGTATGGACCAGTCCTCAATACTGCCAGTAGAACACAACATTTGTTTATCATAAAGTTTTCAGCAATGTCTGCCAGTTTCCTACATTATTCACACCCAAGTCAAGAAATCTGTTCATATCAAATATACCTAAGTAGCTAAAATGAAAAGGAAACAATATAATCATATTCACCAAAGATCCTAAAACTAGAAAATGAGTCGTGGTAGATAAATTGTTTTAATGGCTATTTTTGTTTCTCTATTTCAGGGAAAAACCCAACAGATCATGGTGGTCAGAAGGTCAAATACAATGAGTCAGAGGGTACCAAGTACAATTACGCCTTCTTCCATTTTATATTCTGTCTAGCCAGTCTTTACATCATGATGCAGCTCACTAACTGGTACAGGTGAGTAAGACTTATAAAGGTGAGCTTCTGTACCACACAATGAAAAACTGCACAAAAATATAAAGGTGAGCTACTGTACCACACAATGAAAAACTGCACTAAAATCATCACATGTTAATTCCCTCCAATACCACACCCTCCGACAGGAAATACTCAAACACCAAAATGAAAATATCAAATATATTTATTGTAATGAGCGCATAATCGCCACTGACCGACAGTTTCACAATGTAAGTACAAATACATTGATAACACACTCACTCACCAATCTATCTTTCAACTTCATGACAATCTAAACATCCTGTCAACTCCGTAATTCATACAAAATCAGTTTATTAAAGTTTTAAATTTATTTACTGAAAATTATCTTTAAAATCAAGTCATGTGCACTGTCGGAGCGACTATCGCTGAATGACCCGACAGTCACCGACACCTCGTGCACGTGCATTCACAACACCCTCTATCGGAAAGTATGACACTGAAGGGAAAATAATTATCGGCTAATTCTGTACCATCAAACTCCGATAATTATATTTTTAGCCGGTACAGGTTAGTAAATCTTGTAAAGGTGAGCTACTGTACCACGCAATGAAAAACTGCACTAAAATAAACGCAGGGAAATCTGAGCTAGGCTGTTCAGATGAATATATAACTGTAAAGGTAAGTTACTGCTTATGCAGGTGAGGAACAAATACATGGAGATTTTGGATGTCATCATAAGTGTTCTTCCACTGAGACATAACAGCTCATATCCTACAATATTCTATCTGATATCAGAAATACTGTTTTGGTCATAATATTACATTATAATTTACACATCCAACTTTTTTTCAGACCAGCAGAGTCTAACTTGGATATGTTTGGCCTGAACTGGGCTGCTGTGTGGGTGAAGATGACCTCAAGTTGGGTATGCGTAGTGCTGTACATCTGGTCACTTTTCCTACCAAAGCTTTGTCGAGGTCGCGACCTCACCTTCATTAGGCATCCTCAGCCTGATGAACAGCTGGACGAGATCGACCAGGAAGAATTAGACAATCTGAATGGACCTATCAACCCAGAAGCTGTTGTTACTTCAAGAGAATCTGTTGTTTAGTGGTACAGAGCTGACATCACTCATCAGTAACATCGGTATCATGATCCATGTTTTAATCAAAGTCATAAGTTCACTTTGATCTTTTGTAAATGACAACACTTGTAGTGAGATTCTCTGAAATTCATGGTCACTGAATCTCTTTCCAAGGATTTGAAAGTGATTTTAGTGGGGCAGCATGGTCTTTATTTAAAGTGAGATAGAGGTAATGTAGAAAAGATGAAGGAGTCAGTCCTTTGATGCCAATAAAGAAGTTGGTATATAGCACAGACTGTTTGAAGTGGACACCACTGCAGCTTCTATGTAAGGCCATATATGATATAAAGATCGACATAGATGTCATTCAGCATTGATCGTAAAGGCGTAAATTTAATGGCAACTGTTCTAGTGTCAAAAAGGCGAGGTCTGATGATGGTTGTCACTCAGCATTGTTTGTAAAGGTGTAAATTTAATGGCAACTGTTATAGTGTCAAAAAGACCAGGTCTGATGATGGTTGTCACTCGGCATTGGTTGTAAAGGCATAAATTTAATGGCAACTGTTCTAGTGTCATAAAGACCAGGTCTGATGATGGTTGTCACTCGGCATTGGTTGTAAAGAGGTCAATTTAATGGCAACTGTCATAGTGTCAAAAAGACCAGGTCTGATGATGGTTGTCACTAAGCATTGGTTGTAAAGAGGTCAATTTAATGGCAACTGTCATAGTGTCATAAAGACCAGGTCTGATGATGGTTGTCACTAAGTGGTTGTAAAGAGGTCAATTTAATGGCAACTGTTATAGTGTCATAAAGGCCAGGTCTGATGATGGTTGTCACTAAGCATTGGTTGTAAAGAGGTCAATTTAATGGCAACTGTTATAGTGTCATAAAGGCCAGGTCTGATGATGGTTGTCACTAAGCATTGGTTGTAAAGAGGTCAATTTAATGGCAACTGCTATAGTGTCATAAATTCCAGGTCTGATGATGGTTGTCACGAAGTGGTTGTAATTTCGTACATCAGGTGACAACTGCTGTAGATAGCCAATATTGAACAGTGTCAGGAAGGCTAGGTCTATTGATGATTACCATATATGGCTGTCACCTAGTAGTAGTCATAAGTGATAGCTGGGCAGCACCAGTAAAGCATTGTCTCATGATTGTTGCCAAATGTTGCTGTCATTGAAATAAAAAAAAGAATCTGGTTGTGTTTGGCATAGAAAGCTTTCAGATAGGCCATTATTAATTGTCTGGGATAGGTGCATGTGAATGGTTGTGTTTTTTATAGGATAGTATACTGTTATTTTACAATCTCGATCATTAGAGAATGATTTGGTGGTATGTTTGTATTTTTGTCAAAGACATTACAAATTTAAGGAAACAGAATATCCTCTATAGTGTGCGCACATTTATTCTTCTGTTATTCATCCGTCACTTTAACCACTTATAAAAGGAATTCTTCCTTGGAATAAAATTGGAAATTCATAATTCAAACATGTATAAAAAAAATGTTTATTTTTTATAAGTGTCATTATTTATATTTTGGTTTTCAGGTAAATTGAAACAATTTTGATAATCTGCTAACATACAATAGAAAAATTTGCTCAAATATGTTTATTCTTAAAACTCATTAAATGTTATTGTTTCCAATAACCTGACTGGTACAGAACTGATCTAGACACAAATGCAGTGTATCAGTATTTATAGAAATAAAGATTGTCTCAGTTTTTAGAGAATCTCATACCAAAGTACTGGGTTACCTGTTAATTGATGTAACACTACATTTATCATATTATAACCATAATTCAAATGCCTCACTCACAGCTAAGTGTGTATATATTGTGAATGATACCACAATGTATATATTCTTTTTCGCATAATTTTGATCATTTTGTCATTATTTCACAAAAAGGTTTTATTTTACAGAAATAATTTCATTTCATTAGGAACTCCTACCTGATTCATAGCAAACTGGCTGTACTTTGATGAGTTTACAGAAAAGCTTAATGATAGCTATACCATGACTTTTTACATGATAATTTCATTGTTTTTGTACAGGACTTTTTGGAAACAGTGTTTTCAATTATACGAATCTACTTAGATATTCTGATAGACTTGTTCTTTCAATGAGTGCTTTCTCTATAAATTTGTACATTATTTTCCTATCCTAGATTCTCCCATTGTTTTAAAAGTTATGCAGCATTATGGGGAAGTCATTTCATGCCACGACGAGTGTTTGAAGGGGATATTGAAAAAATTGTTGCCACCTAAAATCGGACACAAATTAGTAACAAGTGCAATATTATGTTATTGATATCCAGTTTGTAATATGGTTTACAAAAAAGTGTCTTTAATGAATTATTTGATTGGCGAATATTGTGGTAAAATTTTCACATTTTCCTTCATAATATTTTTTCATAATAAAGCAAATCTGTATATTTGGTAAATATCATATCAATGTGATTTTAAATCTCTATGGCTGTTTCATAATTTTTATGAGAATGTTTTTTGTTAGTGCAGTATTTTATACAAGATAAGCGTTATTTAAAAACCAATGTAAATTTCCACTTTTTGTAAAATGAAAATATTTATACTTAAAGTTTATTTGATACAGAGCTAGAAATCAAAATTAGTTCGTTCTATGCAAATTTTTTTCTTAAATACCACTACTGTATCTTATTGTAAAGCATTGCCTTTCTTGGTCAGGAATATAGAATTGAAATAATTTTGGTATTACTTGACATCATTATACAATATGTATTTGTTCTGTTTTAAGCCATGAACAACAAATTTGTTATCAGCATTCTTTAGATAGATGTGAAAAATATAGTATATATTTGAAAGATTCACTTTTTTAGAAAAAAAAATTTAGAGATTCACTCTTGTCTATTTAGATAATTGATTTAATTTGACTTCAATTTAATGACTGTAATTTGAATGAAAATTTTAAATGTTAAATTGAATGTTCTCTTTATCTTTATTTCACATAATAAGAAATAAAATTTGGATTCATAAAAATTGTCTTCCAAGCAAAGCCTTCTCTGTTGCCATGATTGTCATATCAAAATAGATCACTGTACATTGTAGAACATTGTAGCAAGCATCATATTTTTTCTATCTAGACATTGCATTTTATTAACATTATGTATAAAAAGTTTGGAATATGTGTATAAATATCATTATCTTGTTGTCAAATTTAATTTTAAAATTTGCTCAATACAGTTGTTGTAACTATTAAGATTTCACAAAGACTAGATATTCTACAAAAAAAATCTTTTTTGTAGAAATTTTGATAAATCTCTGCTTTTTCAAAAATCTCAGTAAAATATCAAGATAAGGAAAAGATTGAAAATTGTTGTTGGTTTGTTATTTCTGCTCAAAAAATTAATGAACAACATTTCCAAAATCTTAATAAATTCTGCAAGAAACACCGCAGTGAAATGACATGATTCATAATCTTTATAAAGGAAACACTTCAATGGGATTTAAAATTTTCCGAAAAAGTTGTTTTAACTTTTGTGAACATTTTTTATTTAGTCTACCATAAGGTGTTAGATACCTATATGGTCTTAATTTGAAGAAAAAAAAAAATCAAAAACTAATACTTTTGTGACATTTTATAAAATCAATTTTATGTTTTATCATTTGAAGTTTGTTACAGGTAATTTAGATTTCTATAGGGTCTTAAATAGTGAATGCTTTTAAACAAATGCCAATACATTATATTGAGGTCAGTACAACCATTTGTTGATTTTGGGTACAACTAGACCAGGAAAGAGCGTTAAGGTTGATAGATTTATCGCAGTTGATTGTTTTGTTGATTTGTACAATATTCTGTTATGATTATTATTCTTTTTTAAACGTTTTTAGATTATACACATGCAAATGTCTTTTATTCTACAGAATTGTAGTTCAGAGAAAATTTAATATATGATAAATTAATGGCTTTGTTTCTTCTGTACAAGGCATGTTTTATCCATGTCTGGCCACAGTTTCACAAATCTCCATTAACTTAAGGAAATCTTAACTACTACAGTAAAGCATTACGTAATTCAAGGAAAAACTTAAAGGAATTTTCCTTATCTTACGTAATGCTTTCCAATGGGCAATTTTAAGGTAAGAAAAATTCCTTAAGTTTAGGAATATTTATAAAACTGGGGCCTTTTGTGAGGTCAATATTGTCTTCAATTATCAAACTAATGTATAAGATGACATTAGAATCAGGTAGATTGGTATATTTCAAGCATACTTGAATGTGTGTTGTTTTGTACTTTAAAGAATTACTATTAAGTTTGTAACAACTTATTAGGAAGATATTGAACTTACTTGTCTATAATTACTAATCCAAATTAAGTTTTTTCAGTGTATAACTAGCTATATGTTTGAGCTCTAACTGTATGCTGCTGTATAATGGAATGTATACATAAAGAATATTTTAGGTTTCAATTTTTCATGATTGTGAAATCTTACCATCAGATCATGTTGGAGGCCTTACATTTTTTGTAAACTGGAAACAGCACAGTTTAAAAAAAAAAATTAATATATCAATGAATTCTTTACTTTTTATATTTATTTTTTTGAGACAAGTATCAAACTCTAATTCTTGGGTTAGCGAATTATATTTTCAAAAGTTTATTGATAAAATTGCCTAACTGCTTTTGAACTATGACGATTTCCCAAGTATTCACTTTGTTGTATTGATGTATCTTTTCATCTTCTTTCCAGAAGTAAAAGGATAAAAATAACTACTTCTCATCAAAAATAAATTGATAAAAATAATATGCTGGAGAAATGTGTATAGGTTTCCTATATAACAAAATTTTATATTCCATTGTCTATTGAATATAGAGACCTGCCTCCCTTTGCTTTGCAATGTAGTCAATGCTATTTTAGTCACAGAATTTTTGTCAGCATAGTCTTTTTGTACATGTGCAATATTTGTTTCATTGTATAGCCAAATAGTTAGCTATTTATGTCGGTTTGTGATTTACATGTATTATTTTTGTTATTGAGCTGGGTAGAACACTGTTATTCAGATAGCTGTTCACAGCTTTTCTTTTTGATTGGCTAATTATGATGAAAGTTTTGATACTGATATTGTAGGTTTTTGGTTATAGAAACTTGGTTGTCACAGTAAACAAATGTTGTTGAGTAAACATTTTAATTTTGTTACAGTTGCCTCCCCTGAATAGGCTATAAATGGCAGGTGTTAGCTACGTGCAATATATAATTGAGTTAAAGCCATTATCTAGGTGACAAGTTGTTTTTCCATTAAATGATTTTGTTAACACATCAGATTTATTCTCTTCAGTAAAATAATCATGACCAAAATTCTACATAGTAAAGGAGGATTTGTTTGATTCTGTTCAGTTCATGTCCTATATTGCAAATTGTGAATATTTCATTGGTGCACAATAGTTGTAAGATATTGTTTGGTATTAGTTTGACAGACTGACTGTATTACAAGTTCTAGTCACGTCATAAATGATTTTTTTGGCAATGTTGAAATCTTTTTGGTTATTACAAGCCTCTGTTTCATGTAAAGCTATTTTAATGAATTTCAGTTCTAAATTGGTAATAACCCTTCTCCCGAAATGATTGGAAAATATGCACAGCTTTGCTGAATATTATCAATCACTCAGTATAAAAGCCAGGATTTGATTTAATAGTGGATAAACAGGGAGTAATATACTTCCATTCTATATTTTCTCATTTCAATTTTCCTTCTAAATTTTCATTTTATTATCCTTTATCATTGATGTCATTCCCGTTGATGCAGTTATAATCGTTAATTGTCATACAAGTATACTTTATCTATTACAATCTTAAAGGTGCTATTCATGTTTCTATATCTCTTCATTTGGCCAAACTGATTTGTTCTTTTTCTTTGGAATTCATGAAAATTTATAAAATTGTAAAACTAGATTGTATAAGTACATGACTAATATGTTGAACTGTTGATATCAGTACAGATTGTTATAATAGCAATGAACAGATATATTGAGGCTGTGGAAAAAATTAAAGCTTTCTTGTAAATTGTATTGCAAGTATGTCATAAAAGAATGACATTTTGAAATTAAGGTGATGTTTTGTTTTTAAATGCTTTCATTTGCTTAAACTTTATTTAACCAGGAGACTGCTGGGTCAGTCATTTTTTCTGTGTTGCCCTAACTTTGGTATTACGATATAATTGCAGTTTGAGAATATCTATGTTTGCCTATACATGTAGCTAAGCTTATATGTATATATCGGATAAAGAGCATTGTTTCATGTAGCCTGGAGAATGATTAGAATAGTATGTACTTTATCATTCATAGATATAGAGTTTTTAACAGATTTTTGATTCCCCTTTACCAGATGAAGCCTTTTATGAACATTTGTTAACCTACAAATGTACTTTCTGTTTAGGGACATGTACAAACATGTTGCTTATCTATTGTCTCCTGAATACATTGTTATGAATAACACAAGACCTTTATTATTTATCCTCTTAAAAAACACTATCTACTAGATTTGTGTCACCATCTTGAAAATAAATATTCAAAAGATATGTTTGTTTAGCGTTCCTTTCCTTATTCATAACTGTCAGTTAGGAATTTTGAATATGAACTGGTTTACTGAAAATGTCATGTACTTATTAAAGTATTTAAAAAAATCCAGCATTGTCCTATAAGTTATCTATACTAGATGAAATATAACAGAATGCAGATAAAACTGTACCCATGGGACCAGTTCACCTACTGTCAGGAGCGTCTCGATATTTGAATGCCTTAATATACATTATATAAGTGCTGATGTGTATATTGTATATAAAAGTGACCAGCAAAGCCAGAAATTTCACTGGGTTGTTCAAGTGGTCAAGGTCAGTTAGTTAGTGTACAATACACTGTATGAAATTGAAGTCAAAGACATATTCCTAAACATTGTACAAAAGATTTAAATGACAACTGGTACAGATTGGTCTGTTTCTGTTCACTGTGGACAACTACAACTGATGACAATTGTCCTTAATGTTAAATACTACAGATGAAAACTGGAACTCAACCTTATGTGTTGTTAAATGAGAGGTTTTAAAATATAAAGCTTCAAAGTTTTTTTAAAAAGTTTTTAGAAGATTTTTGTTAACTTAAGTTGATTATTTATCATCACAAGCCATAGTGAGTGTTTTGTAAAGTTGCAAGTTGGCAACTAACCACAAAGTGAACAGTATTCAGTATCTGTAATGATATTGTTACGTTGACTAATATGATGTATCTTTGTGTTATTCCTTGCACTTTACTGTTGTTTTGATGTTTAAAACAACTTTCCATTAAATTTATGTATAGATATTTTGCAAATTTTGTAGTCAGCTTTGCCAGTGGTTATAACTACTCTGATGTTGTGCCTTTCTGTAGTCTGATGTATGTGGTCAAGGTCAGAGGAAGGATCAAATAAACTTTTTTTTATTTATTCATACACTTCTTTTGCTTTTTCTTTGTTACATAGCTTTTTAGCGCAAATAAAACCTAACTATAAGAATTATTCAATACATTGACTTCCTTTATGAAAATTCACGATTTCTTTTCAGAGTTTTTTTCTTTTACATTTTTGCAAATAAATGCGTCAAGTTACATTTTAAAAAATGGGAATACCGTTACGAACCGTTGATTTAACTGCTACACAGACTTGGAGTATTGATTTCACTCACTTTAACACTTTTATCTGAATTATAAACAATGACTTCATATTTCATATACTGTTTCAAATTTTCTGTTATTCTGAAGTTGCTTTAATTGCGTATTGTGATGAAAAAGTCGTGAAGTATTTTATGTATGATCTGTATGTTAGATAGATTTAGTATCTGAAACGCAGCCATTTTGCTGTTTCTTTCTCTTTATGGTCGTTAATGAATGAAGGTACTGTAGGCTCCACTGTGTTTCAACGATACTTTTATGATGTTTCATATAATCTGCAAATATGAAACCTTGCCTTTCATGATTTACATAAACCTCAATTTTGCATCAGTCTACATCAGAAAATCATTAATACAGTAAGTATTTTGTCTTTTGATTTGTGCATTTGTTTTGTCTTTTGCTCAATTCCCAGGAGTTTCTGAAAATTTCTGTATTTTAAAATCAATAACAGCTAATTCTCTCCCGTCTTACCTTTGACCATTAAAACATTACGCAACAAAATAAAGTTAGATTATTTAAGGTTAATCCATTAGATCATTGATATTATTGAAGTTCTAGATATCATGTATTTTGGAGGCATTTCAATCATGCAGAAAGTTTAGAAAGGTGGCACCATGCATGTTTACTACTACCTTTTGTAAATGAACTCTCTCCAGAACAAGATATTTCTTCTAATTCCAATGCAATATTTTCGTGTGTTCTGAGTTATCTTTCCATGTTGTCATCAGTTAGACTGTGTTTTACATTTAAATGGACGAAAAAGATTGCAGCTTTATTCACTATTCATTGTGTGCTGTTTCTCTTGATATTGAAGAGGCACTATTGATTTGTGTGTATTTTATATAATCCATTTAGAGCAGTAGATGGTAAACTTCAATGTCCATTGCAACATCTATATTCATATGAATAGAAACATCAGTTCAGAATATGTTCTGACCACAATTTTAGTTTATCACTGTCTAAGATTTACAGGGTGGATTAAAAAGACCAGTATTGGTTTAGACTTGATAGGTTTTACTAAAATAATTTTGGATTTCCTCACTGTTTGTGCAACAGTACAAAAATGTCTGTAACTTCTGTTATTAGACAAAGTCCTCTAGCTTTTATTATCTTAATCAATTTGTATTTGTATGAAAACACTTTTCACTTTGGTCCTTTTTACAAACTACATATTTCACCCTTTTACAGAGGCTAGGCAAATGTTACTGCACACTGGATTTTTACTTTAATTAAAAGTTTAATGTGACAAAGTCATTGATCATGATATTGTGTTCTACAAGTATGTACAGTTTCAAAAACAATACAGTTCGTTATGCATTGAGCAACACCTTTACATTCAGCTTGCATAATTGGTATTCCATTATTTCGTTTAAGAATTTTTAAGTGCTTCAATGACCATGTGACTGATGTCGACTTGACATCTAGGTAAGTGAAATTGCGGTAGTCTTGGACAGACCCCAGTTTCATGAATCCTCCTCAATGCAAGGGATTTTCTTAAACTTAAAATTACCCATAGGAAAATAGTACATTCTTTTTGCCTGAACGTAAGTAATGCTTTTCTATGGTGTCCAAATTTTCTCAAGGAAGAATATTGAAACTGGGGCGTGGTTAGCCATTATTATGTGCAGGTGGGATGTCATCCTACCAGATATTGAAATTTCAGGGTGATAACGCTACAAGGTTAATCTCTATCACCTATGGATATGACGTGAAACTCAAGGACGCACACGAGTTGCAAAAGTGCAAAATGGTCTAAAATATTGCATTTAATTTTGGTGAATGTAATACGAATTATTTCTACTTTTAATGTAAATACATAGGTGATCAAATATTATTCATTGATATATTGCTGAAAACGGCTATTAGAAACGTTCTCGAGAACAATAATTAACAACATTCTGTGACGTGTAAACTCCACAGGGCTCTGTAGTCTAACTTGGGTCATAAGAGTCCGTTTACAAAAATGTCACTGTTGACCGAACATGATGTAGCGATCATAAAGTAGCTGTATAGGTCATTGATTCCTTCATGCATGAAATATATTCAGCAGTTTTTATAGTCATTGAATTCCTAATTTAGAAGTCATCGGGTTTGAAAAAGGTCGTGGAAAACAGTTCACTTGATTTTGAACACAAACAGGTAAGCATTGTTTGAACTGTTAGTTAGAAGACTTAACTGGTAAGCATTTGACCCAATGCCTACACCAACGCTAAGGATATTGGCTGTAGGGTCTCTGATATCGAGGGCCACCTTATTTATCTTGTCTATTTTTTACATATTAGCAGTCTGTTGTTGAATTAAGCGTCTGATCTAGATTGATTACCGATTCAAAACCAAAATATGGAAAACGGATTTAATGAAAACAAAGCATTGCACGCTTTATAAGGAAAAGCTCCGAGAAATCCTATAGTGCATTTCACAAGGTATACTCTAGAGGATAGCAGAATGTTGTTAACGCTGAATTTCCGGGTTCATTTGCCGGTAGATAAATTGATATATCATCATCATACATAAACAACAACTAGGTAAGAATAGAAGGAATTACCCGATAGCGTTATGAAACAGCACACTGTGTGTTTTAGTGTTGTAACACGAGATTCGTGGCTGTTATTCTTCCATGTAATATGACGCATTAATTTACACCAATCTTATTAAAATACTGATCTTAATTTACCTTTCCAATACTTTCCGTTCATTACCGGAGTGGTAAATTGTGGCAGGTTGTAATTTACATAAGGTTATCCTAATAACGGCTATACACAATATTTTATGTGTGTTTATGCACAAGACGACCTGCTATAGTTACACACGTGTTAAGAGCTAAATGTAAGCATGTATGTGTGTTGTGTGGTGTTTATATGTACACGTGAAAATATCGGATGTATGACATGCTACGAGATGTACAGGCTTACATTCTCCAGATATGTAGAAGTCATGAACATCAGCAGCTCCAATAACTGTTAGGAACAGTAAAGAAAATGTTGTTTTTATGTTTCTAATTCATTTTTATTTAAAAAATATGATTATTATTAACTTCAAAAAATGATACGTGTACCAAATTGATATATATGGTTTCATTTCTTTATATATATATTATATATATATATATATATGTGTGTGTGTGTGTGTGTGTCTGTGTGTGTGTGTGTGTGTGTGTGTGAATGCTTTTGAGATAGAAATACCTTACTTTGTTATTAAGAACTTTAAGAGGTAGTGGATGCTGGTCCTAAACATGTTTGGCTTTATACAATAAACATGATGCCAGTTTTTCCAACGTTATATTGCTATTTCATGTTTTTCGTCTCTTTTACCGAGTAACAAAGTGTTTGCCGTTACTACCATTTTCGTTTTCGATAATTTCTTCAAAATATGTTGGTAATTCCTCTTACTGTGTTAACTGTTGATTATATTTATTTCATTGTGTATGTAGGAAACACAAGCAATCTTACTTAAATATCATGTTAATTTATATTAAAATTGATAAACGTCTGCAAGCAAATGTTCAGAATAACCTTGTACTGTAAAGGATGCAGCGACCGTATTGGATGATATAAAAGAGGAGGACAGCAGATCATGGATTTATTTTGTAATGATATTATGTGGAAACACAATTTTCAATTGTAGGAAACACCAGTCTCTATACAAAATGTCTGCTGAAGGTAGCCATAAGGACGATTGCAATGGTCCTGAAGTTAGAAGTCACAAAAATGGAAAACATGGGCACATCCTTACAGATCAACGTCATGGAAATCAAGAAAGTCATAAGCGTGAAGGTCATTGCCATGCTGACGAAGGACACAAAGGGGACAGTCATGAAGGTCATGAACACAGAGATGAATGTAACCCTCATAGAGACGAAGGTCAAGGTCACTGCCATAAAGGTCATGAAAAGGGTGAAGATCATGGTCATGGTCATCAGATAATGGACGCTAAGGCATACACGGAATATTGGAAGACCGATGACGTCATCATCAAAGAACCTCATGAATGTTTGATCAAGTATCAAGAAAACATTCTAAGAGATGGCATGGAACGTCTCAAAATCCTTGTACCCATGTGTGGAAGGGTCTTTGAGTTGAAATATTTCGCAGACCTTGGGCATGAAGTGGTCGGTGTAGAATTCGCAGAAATTGCCATTCAGCAGTTTTTCAAAATATTTGATATTGGTTACGAGACAGACCCCATTGACGAAACTACTGGTACGGTTTATAGGAGCACGGATGATAAGCTGAATATCCTGATATACTGCTGTGACGTGTTTATGTTCGGACCACACCTGGAAAAGGACTTCCGGGCTGTCTGGGACTCTGGTGCGATGCATTCTCTACAAAAGAATCAAATGATGGACTACGTGAGAGTTATGAAGTCGGTCCAGCATTCGACATGTAAAAGTTTGGTGGAGTTTACTCACCCAAGCTGTGGTGGTGTTGTATCAGCAGCCGAGCTCCAGTCTATGTATGGAGAAGATAAGACAGTCAAAGAGCTGGGTTACACCAAAACAGCGAGAAAATATTATATCGATTTTGAAATAGAAGGGTTCTACGTGTTTCTCGTTTCTCCTAAGTGACCATGCTTCAGATCATTCCGAGAATGGAATAAATTATCATTATAGATCAGTTATGGAATTGTATGTTTGCTTTTCAAAAGAAACTATTCGTTTATTCTTCTTAACGTTCAAGTACCATAAACTATGCATTTTACACGTGCTGTATAAACAATCTATCTTAGGACACTTAAAACAAGGAAGCAAATAGACTGCACGTAGCGTTTTCTTCTGACTGGTTAATGTCAGTTAGAATAAAAAGTTGGTCGATTCCTTACTGCCTCGTTCAATAGGAAGTCAATGCTCGTACGCTTCCTTTTAATAATTTGTTGATGAAGGTGACCGTGAAGTCACTATAACATCACACTCCTATCTTTACTTATTGTGTTATAAGATGAAGGTAACCGTGTAGTCATCGAAATGTCACACTCCAATCTTCTACTGATTGTGTTATAAGATGAAGGTGACCGTGTAGTCATGGAAACGTCACACTCCAATCTTCTACTGGTTGTGTTATAAGATGAAGGTGACCGTGTAGTCAACGTCACACCCCAATCTTCTACTGGTTGTGTTATAAGATGAAGGAGACCGTGTAGTCAACATCACACTCCAATCTTCTACTGATTGTGTTATAAGATGAAGGTGACCGTGTAGTCAACGTCACACCCCAATCTTCTACTGGTTGTGTTATAAGATGAAGGAGACCGTGTAGTCAACGTCACACTCAAATCTTCTACTGGTTGTGTTATAAGATGAAGGAGACCGTGTAGTCAACGTCACACCCAATCTTCTACTGGTTGTGTTATAAGATGACGGTGACCGTGTAGTCAACTTCACACCCCAATCTTCTACTGGTTGTGTTATAAGATGAAGGAGACCGTGTAGTCAACATCACACTCCAATCTTCTACTGGTTGTGTTACAAGGAATGCTATTCTGATGTTGACAGTATACGGTTACCTCTGCTTAGTGATATTTCTCATTACACAAAAAACTTAAGAGATTTCTCGATAAGTCAATAATTAGTAAAACTATAATTTATCAATTTCACACAATATTTCTTAACAATTGACACTGTTATATAAAGTTGTATTACACTCATAAAAAAATATTTCCGCCACATTTTAGCTGATAATGGTTTGGAGTAAGATTTGTAGTCTATCAACAATGTAACCATAATCTGCACAATATGTTAAAGATCCAGACCCATATCTGAATTACTGTTTTTGAGTAAGACTGACCAGAATGAGGACGACGAGGAGACGATCCCCAGACAGTGTATCGTTTAGTGTAAAGAAATATATACATTTAGCTTCAATAAGTAGTATACGCTTATCCACGTACTAAACATGGCCAGATTTTCTTCGTGGAAAGAACTACATTACTCCAAGATGTCGCTATCATTTTTCTTACATTTTATATCATGGTTGAGATATAAAAACATACATTTACATGCATTATTTCATACATATTGTTCATCATACTAATTAAAGTTTCTGCATATGATTTATTACAAGGCTATCGCGAAATCGAAATCATCATGTAAAACTGACTTCAAAAGAGCACATCGGACCACGCACGAGTTTCATTTTCATGTTAAACGTTAAGAGTTCGATATAGTAGAATCAAACAATGAATTTAACTGCATCATACAGCAGCTTCGTCCATCTATGACTCGTCAGTGACACCGAGGGCGACTTCAATTATAAACCTTGGAGGCGACAGAGAAAAAATTAAAGTGATAAAAGTTTAATCCAGGATGGGGCGATGCATTATCCCAATAATTCAGTAACTTTCGTAAATCTGATAATTGTAGAAGAGTGTAAGAGCAAATATTTCAGTTAACCTGATATTGACTGCCTGAATCAGATTTCAGTTATCTCCAGCTTTGTTTCTGTCATGTTTTTCTTTATTACTACAAATATATAATTTCCACCTTGTACATGTATAAATATTGAAACAGCTTTGTTTCTGTCATGTTTTTCTTTATTACTACAAATATATAATTTCCACCTTGTACATGTATAAATATTGAAACAGCTTTGTTTCGTTTTATGTACTTGTAATCACGATTACTCTAATAGGCATATTGATATTTTCAAATAAAATTATTGATCGGCGTTTTTTTTTTCTCTTATCTCTCTAGACTTTCAGTAAAGAAGACAATTCTGGAACTTTAACACGTGGGAAATATTACCAGAGAAATTAGTGTATTCTGCGTAGTGTATCATATATTAGCATGAATTGTACTCGCAGTGAGATCAGTTACAAAGACAACGACCCAATATACTGAAATTGGGAAAGGTGAAAAAAGATATTTTGAATGTGTAATCAACTATTGATTTAAGTTTTAAGTGTTAAGTTGATAAGCCAAAACACATTGGTTTCAACGGATAGTGATTTCTGTCCCAGCAATATGCAGTGTACCACACAAATAACTGTTATGTAACTTATTTCAAAGAATAATATTCCCTATTTGTAAATCTCGCTTCGTCATGGTCCATTTTTCTACCAGGACGACATCAAGTCGCCAGTCTGATGAATGCATTCCGTATAAATAATATTTCGATCGTTTGTATTTTGCAGAAACAACTGTGATCATTCGTGATGTCAAATGAAGGTCAAAGTAATGCGGAACCGGAAGAAGAATACACACCACCGGGTGTTGAAGAGTATTCTGAATACTGGAAAAAAGATACAGTCTTTCTGAAAGAGGCAAATGAGTGTTTACTCAAATACCATGAAAAACTCATGGGGGATAAAAAGCACCAGAAGGTGTTTATTCCTTTGTGTGGGAGAGCTGCTGAGCTGAAATACTTCGCTGAACTGGGACACGATGTTGTTGGCGTGGAATTTGCAGAGATCGCTATACACCAGTTCTTCGAAATGTTTGGCATCACTTACGAAACGAAACCCTTGGAGGATCCTGATGGAACGTTATATACAAGCACCACTGAGAACATGAATATTCGGATCTATTGCTGCGATTTCTTCAAGTTTAAGCCACAGCTAGAGAAGGATTTCCAGGCCGTATGGGATGCTGGCTCGCTGTATTCCTTACCATTGTCACAGAGAGAGGAGTATGTCACCGTCATTAAGTCCATATTAGCACCGGAAAGCAAGACTCTGCTGATGACCGATGTTCCCTGCTTGAGTGATGAAGTGACGACGAGCGACCTCAAACAAATGTACGGAACAGATTTTACAGTCGAAGATCTGGGCTACACTAAGACAGAGAGAAAAGATTATGAACAGTTTGGCTTAGAGGGTTTCAACATGTTTTTTATTTCCTCTGGTGTTGTTGTGTAACGGGCGCAAGGTTGCGCTGATCCGTCAATTTTGTATATGGATGGAACTTTTATGTGCCCCTCCGCGTGTGTTGATGTATTCTCACCGTTATGAAACATTTTATTTTAACGGAGCGTTGTTCATTCATCGTGCTATGTCACAAACGTCATGAATTGTGACCCTAGAGTCGGGACTATAATAAACACATACAACACACAATGTATTGGCATTTTCTGTAACTACAACATGTTTTTTCAATTGATTAAAAAAAATATGATTATTTGTAATTAACAACCCTAACATTCCATACAATTATTTTATTAGCAATCTAGAACATGTATTTCAAATTTTTATTTCAATTCATGAAACGTTTATTTAGTTTCCCAAATTTAAGTACAAGTTATAATTATCAACTTATTGAAGCCATTTTCTCAACAGATACGTATCAACAACATGATAGCTTATATATATAGATATTATATATTATTATAAATATGTAGGTACACTATATAAGAAAACATTGAAAGGACTTAAAATGGGAAAAAAAGAGAAGAAATGCAATGTAATACACGCTGTAGTGTATATATTATGTAGATATATAAGTACAAGTACCGTGTATACTAAAGGTTCGTGAGAACACACAAAATATCCATGATGTTCAGTAGGGGACAGAAAGAATGGTAGAATAAGATAATGGAGGAAGGGAGGGAAGAATGATAGATGGAGAGTTAATTAAGGATTAGATAAAACCTTATGGACTTTAAAACTATGTTTTCGGTCAATGATAATTCCGCTCTCCCTGAAAGGATATCTATATAAAGGTTGTGTAGTAATGGCCCAGCTTTAACATAAGATTAACTAGCTACATAGGCAACATCAACAAAAAGCGAAAATATTTTTTTAAAATCTAGACGTTGCAGTTTTCATGTTACTTGATCTAAACGTTTCACGGGGTTTGGTGGACCACGAAAAGTTTTTAAAACCTGTTTCAATCGACAAGTTATCATTTCAAATGAGAAATGAATTTTGATAACATAATGGGGGATGTATACTGTTACATAGGTATTCCTTCACATATTTCTTCATCTGCATTGAAGTATGCCAAACATTGTTACTTGCAAAACTATATTTAAAGCACAATTATACCTCAGTTTCGTTTGTGAAATGCTCAGTTTTCTGTCCCCAAAGCTATGGAAAGGTTTTTAAAAATGAAAGAAAGAAAGAAGATCAGAAGAGAAGGGTAATAAAGATGTTTCAGAATCAAATCGAAGCTGATGGTAAAAAGAAGGTAATTGTATTGGAATGTCAATCATTCGGGACGATTGTTTCCATCTATAGGTAGGTAAGGATTCTGGACAACTGCATATAAACCAAAATGTTTGCCAGAAATGTCTCTTAGATCCAGATAAATAAATCCAGTTGACAACAGTTCAAATCTTGAGGGAACGACCTAGAAAAATTACGAGAGATTAGTTAAATGTGAACTTTTAGGATTGAAAGTAAAGGGGGACTAACGGAAATGCGTTGTTATAGACTTCCGTATTAAACTCTCTAAATCGGCCTTGTCCAAGTGACCGTGAACTCGAATCGTCTTCTTTACTTCGCTGTTTAATCACATGAGTGTCCACGGTCTTGGGCTTAAAGCCAGCAGTGAATGCCAGATTTCTCGATAAAGATTTTTTTGCATGTGCACGTGGGAAATACATTGGTTAATATTAAGTGAGCTAAATACATGTTACGGAGTTATTCGACACGACACCCCTGTTGAGAAAGTGACACTATTTTTTTTACTGCAAACAAATTAAATATGCTCAACGCTCAGCAAGTGCAGAAATTGTCCGCATATATTTAAAAATTGTGTGTTATTCGTAGTTATATCAATATGAAATACTTTCTGACGCATGATTTTATTCAGTGTCCACAGAAATACGTTCGCCAACCGGTGTCATCAACGTCATCAGTGTCCTAGGTTACAACAAATTATGCTCCTTAGCATCCCTGACGAGTCATAAAGGGAGCAAGCAGTTAATTCAATATTCGGCTCAACTGTATCGAATACTGAATTTGTAAAGAAAGGTCATAATACATCGTTTGCCTTTTGTGAAATACATATAGATATATGTATATAACAGTATTTTTATTGTAATTTCTACGGCTGCTATACTCCGACCATCTTTGCTCAAGACAGTGAATTTTAAAGTTATGAAATTCCTAAATATCGTTGCAAAATTGAAATTGATTCACAAAGAAAAGAGTACAATAAATAATTACCAAGTGTCTATTTTAACATTGATACATAAATTTAGATATAGGTTTTGATTATCAAGCCTTCGCTGTCGTCATCGGTATGGCAATTGTCGTCGAGAACATATCGTGATATATCGCACACCATCACAAACCGATGCGTTTTGTTTAATTTTTAGGCAATACGATTTTCCGACAGTCTATTATCGTCGGTCGATAAGTCAGTTTCAAGAGATTAAGTGTTTCCTGAATAAGGCCGGTATGATATAAACCTTAGCATGCGTGTTTAGGAAGGGTTTTCCTGTTTGTACACTGACGACTCATCCTTATCCCGGGTCTGGCGGAAACTTGTACGTATTCCGAGTCAAGAAAGCGATACACGCCGGTCGACGAAGACAAGATGTACGCCTCGGCTGCTGGTTTCTTCCTTCTTGCTGCTGTTTTCGGTAAGTTTTTTGCTCCTGGTTGCTCTCTATGGTACGTTTTTTAATTTATGAAAATGGTATTCAGTTTTTCTTTCACTGTACTTTAAAAGATTAACACTGGTGTTCTTAAAGAGAAAACTGAAAAGGCATTGTTTATAGCCCAACAAACGTCACTTCATTGTAAAATACATATCCACAGTTTAAAGGCGATGAAGATTAGTTGTTTAAGCGTCGTGTGAATAGGTTGAAACAACAAGCATGTTTCATGAATAGAAACGCTTACACAAAAAACATATGAAATGCATATGCATGCATGTTTTTTTTAAATGTAAATTGGAATAAATATGTGTAGAAAGATGTATACACGTGCACGTATGTGTCAATCAGATATCATGTATATAATTTTGTATGATATCTAATCAGTTAGAAGTACCTAGGATTTTATTGGTTGCTGAGTTGGTTGTGCGAGTTTATTACAGACAAATACGACAATACTAAACATTAGCAGGGGTTTTATAACAATGCTAGTGTTTTCGGAATGAAGCATTTTAATTTCAATAATACGATAAAAACACAAGTTTTATTTCAAGCATTCCATGACAAATTTCTCATGATGGAGTACTATATCCACTAAGAAAGATATTGAATGTGTCTCTTACAATCTACTACTATTACTACTAAAAACATAGAAACGTGTGTTTCGTTTTTAAGGAATTTAACGTTCTCGCAACAACCAAAGTTAAATGTGGACAGGTGTCAAGAGAGAAACTAAGAATGGTAAGCAGTCCACGGCAAGATAGAGCAGACAAGAAAGAAATGAAACATATCAGCATCCCAAATGATACATGATACAAGGGGGTGGGAGTGGGGTGGGCGGAGGGGGTGTTGGTAAGGGGACAGATCTATTTGAGTCTTTTCAGTAACCCCCTCCCGTCCTTAGTAAAAGAAGAGAGAAGTTTGGCGGTGACAGTAAAGAACATAATTTTTCATATAAGGCGATATATATGATAGGTACAGAGTACATATTAGTGTTCGGATATCCTGATTGTCTACATCCAGGAATGAAGCTGAATTGCCTAGATGACTGTAATCAAATTCTTGTTATACAACCTCGACGTTTTCTGTCGGTAAAACAAACGTACAGTTCAGACTGATAATGTTATATCAGTACAAGTTAAGTTTATCTTTATGTAATGATATCGTGTTATACTCGCTTTGCACTACGTGTCAATGTGAGTATCATATACACACATTTTTATTCACGTTCTTATGGAAAACGACATAATTAAAAGAACGTGTAAGTGCAGATACGCTAAGGACAGCAGACTTGTGCTGGTATCTCTGTATAAACGTTTCCTGAATGACAGTTTAATACTTTAGGACCACTTAATACAGCTCTGAAATCCGGAAGTTTGAGATCAAACAACATCATCATTAGACTTTTACTCCACAGAATTTGACCATAGGATTAGCAATTGGTGCAAAGTCTCTCTAATTCCATTGTGTACTAAATCTAAGGTCATGCAAATAATACAAAGATGTCTAAGTGTGGACGGGTACCGATTAAAATCACTTGTAAAACATCTATCCATTCAACAAATGTTGTCAAACATGTTATACAAGCAGAACTCATTCTCTCGATACATATTTTAACAAGTTTAGCCCAGGTACTTGGTGTAACAGAATTATACGGAAAGACTGTGACATAAGTTAGCCGGAAGAACAGCTGGGGTTAGAGTCTGATCCCACACGTAATCTGTAATTGAAATATATTACAATCCTGTCAGATTTTCATTTTAAGGTTCATTGGGGTCGACCTTTTGTTTTGTTTAAAATTCTTACATTTTTCCATTTCTGGTTTGGGCATAGATGAATGCAACAGCCAGGCTTTAGAACTCTTCAAATGAAGTTAATAAAGTTAACCTGCAGCAAAGAGTGTGATTTTCGCAACTTTCCAAAATACTTGTATACCATCTTAAATTCCCTTTAACACGCTCTCAGGTAAATACTTACGCTGTGGTGATAATCCTGGATATATGTTGTCAATGAATATACAAAAACGGCGTACTGTCGCCAGAGCATGAGGTTCGACAAGAACAAACATAAAGGGGAAGGGGGAGGGGGGATGAACCTTCGACGGCATATTTGATAGGACTAGTGTAACAGAGAATATATAATCAAATTGTTATAGAACAACCATGGACTAAGTTGCCATTCAAATTTATTTTTTAATTTATTGTCCAGGAACGTATAAAATATTACAAGGTATATACGTCCCTAAGTCATCTTCTGGCCAATTATGTAATGTGCATGTCCTAAAACATGACCATTTTGAAATAGTAAGGATGTTTTCTAGAAATCATTTAAACCCAAAGTTGGAAAAACTAGAAGTAGATTATGATTCTCTGCTTTGATTATTCAGTATACTGGGTTGATATTTTACAGTATCAGCACAGGAGGAGACAGAGCCAGAACTGGCTCCCCTAGATGGCTGGTACAACAACCTGCTCCACCCAGAATGGGGTGCTGTTGGTAAGCTTTTTGATTAAAACTTCAATTCATTTGTGAAAATTGTTGGATCTGTATTATGTAGTCTTTAAATATTAACTTTTAATAGGGCATTCAGAAAATTGTTACATATTTTATGTGTTGAGAGTACTGGTGATAAGTTAAACACCAGTTAATTATTTCTGTCTGATCAGACAATAATGTTACAAATAACATTTGATTTTTTTTTTATTCTATCATCTTATAATAAGTATAATAATTTTCAGGAAGGAGACGTTTAAAAACCTGGAATCTCTCTTAGATCAGTTTTATAACATAAAAACCAATGAGTACTTTTATTGGAAGTCTTTTTTTATAGAAATACGATCCCGATTTTCCATGTGTTATGGAATCATAACATGAAATGTACATGTTAGTCTTTCACAATATGTTTTATGTTGTAGTGGTAATATTTTATATATTATCATTTCCATTGTGTTCTTTCCTAGTAAATTCCTAGTAAATTCTTTTATGATGGTAAGTGAAATACTAAGGTATATTGAAACGATCAATGTATATGTAACTAATATGTGATTTCACTGTTCGTTTTAGATACCATCTTGTTGCGTAAGAGCCCGACTTCCTATGCTGATGGAGTCTACCACATGGCTGGACCGAATCGACCAAATCCTTTTGAAGTTAGTAGAGTGGCCCACAGAGGCATCATGGGATTGGGGTCGGAGAGAGGTCGGACTGCCCTCATGACTTATTATGGTAAGATTTGCTATAAGAAAAGTTTTTGGTGATTTTAGAAATAAAACAGAATGTTATGTATGAGCTTTGTGATGATTTGCTAAAAGTAGAATATATTTGTTTCCAGGGCAACAAGTGGTGGAGGAGATAATGGATGTCCAGAGACCTGGGTGTCCAAGGGAATATGAAAATATGGTTGTTCCTGACAATGATCCATTGTACACACCTGGAATTCAGATGCCCTTTACTCGTTCACGGTTTGATGCCAGAACTGGGCAGTCACCTAGCAACCCAAGACAACAGGTAACTATGAAAAGACAAGCTATATAGATTTCTACACTTAAAAACCTGCAGGAAAACAACAAAAACTTTACACTCTGAAAGGTGCAAATGATATGATGTGCTTGGTAACCCATGACAGCAGGTATGTGTAAATGCTTTTTAACATTAATGAATAATAGAGACTAGATATATATATATATATATAGTTGTAATAGGAAAAAAAATTTGCACATGATGTTTATGCTTGTTAGATTCCAGATCATGATGTTTCTTGACTTGTTAGCATGTCAAACTATAAAATAATTGTTTATCATGCATATCATTCAATGCAAGAAGGACAGACCAAAAAGCAGCATGTGTGTTTACACTTTATTAAAGAATTTATATCATAATTAACAGTACTGGCAAAAGCAGAGTGTGTGTTTACACAGTAATATGCTATTATCATAATTAACAGTACTGGTAAAAGCAGAGTGTGTGTGTTTACACAGTAATATGCTATTATCATAATTAACAGTACTGGCAAAAGCAGATTGTGTGTGTTTACACAGTAATATGCTATTATCATAATTAACAGTACTGGCAAAAGCAGAGTGTGTGTGTTTACACAGTAATATGCTATTATCATAATTAACAGTACTGGCAAAAGCAGAGTGTGTGTTTACACAGTAATATGCTATTATCATAATTAACAGTACTGGTAAAAGCAGATTGTGTGTGTTTACACAGTAATATGCTATTATCATAATTAACAGTACTGGTAAAAGCAGAGTGTGTGTTTACACAGTAATATGCTATTATCATAATTAACAGAACTGGTAAAAGCAGAGTGTGTGTGTTTACACAGTAATATGCTATTATCATAATTAACAGTACTGGCAAAAGCAGAGTGTGTGTGTTTACACAGTAATATGCTATTATCATAATTAACAGTACTGGCAAAAGCAGATTGTGTGTGTTTACACAGTAATATGCTATTATCATAATTAACAGTACTGGCAAAAGCAGAGTGTGTGTGTTTACACAGTAATATGCTATTATCATAATTAACAGTACTGGTTAAGCAGGATGTGTATGTCTATACTGTATTAAGGAATTCACATCATCATTATTAAGTTTCACTGACTTCATTTCATAAATTTCCTTTATGTTCATCATTATGAGGTAGTATTGCCTCTAAGAAGGTATTCGACTTATTAGGTTAGTCCTTTTACCTTTGGTTTTCTGTTTCAGCTGAATGAGATCACTCCATACTTGGATGGTCAGCTTATGTATGGACCAGCAAAGGCCTGGACAGATGCTATTCGGGCATTTGATGGTACTGGGCGACTGAAGGCCTTGGATGACAAATACACACCACTTCAGGAAAGCTTCCCAGTAATAAATAACATTCGTCTCCCATTTGCTAATCCCCCAAACCCCAGGGCAAACACTGTTGATGAAAGATTACAGCCTGTTGCAAGATTTTGGCGTAAGTATAGTTTGATATATCAATATGTTGGTATATTTTGTCACAAGCTGAGTCTGTTTGAAAATCATTTTCAGATTCCATATGACTCATTTAATGGAAATGGACTTTTTATAAATTCTAAAAATGTAAAAGTGAATATTTCTTTACAAGATTAAAGTAAGAACTCACCAATGCTGGTCGGGAAATTAGTCATTCACTGCTTCTGCAAAAGGGTGAATTTAATACGTCAGAGGGAATGACTCCTTCAGTATTGCCACATGAGCAGGAATTTGAAAATAAGATCTGTAGAGAAAAGTGATTTCTTTAGAATATGACATCAATGTATTCACCAATATACAACTGCCACATTTTACATGTGATAAGCACTTTGAAGTTTACAGTGATATTTGCTTAAAGGCTGAGGTGGGGGTATAAAAGGGAAACATCGAACAACAAGAAAATGGCTGGAAATACCAAAATTTGAGTCATTTGTCCCAGGACATGCAGAGTTTTGGCCCTATAAACAGTTCTGATATTAACCGTATGAGATACCAGAGTTTGGCTATGAATAGGGAATGATGGATTTCTTTTAGCGCCCTGCTTTGGTATGATCCTGGGGACTGATAGTGTTTCCCATATCTGATCTTCTTGATGTATGGTCACATGTCATGTATTTTTTCATCTCTTCATCACAATCTGAAATCATCAACACAGTTGTCATTTGATAATATTTTTTATGTTTTTGTGTCTGATAAGATTTCCCAGAACTATTGTTTATGAAATGTTCACTATTACCTTAGCATGACCTCCTAAATTATGTTGGTGCTGATTGGTTAGCCTGAGTTCAGTCATGACTGCAATGCATTGCTCTTGAAACCTAGTGTTGCAGCATTGTTTGTTATGATAATTAAAATCTTAATCAAGAGTTTCTTTAGTGTTCCCAAGTCATAAGAGCATGCAGGTCCCTTGGGCCTGCTTGTTAGATTATTGTTAACATTCAGTAACTGGAAACATGGTTACTGTCTTATGAATACTTTGTACAAAGAAACTTTCACTGCAGCTTAACTTTCACACATTTTGCCCCTCTGTCAATAAGATGAAAATGTAACTGTGGCTTAGTGCCAAGTTACAGCTCAAATATGTGTTATCATGTTTTAGGACAAACCTAACAAGGAGACAAATAATGGGAGGGTGAAAATAACACGATTTTGTAATTTCAACATAGAAATCCCTTTCAATTTTGTCAATGTGACCTTGACCTAAATATGTAAAAGGAAATTTGAATTGTTGATGATGAAATGGTTTTGATGTTTAAACAGGGTTGGGAAATCCAAGAGGTTTTGAGAACCCTTTCCTGCTGAGTATTGGAGTTATGTGGTTTCGCCTCCACAACTTCTGGGCTGAAATGATCAAACAAGAACATCCTGATTACACCGATGAGGCTCTATTCACCGAGGCAAGGAAGTGGGTGGTGGCTATTCATCAGGTACGTTGGTGAGGGTAGGAAATGGGCAGTGGCTATTCATCAGGTACGTTGGTGAGGGTAGGAAATGGGCGGTGGCTATTCATCAGGTACGTTGGTGAGGGTAGGAAATGTGTGGTGGCTATTCATCAGATACGTTGGTGAGGGTAGGAAATGGGCGGTGGCTATTCATCAGGTACGTTGGTGAGGGTAGGAAATGGGCGGTGGCTATTCATCAGGTACGTTGGTGAGGGTAGGAAATGTGTGGTGGCTATTCATAAGGTACATTGGTGAGGGTAGGAAATGGGCGGTGGCTATTCATAAGGTACGTTGGTGAGGGTAGGAAGTGGGCGATGGCTATTCATCAGGTACATTGGTGAGGGTAGGAAATAGGCGGTGACTATTCATCAGGTACGTTGGTGAGGGTAGGAAATGTGTGGTGGCTATTCATAAGGTACATTGGTGAGGGTAGGAAGTGGGCGATGGCTATTCATCAGGTACATTGGTGAGGGTAGGAAATAGGCGGTGACTATTCATCAGGTATGTTGGTGAGGGTAGGAAATGGGCGGTGGCTATTCATCAGGTATGTTGGTGAGGGTAAGAAGTGGTCGGTGGCTATTCATAAAGTACATTGGTGAGGGCAGAAAGTGGGTGGTGGCTTTTCATAAAGTACATTGGTGAGGGCAGAAAGTGGGCGGTGGCTATTCATAAAGTACATTGGTGAGGGCAGAAAGTGGGTGGTGGCTTTTCATAAAGTACATTGGTGAGGGCAGAAAGTGGGTGGTGGCTTTTCATAAAGTACATTGGTGAGGGCAGAAAGTGGGCGGTGGCTATTCATAAAGTACATTGGTGAGGGCAGAAAGTGGGTGGTGGCTATTCATAAAGTACATTGGTGAGGGCAGAAAGTGGGTGGTGGCTATTCATAAAGTACATTGGTGAGGGCAGAAAGTGGGCGGTGGCTATTCATAAAGTACATTGGTGAGGGCAGAAAGTGGGCGGTGGCTATTCATAAAGTACATTGGTGAGGGCAGAAAGTGGGTGGTGGCTTTTCATTAAGTAAGTGATATATGAAATTAGGGCTAAGTGAGTTTATCCTATTTTGCAACAACTGTTTTCCTTCTCAATTACCAAGGGGCATAATATCATCATATTTGCCAGGTTACCTGAGATGAAGCTCAGCAAACTTTGACTGTGACCATTAATTATTTATAGTTTTGTGAAAAAAAAAAAAAACACTAGTTGAGTGTTACAGGCCAATTGGGACGTTGATTCCTTTACTATTACAGAAAATTACATTGTATGACTGGCTGCCAAGATGGCTTGAGATACAAAGCGATGGAACAATCTATGACCTCAATGGAACATCTTCAACACCAGAGAGACCAACTTGTCCCTATCAAGGTTTGACTTAAACAGATTTTATGGCAAACAATTAATTACAAAAGAAATGAACACAGGTTTAAAAAGTTCATATGGTGCATCGTGATGCACGGTTATGGTGTGATAATGACAATATGACAATAATAACAATGACGATTATGACTATGGTGTAAGATGATGCATGATTGGTATGTGAAGATTTAAAATTGCTCGAGGCAAGTTACTCCTTTTATAATTAGTTATATTTATATGGTAAAAAGAGATGAGATGGCAATACACTACTTTGTATCCTATAATGTTTATTGTGACAAGTTAATGAATGTTGGTTACCTCTGTTTATGATTGACTCGTTGATGTTTTAATATTTTGATTGATGTTTTACCTTATTTTAAGATAAAATAGATTTTTTTGGAATGATTAATATTTTGATCACTGTTTTATTTGATAATTGTATTTTTTTTTCTCATAATGAAATGATAATTACTGATAATAGTCCTTGATTTGCTTTCTAAAGGTTATAACCCTAACATCCACCCAGGAATCACACACGAGTTTCAGACTTCTGCCATGAGATATGGACACACACTTGTCACCCCAGGTTTGTGGCGTAGGTAAGTGAAAAGGGTCCAAATTGAACATAGCTTATTCTATTGTTAGGTGATCTGATCCAGGTTGTACACGTAGTGTTTTATCTTTTTCTGCGATTGGATATCTTGATAAATTCTTTTATCTGAGTACTTAAATTCAACTTGAGGATCATTATGATTGACACCACTCTAGAAACTTTGCTCTTAACAGATTTTAATTAAACTGTAATTAATTAAAGAAAGTGTATGAGGGAAAGTGCATTGATATTGTGTTGTGTATGAAAATACCACTGATGAATATCTGTATTAAGGTACATAAATCAGTCATTTATACAGAATACTGTCAAACAATGAAACCAGTCGTACTTGTATACCATTATAGAATGTTACCAGTGGAATAAAATGGAATTACAACAGACATTTATTTGACAGATTAAAAGTTGAAGTTTAATCATTGAAAAGTGAAACTTTATATAGGAGCAAGCTCTTCTTAGTTTTTGAGTGATACAGGCCCTCTGTGCCTCTGGTTGAGTGATAATTTACCGCGGTACTTTCCGATTCTTCATTGCTATGAATAAATTCATCAAAATATTGAATTTCTATCCCAGAGACTGCAATTCATGTAGTGTCTGTTAATTTTTTTAGTTTTTTCTTTTCATATCTTTTAATGGGTTTTTATAATAAGTTTGTAATTTACATATTTAACTATACTTAATTATTGTAACCTACAAATTTTTCACCCAGTTGCAAGAAAAAAAAGATATCTGATGATATTGGTTTACTATTGATATGGTGAATACAGTGTCAATGTTTTCAATCTTGTGTATGAGATTAGTATACCATTTGTATGTTGAATACATTGTCAGTGTTTTCAATCTTGTGTATGAGATTAGTATACCATTTGTATGTTGAATACATTGTCAATGTTTTCAATCTTGTGTATGAGATTAGTATACCATTTGTATGTTGAATACATTGTCAATGTTTTCAATCTTGTGTATGAGATTAGTATACCATTTGTATGTTGAATACATTGTCAATGTTTTCAATCTTGTGTATGAGATTAGTATACCATTTGTATGTTGAATACATTGTCAATGTTTTCAATCTTGTGTATGAGATTAGTATACCATTTGTATGTTGAATACATTGTCAATGTTTTCAATCTTGTGTATGAAATAAGTATACATTTTGTATTTTTTCCTTATGACATTATATAATATATAGAAATAAAACAGAAATAATGATGTTGTTAAAATTAGATACCAAATTTGTGTTGTATTGCTCTGTATTATTTGTATTGTGAATTCAATCATCACCTCAATGTAGCAGTACTTCTCTGTGAATATTTATGTATCCTAACTAATTGGAAGTCTACTACACAACAATTTTTTGGTGAAAGGGGTACACCTATTGGATCTGGGAATGATCTGTTGGGAAATAATGCTGAGCAAAACTGTAACTGGACACGTACCACTCTTAAAGTTCCTGGTCAGGTCGGGGAACAAGTCCATGCCTTTCGTCTGTGTAATGCCTATTGGAACTCACAGGTAATGATTGAGTAAGACTGCAGGTATTTTTAACTTCTGTAATCAAGTTATCTCCCTGTTCATGGAAAGGTATTCTCATGTTGACTTATTTCGATACTCTTTGTTAGGTGTTGTCTAGCGTCTGTTGTACGACAGTATACTTTTTACATTAATTACTTCTAGTGGAAAAACCCCAAAGCAATTTCAATCAAACTTTTCATGGCCAAATATTTACCAAAATTGTAAATTGTATGGTTTCCATCCCCCCAGGGGCCTGAGTGACAGGAAAATAAAGGGTCAAATTGTCCTGAATTTCAAAAATCTTTGGCAGAATCAAATACTCTTTATGTATGGAATGGTCTAAAAGTGCTTAACCAAAATTATGAATTTCATAGCCTCAGGGTCACTCATTTCTCCCTTGTGGAGGGGAGGGGAAAGTATGTTGTGCCATAATTGCAAAATTTTGTATTCTCCTGAACTAACTCCTATGAGTTGTTGTAGGAGGCCGTTCAAGAGGATGTGGACTCACTGTTTCGTGGAATGGCCTCCACCCTTGGTGAACGAGAAGATCACATCATGGTGGCTGATCTTGCAGGTATGTACAGATATTTGTTTATTGAAATATAATTTTTAGAATTTTACTAGAGATGCTGGTAGTTAAGCATGTGTTATGTTGTGTGAGGCTGCCTGTCAGGGAAAAGGTAAACAATAACTGAACGCTTGAAATAAACATCTTTTTGAAATTTTTCACGTGACATCTTTTATGACATCACAATTACTGACACATTATTGTTCAATAAAAATGTTATATCACACAGTCACATGACTGAGGTTGTCAACATGAGGTCGGTAGGGGCTTGGGTAGGGAGGGGGATAGAAATTTTGAGAGGTTGTTTGGGGTAGGGAGGGGATAGGTATTTTGAGAGATGGGTGGAAATTTAGAGAAGGGAGGAGGATAGATATATTGAGAGTATGGTGAGGATTTGGCTAAGGGAGGGGGATAGGTATTTTAGAAGTTTGTGGGGTATTGTGATTATCTGAATATACACCTGTACTTTTGTCCTTTCCAGGTGATGTATTTGGCCCCCTGGAGTTTTCTCGACGTGACTTAGCTGCATTAAATATCCAGAGAGGACGTGACCATGGACTCCCTGACTACCAGGCTGTGAGAGAGGCTTTTGACCTGCCAAGACTTAATAGCTGGGATGAAATCAACCCTACTTTCCCCACAGATGTTCCAGCATCAACTATAGATGTAATGTTGTTTGAAATAACTTCAATGAAAAAGTGTCTACTTTATTTACAGTTCATGTTTGTATGTTTAAGTTACTAACAGACACTGCTGCCACTGCTTGGTCAGGGACTGAGATAAGAAAAGTGAAGACTTTTCATTTTACAAAATTTTTGTGAGTTGTGTAAATTTATATTGTTGTATTAATCTGAAATCATTAAATTACTTCTATAAGACAATCATTACCTCATCCGATTCAAATTTCATTTAAAACCTACTGGAACGTGTACATCAGAATTCTTGTTGGTATCAACTTGGGATAAGTTCAACCCCATGTTTTGTCTAAATATGAAGACAGTTAACTGATTATTGTTATTGAAAAAACATACAATATGGTTGCTTTATTTCCATGGTTAGTGAAAAACACACCTGAGATTTGATTTATATCATTTCCATGGTTACTAAGGAACACACCTGTGATTTGATGTATATAATTTCCAGGGTTAATAAGGAACACACCTGTGATTTGATTGGTATAATTCCTGTTGTTGGTGAAAAACACACCTGTGATTTGATTGGTATAATTTCCATCGTTAGTAAGGAACACACCTGTGATTTGATTGGTATAATTCCTGTTGTTAGTGAAAAACACACCTGTGATTTGATTGGTATAATTTCCATCGTTAGTAAGGAACACACCTGTGATTTGATTGGTATAATTCCTGTTGTTATTGAAAAACACACCTGTGGTTTGATTGGTATAATTTCCATCGTTAGTAAGGAACACACTGTGATTTGATTGGTATAATTTCCATTGACACTATTGATATAATTTTCACTATTTCCACATAATGCTAGTATTATAACTAATTAACTGCCTGTGATTCTAACATTAACCTTTTCTGAATACAGGCCATAGCTAACTTGCGACAGCTGTACATTGATAAAGGACTCAATGGATCAGTTCCTGATGATGTGGACTTGTTCACCGGAGGTCTCATGGAAACCACTTTTGATGGACCGGGCCCTCTCTTCCGTGCCATCCTTGTTGAACAATTCTGTCGTGTCAGAGATGGGGATAGGTTCTGGTATGAAAATAAGGACAATGGGTAAGTCTGAAACTGAAGGGCATTTCATACTTACTGTGTGTCCTTACATGTTTGTCCCACTGTGTCCTAAGTCAGTGTCATAACTCTGTCAACTTCCTTTCTGGGTGGATTTCTATCAAGCTTTTTGTGAAGGTCATCTCCAACAATACTTAAGATAAGTTGATGTTTTAAGGTTTCAAAGTCAAGGTCACCATTCCTTAGTTTTGTCAAATATTGATACTTGTTTGCAGTGGAATAAAGGCATCCATACCATCTAGACAGTTTTAACATGGTATATTGGTTTCCACCTCAGCTCGTATCAAAGTACTTGTAGCCTGTTATCATTGATTATTTGAGTAATCATATTTAAAGATTAAAGAATTTAAAAATGAAAATTTAAGTTGTGGATGCCAAACTTTTTTTTGACAGATTGTTTTCCCAGTTTGACATCGAAAGGATCAACAACTTCACCATCTTTGATGTCATTAAGAATGTCACCAATGTAGACGAGAGCCAGATCCAAATAGACCCTTTTATCCATGCTTCTAATGGTAGGTCAAAATATTTATATCACAAAACCCAGGTAAACATGGAAAGTCAACAAGACCCTTTTATCCATGCTTCTAATAGTAGGTCAAAATATTTATATCACAAAACCCAGGTAAACATGGAAAGTCAACAAGACCCTTTTATTCATGCGTCTGATGGTAGTTAAAAAATATTTATATCACTAAGCCCAGGTAAACGTGGAAGATAATTTCTACTCCTCCTTTGATAATTTTATATTTACATTTTATCTTTACATGGGTGTACTAATGCTTGTGTTTATCTGTAGCAATTAGCTTTGTGTGCCAGACATATCATGAAAGCCTGAAGATTTTTTAAGGTTATGATATTCATACTTTGGAATGGAAACATCAATTTTCTTTACATGTTTTGAATCTCGCAACAGATTTAGTGTATATATTGTAATATGAATATCTATAAGTAGTCAACTTTTTATTAGCATTGGTGAATGTTAAAAGATCAAAGGTCATTCAGTTGGTACTTTGTTAGAACATTTTTGTTCTATCCAAAAGATATTAAATAATCATTTTTGACAGAATTTTTAAAAATTTTATATGGATTGAACCTCTTTCTGAAAATTTAGCCCAAAAAATTACCTGCTCAAATGACATAGGCATGCTGGTTACACAGTTGTGTATGGTGCTTTCTGTTTGTTTGTGTGTTGAAACAGCTATTAGTTTCAATCAAAATCCATTTTAATAACTGTACTTGATGTCAAGGTTCCAATTCACTCATCCAAACCACATGTGATGGTGTTTATTTAAAAGTATACATGTGTGTCGAAATTCTAATGGCGATTTATATATACAGCTGGGACCTTGATTATAAAGCAAACTGAATTGTACAACTGTTAACAGGACACTAGTGTAGTATATATATATGGAAAAAAAATAATGCAAACACAAGAGTTAAGCTTAAGCGTCTTTAGTTGCATAACAACAGTAACCATTAGCATTTTCTGTGTTATACATTGTGGTTACAGATATCTGCCCTCAGCCTGAACAACTGAACATCTCAAGAACTAGAGACCTGAATGGACAGACATCCCTTGTCATTGAAAATTGTACAGCCTTTCAAACCTATGACTATTTCTTCAACAGTGAGATCTCATTTGCACTGACTTTTTTCGTAGTTGGACTTTGTGTACCAGGTAAACAAGCTTAATTAACTTGTTATATACTTCTATACCAATTGCCTTAGTGTCTGTCCGTGCACCTGTCTCTGGATTTATCCATGTGTGCATGTGTCCATTAGTGCACCTGTCCCTGGATTTGTTCATGCATACATGTGTCCATTAGTGCACCTGTCCCTGGATTTGTCCATGCATACATGTGTCCATTAGTGCACCTGTCCCTGGATTTGTCCATGCATACATGTGTCCATTAGTGCACCTGTCCCTGGATTTGTCCATGGATACATGTGTCTATCAGTGCACCTGTCCCTGGATTTGTCCATGGATACATGTGTCTATCAGTGCACCTGTCCCTGGATTTGTCCATGGATACATGTGTCTATCAGTGCACCTGTTCCTGGATTTGTCCATGTATACATGTGTCCATCAGTGCACCTGTCCCTGGATTTGTCCATGGATACATGTGTCTATCAGTGCACCTGTTCCTGGATTTGTCCATGTATACATGTGTCCATTAGTGCACCTGTCCCTGGATTTGTCCATGGATACATGTGTCTATCAGTGCACCTGTCCCTGGATTTGTCCATGGATACATGTGTCTATCAGTGCACCAGTGTGTTTGCTCAGTAGCACATATTGTTGACATATTGTTGATATCCACACCATAGCAATAAAACATCAACTTCCACTTAAAGAATTAAATGATCAGAGGATGGTTGATATACCTAAGTCAGTTTCAGCTCATAATTTCATTTTAAACCTCCCCTCCACCCAGCTTTGTAATGGGGTTATACATTAGTAAACAATTAGTCTGTCTGGTCCATCCATATGTTCATGTGTATGCCCATGTCCACAGCAAATGTTAATTGAGTTCCAGAAATCTCACGAACCCCTCCACAGATTTTGATTCATTTGTACATGTTATCACATTTTGTTCTACACTTCATTATATGTTGGTGGTCATTAGTCGACGTTAAAGGACGTTAAACACTGTAACACTTTTGAAATTAAGAAAAAAAATATTTAAATCATGAAGTCACACACAACTCTGTTGACCATGTATAAGAGAGCAGATCTACACAAGTCTCTGTTATTTACTTGTTTCTAGCTCACATGCCCATCCTTTGTCAACTTTTTCTTCTGAAAAATCATTTGATGAAAGGTCATAATGTTGGCTTGTAGTTTCCTTAGATGAAATCCTATATGGTGTATGATAAAAATGACCTTGACCTATTTTCAAAGACACAAGGGGTCAGACATTTTTAAACACTCAAACTGCTTCTGAAAATCTTTATGATGTTATGATGTTTTGCTAGAAGGATCCTATGATGAAACCAGACAACATTTACAAAAAGAGAAGACATTGTTCTGATGACTTTCATTTATTTTCAAGATCACAGAGTCACATTTATTCAATGACTAATAGGTTTTTAGAATGTGCAAAATGAAAATGATATATATCAAGGTCATAGGGGTCACTTTGTTAAAACAAATAAGTTACTTCATCTGATCAACCAAAAGGTCTACAATAACTGTTTTGACTGAAAAACAGTCCCTAGGTTGAAGGCTGATAAAACTTTGCAAATAAAGATTACCAAGACCCTAGCATGGCCAAGGTCACTGTGACCAAATTAGGTTAAAGCAGTCCTCCAGCTTCTTCAGGCGAACAAGAAGACCAAGAATCATGATATTTAGCTGAAACTTAATGGACCACTCTTAAAAAATGAAAATGATCACAATCTACAATCAGTTACAGAGGTCAAATTTGTTCATATACTGAACTGACTTGAAAATAATTATAGATTTTTTTTATTAGAAAGTGGAACAAATTGTTACTTGAATACACTTATAAAGAATTACTGCTACATATATTGAAGGTTTTTTAAGTTGTGCATGAAATTTTGTTGAAAAACAATGCGAAGTATAGCACTCAGGTAAGTGTTTTGTTATCATATTTGTCTTCTCTTTAATTTGCTGTAGCAAATTCTTATTGTTAGTTATATTAAAGGTTAAACTAATTACCACAACTATGTATCATTGTTTTAAAATTTCCAATGATGTTGTGTTTTCAAACAGCAACTGTAGGCATCATGTGGCTTTTGGCTAAGCGTAGGATAAAAAACATGACCTTGAGGAAAAAGAAAGTTGCAAAGAAAGTGAGAGGTGGTGATCCAAACACATTTGAGGGTAAGTATATTCAATATTTCTTTATACTCCTGGCATTTCATTGCGATGGGATGGGATAGGGAGGGCAGCAAAATATATTGTTGCCTATATTGTCCAACCAATCCTGTTCCAGACCAAATGAATGTGACATTTTTAGAAACTCTCAACAGATTTGGTTCATATTTATGCCACAGTGACATAACCTTAAGGTGGATATTTTTCAAGGTTAAAGGGTCATTCAGACTTGTCAGAGTGCATTCATGTCTTACATACATTTTTCTAGTTTGTCCAGAAGCAAACTGTTGGAAAATTTCATCATGGTTTATATTCTTAAAGAAGGATGGTGTGATGCAATGTGATGGAAATATACTTGAATTCCTTACAAACTGTTATTAGCCCTTTGACTGTTCAACTTGCTGCCTCATATTAGTTCAGATAAGGACAATAGATATTGAAAATATAAGTCTGTTGTTTCAGTTTTGGAGTGGGTAGGCCATAAAGATGGTGAAAGAAACATTAAAATCGGACTTGATAATCAGCGCCGTAAGATCCATGTCAGTGATCGGCGCGGCAAACCACTGCGTATGATTGACTTGCGACAACGTGGGGACGTCCAGATTCGGCCAGTCTATGTTTGGCTGGAGGATGATCACTCCAACACAATGTGTTCTGTGCGAGCTGAAGGAGAGATTGACTTGGTAGGTTAAGACTAACAAAAAATTGATCATGTACCGTTTTTGACCTAATTAGTTCAGCAACTCTTATTCAGCCCCCATTTTTAAGGAAATAGGATAGATGTGCTAAATTAAGGACCATAAGAAAGTTGTTTACTACTTGTTGCTGATCTACATAACAACACTTACCCATTTAACTTGTTAACTCCCATGGTATACACAATCCACTTAGTAATTGAGATTAATTTTACTCTCTTTTCAATTCAATTTATTTTGTTTTAGCCTACCATTTCATGAAGGAATTTTCCCCTGTTTAATAAAAGTTTAAGTCAGCAGTAGTGATGTACTCGATTTTAAGCTAGATATCCAGGGTTCACTTTTCTGTGTGAAGATGAAAAGGTGTGAGGGCATCTGCCCAACAACATAGATTTTCCCTGGTATTCTGCTTTCCTCCCAAAGGGAGACCACTCGGGTGCTTCCATCCAGGTCAACAAGAATAATTAATATAATTTTGAATAACTTGTTTTGCAATTAAAACAGGTTTCAGTATACTGAAAAGGGTCTCAGTAATGCTAACTGACTGAAATCCTCTGTACAGTAGTAATATATTACTGATTACAGACTTAGATATCTAACCTGATATCGATCGGTACTCTGTAAAAATTCTACTTCATGTAAGTCTGTTGTTTTTTAAAAGGTGCTGAAGTTTGCTGACATAGAAGACAGGACAGAATTCATTCAGAAGCTAGAGGTTTTTCTGAGCTCGATCAATGTTGATTTAAACCAAACAAATATGAGACATGACATCATCCTGAACAATGCTCAGACCAAAGACAAGCGGCAGAAACTTCTGGATAAATTCTTCCGAATTGTATCACTCCAGGTATTCAGCATTTTTTATTGCAACATACCTAAGATGACGAAACTGTATGAATAATAGTGTTGATCCGATACACTGTATCACCAATAAGAAATACTGGTTAGTCAGTGACCAGTGAGGCCAACATTTGATGAAAAAACCGAACTATTTTGTATAAGGAGGGAATTTGTGTGGCTTGTTGTGTTAAATATTGGGAAGATTTTTTGGATGATATAAATTTTTGCTATGAATAATTTTTCCCAGAATACATGGAACAGATTCCTGTTTCCTCTTTTAATGTAATTTCCAAGGTACAGATTTTTTTGCGATCTCATTCCATCCCTCAAAAAATAGAACCTCTTGAAATAACCTCTAAGAGATGGTGTCTGTCACTCAGCTGGTAGAGCATTCTTCACTAAATGTTTCTTTTGGAATAGCTGTAGATCATTGTGCCACAGATCCTTTCAAATCCTGTTAGGGTTCTTGGCAGGAATGTGCTTTTGTCTGTTACTTCACACATTATGGCACTATAGTTAAGACAATGCACCACTATAAGGAAATTTAGATTGACATACATACAAAAGAACCATTGTAACAGCTAAAAGTACATTTTAACACTAGAGATAATTGCTTCTTAGCCTAGCATATTTGTTAGATTTGGAAGGAATCCACATTCAAAATCAGATGTGGTGGTGTGATGACTTATTGAATTACTACCAGTAGGGATAAATATTTTCAAAACATTTGGGAAATGAGGTGAAAATATTGAGAGTTTGGATGAATTAGAATGTTTTTTTATCAATTCTGTCAGGCAGATGTTTAGCATTGTCTGCCTATTTACTGTTATAGATAAAGCTTTAAATAAGTGCATCACTAATATTATCTCTATAACAAAATTTTCATAAATTTTTCCTCAACATAAAATTAATACATTAATTATCTAATGCCAAAGCTTTCCATTCCATGAACTTGCTTGTTACAGGCATTCCAGGGTACTGCTGAGGATATGGCGATGGAACCATTGGACATGGACACTTCCAAACAACTGGCAGATATTAGACTGACACGTACAGAATTTGCAGAAGCATTTGGCCTGAAACCAACATCAATCTTTGTCCGCAATATGTTTCTGCTGGTGGATGCTGACAAGTCTGGTTTTGTAAACTTCAGAGAATTTCTGGACTTCTTTGTGGTATTGTCATCACGTAAGTTTTTTGAGTGACGGTTTTACCTTTCAGAATTTAGGTCAAATTCAGTCAAAGCTGAACCATTGACGAGCCTATTCTGTACATATATGTATAAAATCGTATTTCAAAATGCTAATCATGAAGAGATAAACACACTCGGGCTACAAGGATTGCGTGTGACTCATGTCCTCCCATGAGTCATGTTCCCATGATTATAAGGAAACAGTTGAGATTTCAAATTTACAACCCATTACTGAAATTGATAGACATGTGAAAGTGAAAACACTTTAACTTAATGAGACTACCTCTCGTGCCTTGCCCTGCCCAGGTGTCTTGCAATGTCCTTGTGTATTGCTCCCTAATGTATTATTATGCCCAAATCATTGTTGTCCATCATGTCTGGCCGTCCCTTAGTTTCTTGCATTCCCCTCCCCTCTCCTGGTGTCTTGCCCTTCTCAAGTGTCTTGTCCTCCACTATACTAGTATTTTTTCATCCCCTTCCTTAGTGTATGTTGCTCTCCCTGATCCTTGATCCCCTACTGATGGCCAAGCGTCTTGCCCTCCTCTACCCTAATGTCTTTCCTTCAACTGATCTCTTATATGTCTTAACCTTAATTAGTGTCTTGCCCTCCCCTACCTATTGTCTTACACTTCACTGTCCTAGTGTCTTGTACTCTCCTGATGTCCTGTTCTTTATGTTTCGCCCATTCCTTTAATAGTATCTTGCCCTCCTTCATTGTCTTACCATTCTTTACCATAGTGTCTCGCCTTTTCCTTCTGTAATATCTTGCTCTCTCCAGATGTCTTGCCCTTCTTTACCATAGTGTCTCGCCTTTTCCTTCTGTAGTATCTTGCTCTCTTCAGATGTCTTGCCCTTCTTTACCATAGTGTCTCGCCTTTTCCTTCTGTAGTATCTTGCTCTCTTTAGATGTCTTACCATTCTTTACCATAGTGTCTTTCCCATTCTTCTCCTAGCATCTTGTCCTCCCATTCTTGTTCTTCTATACCCTAGTGTCTTACCCTTCCCTACCCTTGTGTCTTGCCCTCCTCCAATGAAATGTCTTGTCCTTCCCTTACCTATTGTTTTACCTTCCTTCCCTAGTGTCTTATCCTTCCCTACTCAGTTGTCTTTCCCTCCTCCAACAATCATGGTAGCATGGTTAGTTTGATATTTTTGAATGTCTGTTTTACGATAGAATATTTTAGGTGTTATATACTTACTTATATGTATGGATATTTAACAGTGAACCATTGGAAAAAGTCTGAGTGGGTCTGTAACTTTATATTATTCAGAGGATTCCGACAGTAAAGTGCAGCTGATCTTTAACATGTATGACATCGGACAGAAGGGTGTACTCTCCAAGTCAGACTTCTCAAAAATGATAGCGTAAGAAATTTTTGAAGCTTTGACTTTTCAAATCATTTTCATACTTGCCAAGTCTTCCTGTTCTTGACTAGAGTCTCTAATTTATCTCAATTGATTTTGCAATTTTCATTGTACTGAAATAATTTGGCTTATTCTTAATCTAAGTTCATAACATTATAGATGACTGTAATAATATGTTAAAACACAAACTTGATTGATTTTAAGTAACAGTGATCTCTAGTTTGTTGAAGACTTTTTACCTTGAGATATCTAGCTTTCCGGTTTTAATGCCTTGGTAGGTATGCATTTGGTGTACACTTTGCAGAAGTTATTCTTTCATAGCGGCTAAATGAACTTTTATAGATTAAGAAGAAAGGAGAAGAAACACAGAAGAACTTTTCTGTGGACAATACAGCACTGATTATTTAGTTATAACAAATATTAAGATATACCAAGTGTTACACTGGCTTGGAAAAGTGGACATTTTTAATTCTTAAGTGGATGATATGTATCTTTTTAATCTTTACACTCATAAATATTTCTAGCTATGACCACAGTAGCATAACACTGTTTTTTTTTTTAATTTTGGTACTTACACAATAAGCTGTTCTCACCGTTTTATTTTTTTGTCTTATATGTCAAATGCTTTGATTATATTCATTAAATATTTGATATTTTTGTATTGCTTTAACATATGGGATGATATACAATATTTTATTTTGCAATAAGCAAGGGGAGCTGGCACATAAACTTTAACAAAAAAAGGGTGATGGTCTTATTGCTTTATAATTGCTCGCATTTTTATTGTACAGTAGTTGACGTGAATGGTTTTATGCCAGGACAGATGGGCTTATTATCAAATATAGAATTACTAACTGTTGTGGGCTTATTTCCAAACATGGGCTTATTACCAAACATGTGCTCTTACCAGACATGGAATTACTGTTGGTCATATTTTTTGTTACCAGATTTGGTTTAATATTACAAGACATGGGCTTATTACCAGGACAGGTGGGCTTATTACCAGACATAGGTTTATAACCAAAGAAATACTTTAGTAATACCTACGTAACATTTAATCACCGAAGTCTCATTAGTGTATATCTGACACTCCAACCTGACAAACTTCACACCAAACACAAGAACTAAAGCTTATTTACCAGATCATTTACATAAGTCAACAATATTCGATAACATGTTGATATTTCAAAAGATTTTTATCTTTATGAGTTTTATCTTTTTGTAAAACATTCAGATCCCTCCTGGACTTGTCGGACTCCACCTTGGACAAAAGTAAAGTGGCAGATCTCATCTCCTCCATGTATCGTGTTGCTAATGTGAGGGAGGGATCTGATATGACATTTACGGACTTCAAAAAAATCTTTGAAGATGAGGAATATGCCAAAACGCTTGCTAATGCTAGACTGGATCTGGATGGTAACATTTTAATCAAATAAAATTATTGTACCAAGTTCAAATCAATATGAAATCTTTTAAAATTTTCTGTACTAGTTCGGAATGTTTTCTGTTTTGTTTAAGAATCAATTCATAATTATTGTTACAAGGATATAATCTAGTGTCAGTAAATATAAGGGATACAGAACTCAGGCTAAAAAGTTAGGAGCTTTTCTGTTCTGACCCAAATTTTGCTGTCTTCTTTGCTTACTTGATTGATGTCTCCTTTTTTTCTCATTTTAGTATAAAGCAGATTTTTTTCTTCATTTTTGTATGAAGCAATACCTTTGTTAAAGGAATTAGTTTTTAGAAGAAAGACAAGTTTCTGTATTTTTCCTCAATTAAGGTCACAGATACAGGTGCCATATATTAATTAGTGTGTCCATCTGTTAGTGGTTTTTGCTTTTTGCACTATGTTAGTCAAAGTACAAGGGATTCCTTCCAAAATTGGAGGTATACATATCAATATTTCCCTGTATCATTAGATGTGTTCAGGTAATTTGAAGGATTGTTAAAAATTTAAATGACTGCTTATCAGCCATCTTGAATTTTGACAATTGACAAATTACTTTAGAGTTTTATGTTTTGTTCAAATTCTTTTGAACTATAGATATTTAACCCATGTCCCTTAGGGATTTTCTTATTTTGGCAAGTTCCACCCTTATCTAATAAGACTGCAGTGATGTGATTGGCTTATTCATCTGTGCACAATCGTTGAAGCTTGCATAGTATTCAAGTCAGTGAATTAAAGTTCTTTGGAGTCATTGCTTAATATTGTGTCATTGGATCTAATCTTTCTCAACCACAGAAAATCTGATTTAGTTGAAGTGATGTCTGTACTGTATTTTCTTGGAATTAGACAATCTGCAATTTAACCAGAGACATATTTTACAAAAGACATATTTTACAACTGTCTTTATATATTTTGAAATATCTATCCTGAAGTGAGGTTTTCATGTCAATCTATATTTATACAATGCAGAGATGCCATATCATTTGTTCAGGTTGAAAATCACTTTTTGTCTGGCAGGAATGTCTCAGGAAGCTCAATCTCATACTAAGAAAAGAAAGAACAACCTCCAATCAAAAAGCCAGACACTGAAGAGGAATTATGAGTAAGTATTCCTTGATAGACATGCACTACAAATTACACATTTTAGGTATTAGTCGGATCTGCCATACATTTCAAGCCAACAGTCAGACCTAGGCTGACCGATGTGCCAAGAATACAGCCAAACCTAGTATAGTCAACCCCACCACTCATTTCATGTGCAGTCAAAACTGCCTTGTAAGTTATTTACTACATTTGTACAATTGCATTTCGACTATATCATAAAACCTGCCACACTCTCTAAGTATAAAGTCAGACCTGACACACATTCTAAGTATAAAGTCAGACCTGACACACATTCTAAGTATAAAGTCAGACCTGCCACACATTCTAAGTATAAAGTCAGACCTGCCACACATTCTAAGTATAAAAGTCAGACCTGCCACACATTCTAAGTATAAAGTCAGACCTGACACACATTCTAAGTATAAAGTCAGACCTGCCACACATTCTAAGTATAAAAGTCAGACCTGACACACATTCTAAGTATAAAGTCAGACCTGCCACACATTCTAAGTATAAAGTCAGACCTGACACACATTCTAAGTATAAAGTCAGACCTGCCACACATTCTAAGTATAAAGTCAGACCTGCCACACATTCTAAGTCAGACCTGCCACACACTCTAAGTATAAAGTCAGACCTGACACACATTCTAAGTATAAAGTCAGACCTGACACACATTCTAAGTATATAATCAGACCTGACACAAATTCTAAGTATAAAGTCAGACCTGCCACACATTCTAAGTATAAAGTCAGACCTGCCACACATTCTAAGTCAGACCTGCCACACATTCTAAGTATAAAGTCAGACCTGACACATTTTTCCAGTATAAAATCAGACCTGCCACATATTTCCAGTATAAAGTCAGACCTGCCACATATTTCCAGTATGAAATCAGACCTGCCACATATTTCCAGTATGAAATCAGACCTGCCACATATTTCCAGTATAGAGTCAGACCTGCCACATATTTCCAGCATAAAGTCATACCTGCCACATATTTCCAGCATAAAGTCAGACCTGCCACACATTCTAAGTATAAAGTCAGACCTGCCACATATTTCCAGCATAAAGTCACACCTGACACACATACTAAGTATAAAGTCAGACCTGCCATACATTCCAGCATAAAGTCACACCTGACACACATTCTAAGTATAAAGTCAGACCTGCCATATATTTCCAGCATAAAGTCAGACCTGACACACATTCTAAGTATAAAGTCAGACCTGCCACATATTTCCAGCATAAAGTCACACCTGACACACATACTAAGTATAAAGTCAGACCTGCCATACATTCCAAGCATTAAGTCACACCTGACACACACATAAAGTCAGACCTGCCACATATTTCCAGCATAAAGTCACACCTGACACACATACTAAGTATAAAGTCAGACCTGCCATACATTCCAAGCATTAAGTCACACCTGACACACATACTAAGTATAAAGTCAGACCTGCCATACATTCCAAGCATTAAGTCACACCTGACACACATACTAAGTATAAAGTCAGACCTGCCACATATTTCCAGCATAAAGTCACACCTGACACACATACTAAGTATAAAGTCAGACCTGCCATACATTCCAAGCATTAAGTCACACCTGCCACACATTGAAAAGAGTTAGACCCAGGGCTGGATAATGGGGAAGGTTCCTGGTTTCCAGGTTAACTATTTTAAAAAAACCCATTAGATTCTTGCTAAGCTTTTTTATTGACTATATATTTATCTTTATATTAATTATATATTTATTGAAGCTTTGTTGTCCCAAGAGGCCATACAAAATACTTCTCACCTGCTTGTTCACTGGGTTTATCCTCCCATGAATGATCAAGGTTTATTTGAGGTGGGGTCTCCTTGTAGAAGCTGGTAGTTGACTCACAGCAAACTGGGGTAAAGTGTCTTTCTCAAGGACTTATCCATGATAGGGAGATCCCTATATCTGGTTTCAGAGAAACACAAACCATTCTAAGTAAAATAATGTTTGAGAGGTCACATATCTATCTACATTGATGTTGCTTTTTTTGGGAGAAGGAGGTTTGGCTATTTCAATCATTCATCACACATGAAAACTTGTGTTTAGTGATGAAAGAATTTAAGAGTGAGATTTTTCTGTATGATTTTATTCAATAGAGAAAAACCAAAAAAGCACAAAAAGAAATCAAAAGAGTAAGTGAAAGCATATGTTATGTTTATGTCAATATATATAGTCTTCAGCACTCTTATTATCCATGTAACATAACCAACAAGTGCCCCTGTACTGTATCCTATATACCCTTGTTGGTATATATTTTCACAGGGCTAAATTTTCATGGTTTTTAAAACATACTTCTTTGTTTACACTTGATTTCATGGAAACATGTAGCTCAACAAATTTATTTGTATTGATTTCAACAGTTCATGGACTTTTAAACTCATGGATTAACTGTAATCACGAAACCAACAAAAATAAATCTCCTATGAAAATTAATGATTTGACAGTATGACACTTTTATTTTGTTATAATATTAAGTTGTATGATCATAAATATAAAAACCATAATCTAAATTTAGCACATTACCATATTTAGATATATTGAATATAAATCAAATATTTATAAACAAGTATCAATATACACCTGTCATCTGAAAACTTGTTACAAAAGACTTTAATGGAACCATTGAAAATGTCTTTCCATAAAATTCATTAAAATATCAGTTTATGAAACTTTTTTGTAGGTTCGTCTCAATTCTTAAATTTGCATGTTAAAATTTTTGGGAATAATGGGGAAGAAAAAAGGGTGTTCTCTGAGTGCTGACAAGAAAAATGGTTTTCAGATTTCCATCTTGGGTTTGGACAGTTGAAATTTGATATTGTATTTTCTAAAAAAAAAAGCTGGATGGTTGGTTGGTTGGTTGACAGGTTTTCAGTCTCAGCGACTCCTCCTATGTCAGGGCATCATCTCACCGATGAACGTCACTGTTCTGGCGAAGTGTTTTGTGCTGGATGGAATGAATTTCTTTATTTATACAGTAATTGCTATTAAGATTTAAATTGCAAGGAATTCTCTTGGTCCATACTTTTATATGTTTGATATTTGAAACAAATGGCTGACAGAAAATGATCTTTGATTTTGGCAATTCAGCTTTGTTGTTACATTGTACTACTGAGACAGAGAATCTCAGGGTCCTGTATCACTTAGAGGTGTATCCACACCCATCCCTTAGAGGAAGAGGTCAGGTATGCCCTCAATCACCTCGTAGAAGAGGGCAAGTGTGCCCTCACCCCATAAAAGGGCAGGTATGTCATACCTGAACAGGAAGAGCCATCAAGCTGAACTGGCTGCCATTTCCATTGTTGGGCAAGGTGCTTTAGACACATTAAATCAATTCTGTGTTAATTATGTATTAAAATAGGTTTCTGTCCTGTGTTGGTCATGTTCAGCATATAATCTAGTTCTGGTGAACAGCACACCTCTTGTGCATGTCAGTATTATAACAAGTTTTTAGCATGGTGTATGTAAATAAACAATATATGTATATATATATTTTGGTACTGTGCATTATTTTTTCTTAAATCCAGTGAAGTAGTGTTTTGCTGAAATGAATGATATGAAGTTCATGCGATTTAAATTAGAATGGTTTATAAGAGTTAATGAGAGGACTATTGTATTGTATACACCACAGTAACATGAAGATGACATTTACCTGGGGCATTGAAAGACTGACTACAGATAAATAAGAAAGAATTACCTGTATGACGGTACATTTTGTATACTGCTGGGTACTCACAATAACAAACCAAACAATTACATCCCAAATATTTTTGGAAATCAGGCTTTTCTGTTTGAGAAATTGGTCCCTGTATCACTTAGAAATGTCCCATGTCAGTTTCTCTGAACCATTTGAAGAACCATCTAAGATTAATCAATATGCTTATAATAACTACATACAGCTGTGCATGACTGTTTTAAATATATTATACTGTGTGTTTCACATTTTAACCACAGCAAAGGGTCGAAAGGTAGAGGACTGTCAGGTAGGAGAGGAACAATGGTCAAAGTGACGACAAAGAAGATTGGATACCCAAAGACAAAGATTGGCCAACTGTGGTTCGAGTTTACATCAAAAGTAGCCACCTACCAACTGGTCATCTTTTGGACGGTCCTCTACACACTCTGTCTGATGGGCGTCTTTACAGAACGTGCTTTCTGTATGTGTAGATATTACATTAACAGCATGTAGATATTTTTTTATTCGAGTTCTTGGATCAGGCTCATAACCATAGACAAATTTGTTCTTTTTGATAATCAGTAAGATTTGAGTAATAATGATAATGAAGTAAGTGATAGTGTTGTCATATTGAGGCAAAAGGTTTGTTAATGAGGTAGGAAATTATATTTCCTGGAGAAAAATTGTGGTTGATCTAAGATATCACGATCTAATGCTGGCTGTACATGTCTTATTGAAAGGCAGTCCACTGATCAAGATCACTTGTCAGCAAATTTTTATTTAGGCTCAGATAATCAGATATTGTTTTATATTGAGATATTACAAAGATGGACTTAAAGCCTATTTAATTAAATAATTGTGGTGAGGTGGTACATATTTCATTGAGAATGTTTGAGTGTCTTTGTCTCAGATAGTCTAGGCTGAATCCAAAGGATTGAAATTGTTCAAACCCTCAGCTTTAGATTGATTAATCTGACTAAATATTGTCACCATATCCTTTCATTAATTTTCAATTCAATTTATTTCTTAATGTTTTAAAATTAAAATGTATTTAATCTGTGCTATAAATTTGTAATTATTTTAATTTTGGCTCTGCATCGAGATGCGGATGCCCTGTAGCAATCAGCTCATCTGTCTGTCCGTTTTTTGGTCTGTATACAGTATCTCGAATTGGGGAAAAGGCACTCATACTTTATGGCAAGCCTCCATAAAGGATGTGCTTGCTTGGGGTATGTAGCTTTTCATCTCCCAAGTTAAAATTCAAGGTCACTATTGCTGGAAGTAGAAAATCAGTTTCTGTGTGATAACTGGAGTTTGCTTTGCCCAATCTAACTTCATACAATGCTTCCTTGACCTTAGAACTTGGGATATTGCTTCTTATATCCCAAGTTCTAAGGTCAAGGTCACTGTTATTACAAATAAAAAAATCAGATTGTTGAATGTATTTGTAAGTATGTTTTTTTTTTTTTTATTTGTAAAAGTCTTTCTTGACTTTTGTGGCAGAGTGTACTAAAGGTCTTGCCAGAAATCTGCCAGTTTGAGGTGTGTGTGCCAAAGGGTTGGTTGGGGGAGGGATTTATGAATTGCTAAATGGTGTTGTACATTACAGATTATTCGGTAGAACGTGAACATGCAGGACTTCGTCGTATTGCTGGATATGGAGTGACAATAACTCGAGGAGCAGCCAGTTCCATGATGTTTACATACTGCCCACTGCTTATTACCATGAGTCGAAACTTGATCACATTCTTCCGAGAGACTTCCCTGCACCGATTTTTCCCTTGGGACTCGATGCATTTCCTGCACAAGTATATTGCATTCTGGGCTCTCTTTTTCACATGTAAGTTCACATGGTCATGACAACAATAAAAAAGAGTAGCAGTTAAAGGAAAAATAGATTAAGAGGAGGTATCATTTACATGTAGGATAAATAGAAGGTTGAAGGATACTCATCACAAAGATTTTTGGACTCAAGATCAACGAAGATTTAAGTGTCTAATTACATACATAAAAAGTAATTTAGGAGAAAGTATAAGTCAAACTTATAATTGATGGGGAACTACATTTTGTAATAATACATAATATATGGTAACTGCCTTACCATGCCCTTTTAATTACATGTAATGTAGTCTGATTCTTTCTCCAGACACTGTATGGAAGAAAAGTGTTTTTATATATATTTTGTGATGTGATGCTTTCATTCTTACAGTGGTCCATGTTGTTGGGCACAGTATCAACCTGTACCACATATCCACCCAGTCATCAGGCGACCTGAATTGTATATTCCGTGAATACTTTAGAGCGTAAGAAATTTTCACTCCTGTCATTTTTAATTTGTTTTATTTCAAATGTTGATGATCAACAAAAATTGTAATGAGATTATGCCCTGGTCTGACATGGATGATAAGTGAATTCCAGATTTCAAACAAAATGATTAAGTCACAAGATGAAATATCTGACATTTACATGCGATTGGCGTTTATCTAAACACACAGTGTCAGAAAATATATAAGACATGTTTCATTGACTGTGTACAAACGTTTTATTGAGGGAGTGATTTGGAAAATATCATTCTTTATCATTCAAAAGTTGGCAGAGATATGTTATCTGTTTCCAGACAAGATGTCCTTGCTTCTTTTCACTACTGGACCTACACCACTATCACAGGTAGAGTAATCAATACACAACTATTATCCTAACTATTTTGGTTGACACAAATTTTAGCATTCCAAGCAATTTCATAATATCTTTTATCAAAAAGATTGGGTTCTAGTCAATGAGTTTAAAGTTGTTTTTAAAAGACATTATTTACATACTTTAAAATAGGTAACAAGTATATGATTTCTTTTGATAAAAATATTTCACAGGTGAAAGTATTTCCTCAGAAATTATATTTTATTAATTTGACTTCTTATTTAAAATCCGCAGGAATCACTGGAATCATTTTGACCTTAATAGTGATTGTGATGTACGTGTTTGCGATGCCGTATGCTCGTCGTTACGTCTTTAATGCCTTCTGGACGACACACAAGTTCTACGTGTTGCTGTATTTATTCAGTATCCTGCACGGCGCAGCACGTCTTGTTCAACCACCTCTATTCTGGTTGTACCTCCTCCCATGCCTCGTTATTTTTGTCATTGATAAAATGATCAGTGCTAGTCGCAACACGATTGAAATTGGAGTTATCAGTGCTGATCTTTTACCTTCAGGTGTGTATAATGTGCACAGGTGTGTTACAGTATAATGTCCACAGGTGTTTTACAGTATAATATGCACAGAAAGTGAATTGTTGCTGACTAAAAGATGCAGAAATTTGGAAAGTTACTAGCCATGAAAGGTAGATGCTCTATGATATAATATTACCATGATTGTATGGCATTGATACAATAAAACCTTACCTATCCCAGTGGTGTATTACCACACCGTAAACTGTCAATAATATGGGGTATTGCAAGTAATGCAGACTAATTATAGGATAGTATGCTTGTTTTTATGCATATATTGGAATTTAGATCATGAATATTGGTTTAAACATGAGAAATCCAATGTTTAAATGACAAAAATCATGGTCTTATCTCCAGTTTATGTATAAAAATTAACATACTATCCCCGTTCTAAAATAATTTTGGTATAAGGTTGATGTAAATTGCAATATCAACAAAATTTAACAAAATATGAGATCTTCACAATTTCGTTAGAAACCATCTGTCATGTGTTCTTAGTCAATCAAAATGTTGTATTTTTTGTCCACCTTCAAGTCTTCTTCTGTAAAACCAGAAAACCCTATATGTCAACATGTGATCAGAGTATCAATATTCGTTGAGATTTTACTTAAGTACAAATACAATAAAACATTATTTATGGTTGAAATATCAAGAAAATTAATCAGTGATTTTACTTACTTCAGATGTGACAGCTCTAGTTTTCAAACGACCTGCCAGTTTTGAGTACAAGTCTGGTCAGTGGGTCCGTATCGCCTGCCTTGACCTTGGTAAAAGCGAGTACCATCCCTTTACTTTGACCTCGGCCCCACATGAGGAACATCTCAGTCTCCATATTCGTGCTGTCGGTCCCTGGACTACAAACATTCGTGAATTGTATGACCCTGACCGACTGGAATACAAAAAATACAAGCTTCCAAAGGTAGAATTATAATCATCATTGTTTAATGACTGCCTGAAATGTTTACTCACATGTCATGGTGCTAGGATGGAGGCCATGCTGTGTCTGTAATCGGTGATAAAACTTAAGATATAATTTGTACAATTTTATCTAAGTGGGGAAAAAAATTTACGAATGTCTAAAGTTTTCCCAAAAATGCTTCATGAATTTTTAAGGAAAGCTGAACTCATGGTATTAATGGTCTTAGGTGATGTTATATCAGCTGTATAAGTGGCATGTTGTGGTTTTATTACAGCTGTTCCTGGACGGCCCCTATGGAGAGGGACATCAGGATTGGTATCGGTTCCAAGTGGCCATCTTAGTTGGAGGTGGAATCGGGGTCACGCCTTTTGCCTCCATTTTAAAAGACATTGTCCATAAATCAAAAATAGACGACTTCAGATTTCCTTGCAAAAAGGTTGGTTCTTCATTTTTTTCTCCTACACATAATGTAAATGGTAAAAAGGAATTACCCTAATTGTATTATATAACAAAAAATATTTGTTCAAACCAATACTTTTTCATAAAATATAATAAATGGCAGATTTCTTAGCCAGAATTGAGATATTGGTGGGATGAAGGTCTAGAAAGCATTCCTTTTCATCAGGCTTATTAAAAACAGAGGCGCCAATTTAAATTGATAATGGGCCATTCTGCAGCCACTCAGTAATAAGCTTAAAATCACTTGAAAAGGATAATATCACCAGGGAATTTTAATTTATAATTGACAAATTGCTTCCCCACAGTCTTGAAAAATTCTGGTTGTAGGAGCTATGAGTACTATTGTTACTTGTAACTCAGTCTCAGCACAACTCTTTCTTTAGATAGGAAAGAGGATGGGTGCCTTGAATCAAATGCTCCAATTCAATATTCATTCTTTTGACTATTGGCATCACATACACAATTTTCGATTGAAGATTTTTAGGTCATCTGACCGAAGGGTCTGATGACCTATTGCAATCGCCTTTTGTCCGGCGTGGTCAGTCGTAAACATTTTCAACTTCTTCTCAAGTTCTATGTCTCATTGAGCTGAAACTTACCTGAAATGATCATGACATGATCCTGACCAAAGTTTGTTAATTTCGGGTGGGTCTGAATTCCAACATGGCCACCATCTTGAAAACACATTTTCGACTTCTTCTCATGTTCAAAATTTGAAATTTTGTATTTTATGTCAGATGACCATTAGAGCCCATGGGCCTCTTGTTTTATATACTTACTATTTAGTAATTATTTAATGATGCTGATATTTTGCATTGGAGTCACTAGGAGATGATTTGGATTCAAACTTAGAATTATTTTTGTATCCCAACAGTAATAAGCAAGACATTAGCATGGGTGTTAATGTAGTACTTGGAATGTATGATAAGTGACATTGAGATTTGCTCTCACCAATGGCAGACAGAAAGGTCAGGATTTTGTTGGGCATCAACTGGATTTCCCACCAATAAGAAATCAGAGAAGCAAACTAAAAGACTATCTAAAAGGCCAAAAATACATATTATTCTTTCAGTTCCTAATTCAAATGGAAACTTTTCCCAGCAAATATTTATAACCTTGCCTTTTGAATTTTTGTAAGTGCAGTGTGCTATGAGGGAATGTAGTAAAAATTAAGTCCATATTTTCACTTTAATTTATGGAATGTTAAATCACCATATTTTCAGGTATATTTCCTTTGGGTCACCCGCACTCAGAAACAGTTCGAATGGATGACAGATATTATCCGTGAAGTTGAAAACAATGATTTGAAAGGCTTTGTTGATGTTCACATCTTTATCACACAGTTTAAGGAGAAGTTTGATTTCAGGACTACTATGTTGGTAAGAAATGTTTCGTTTGAGCAACATGTCGTGTTTAATACTATATCTTAGAAAGTTTTCCAGTATCTAATATGATCCTGCTAGAACTGTTGATTAATTTTTTGCAATTATGGCTGTATTTAGTGGATTAGCATTGCCAACATCATAAACTAAGGGTATTGCAGTCTGTATTTTAGTAAAGTAAGCTCCGGTGTTCTGTATTTTCATAAACTTTTGTCATTGTAGTCTGTATTTAATTAAAAAAAAAAAAAACAGCAGTCCTTTGTTCTGTATTTTCGAAAAACTAAGGTCTCTGTGGTTTGTATTTTTTAACTTAGGTCACTGTGATTCTTGTTCTTTCAGTATATCTGTGAGCGCCATTTCCAGAAAGTGGCAGGTAAAAGTTTATTCACTGGTCTGAGTGCTACAACCCATTTTGGGAGACCACAGTTCCAGGATATCCTCAGGTCTATAGGCAACGAGCACCCTCAGGTACAGTATATGAAAGTCAACCTCATCAACATTACAAAAGTAGTACACAGTTTGTATCCTAATTACCAGGATCATATATGTAAGACACAATGGATGACTTCTTTATCAGTATTTAAACAGACCAAGTTACAGCACACAATTGTTAATATTGTTATAAGCAAAGCGTTACAAAATACGCCCATCCTAAGTTTACCAAGTTATTGAGGGGAAACCTATTTTGCAAATGTACCAAGGGCCATAACTCTGTAAATAAAGGGCGAACAATTTTGGTTATCAAACTTGACCTGGTTTTTATGGTAATAAACCTTCATGTGAAGTTTCCAATTAATCTGTAAAAAATTTCACAATTCATTGATCGGAAACCTATTTTGCAAACGTACCAAGGGCCATAACTCTGTAAATAATGGGCGACAAATTTTAGTTATCAAACTTGACCTGGCTTTCATGGTAATAAACCTTCATGTGAAGTTTCAAATTAATCTGTAAAAAATCATTCAAGTTATCTAACGGAAACATATGTGCGGCCGCCCGTCCGCCTAGGTGAAAACATAATATGTCCCATCTTTTGACGAGGATATAAAAAACAACCACTGATCATGAATATCTTTATCTATGAATAACCTCTTCTTAACTTCATATCAAATATAACATTTTCCAGGTGAATCGTGTCGGGGTGTTCAGCTGTGGTCCTCCACCGATGACTAATCAGCTTGACAGGACTTGCTCAGATCTCAACAAAGTACAGGGTACTCTATTCAAGCATCACTTTGAGAACTTTTAGAAGGATGAAATGCAGCTCAGTATGTGCAGAAGACCAGCCCTTCTGCGATTAAAAGTAGATTTCTTACAAAAACATTGTCATGAAAATACCTTCTCCACTGATGCAATACATTTTTGTTATGATTTTAATCACAGACATTTTCAAATTGATTGAATGTGTTTATTGTGATCTAATGATTAAGAGATGGGTTTGCATGTTAGGATATGAAATGAATAACATTCACCAAAAATATGAAATGGAAAAATATTAAGAAAATATAACCTGGAACATTTATTAGATGATCAAAGATTTGCAGCTTAATGCGATCAGGTTAATTTTTTTACAAGATAGTTATGTGGTCATATAGTACACAAGTTTCAGAACTGTTTGAAAAGAAATGTTTTGAGAAGTTTTTAAGACTATCTATCTCGTGGAATAAGTTTAAGATGAGGTAGGTGAGGTATATAGAATTTGTTTTATTTCCTTGATATTGATAAACTTTGTTTTAAATTTTTTTAATAGAAATCAAAGTTTGAATTTAAATGTGTTATCTTTGTCCTTGTTTGTATAATGTTTACCTGGTATTACATGTTTCAATATTCACAAATATGTTTTCTATTTTTCCAATTTTTGTAAACCCTTTGAAAATATGAAATTTGTTGTACATATGTTATCAAGCTATAGATTTTGATACATGACTGGATCCTGTATAAATATTGCTCATTGAAAGACTGTGACTGACTTATTTACAGCCTGTCCTATAACCACACTGCATTGAAGAGTGTCTGGTCATTGTTCAGTACAGTGAACAAACTTTTCAAATTAACAGGCATATTATATTAGATAAATTCATGTATATCACCAATCATTATGCTTTACCAGCAAAACAAAATGGAAAAAAAAGTGAAAGAAAAATTGTTGATTAATATTTATGTAAGCAAGATTAATATTTATATTAGCAAGATAAGCCTGAAGATTTTAAAATACTGTTTGTCTAACTATAATACACAAAGTAAAAAATACAGTCTGTTATATATATGTAATTCATTATTTTCTTTTAATACTGGACATTAAATTAACATATGTTAAGTATATTCCACTTTACATTTAATTTAATATCATATGATTTGTATTATTGTATCCTTTGAAAGTGAAAGCTGTTCTGTAAGTTATACATGTATCTGGTTTGGTACTTTCAGGGAAAGGTATTTGCTACAGATCATGATGTATCCTGAGAGGCACTGTGACTGTATTGTATTGCTTGTATGCAATTGTATTGTAAAGCATGTATTGCTTTTTTGTGTGGAAACTGTCACTGATTTAAACTTTAGAAAACCAGGAAAATTAAATGTAGTGACTTATGCTAAATAAGGATAGAATGATATATTATTAGTTTTTATATTTGAAATGTCTTACAATCAAACCTTCAAAGAAAGAACCCCTATGAAAATTTCCTGTGATACAGTAAATCTATTTAAATAATTCTACACTGCCTTTATATTGTATGATTGACTTCCTTGCCTATAAATAATAATTGATGTATTTTTTTTTCAGCTAGTTTGCTTATTTTCTTGCTTAGAAGAAATTAAAAGACAAGTTATAGATAATATAGCCCACCTGAACATATTTTTCTCACTCAGCTTCGGTGCAGTGTTCCTGCAGAAGATTTTCCATGATATATACAGTAGTAATTGAGTCCCTGTTTAACTAAAAATAACCAAAAAACTTGAACATATATTTTTTTCAGTGCATTTTGACATGTAATGTCTCCAGATAAATTTTGGCTTTATTTAAAATAGTTCACTATTCATTTCAGAATGGATTTAATTACTGCACTCATAAATTCTGGTTTCTTGGGAAAATTAGGGAAACTTCTAAAACCTTACTTCCCTGATACTCAAGGTGTTCTTGTTATTGTGCAGAATACTCGTCGACTTATGTTATCTCTGATGAATTAATCCCTAGAAAGTCTGAGTCATTGTATGTAACAGGAAACAGAGTATATGTGTATAACTTAAATTGCCTGATAATAATGACATACCTCCCTACTATTTAGTCCTCTGTTTTTATATGAAATAAATCCTGATTCATGGGCATGCAAGTCTTATATTTTGTTTTATTTTTCAGCATTGTTTTATATAAAACTTATTCTGTATACGATTACATATACAATTAATATTATGTGTAAGACTGCTAAGACGTTGGTCTGAATGAATTCCCTGATCAGGGTGCTGTCTTAGATGTGATTCCAAATCAGTGCTTGATATTTTTAGTCTACCATCATTGGATGGTCTGCTATTCAAATCACAGAATGTATCATTATCAAAAGTCATATGTAGGTTTCCGATGGTCCCTTGCTGTGTCCTGTTTTAGGGTAGATTAGAAAAACAAAGTTACTTACACGCAGCCATCTTGAATTTTGACAATGAAAGTTGTTATTGTTATTTCATAAGATCTGCTTGGTGTGGCTTTCTCAAATTTCGTATGCAAGCTTGGTCCCTTGTTGCCCTTTTGGTATTAGAACTGCTTGGAAAATCAAATGGCTGACAAGAGGCTGTTTTGCATTTTGACAATAAGTTTGTTATAGCTATTTCTTAAGAAATTTCTCAAGTTTCATTTAATGATTCCCATTGGTCCCTAGTTGTGCTCTTTTGATATTAGAACTGGTCAGAAAAACAAAATGGTTGACAGGCAGCCATCTTGGATTTTGATAATGAAAGATGGTAATCACTATGGATAATGGATGAATCTCTCAAAGTTCATACATAGATATCCCTTACTCTCTCACTGTACAATATTGATATTGGGACTAATCAGGAATAATACTGTAACTTTGTATAGGTATGTAAAATCATACAGGTAATTTGATCAAACATGAATTCAAACTGTAGAACAGTTTGTTTTCAAATGTTTGACTTGGAGATAAACAACGATATTATACAGACAAATAAACTGTAGCTTACACCAGGTAAGATCTATTCACCTGTAAGATGTGTGCCTTTATTGATTAACAAGGAACAAGAGAATAGGAAATTAAATAATTTCATTTTATATATGAATTGATTTCGTTGATATATTTTTCTTTACAGTTTGATAGTATGACAACTTTAAGTATATAGTTTCACACTTAATCTCGAAATAAAAGAGGCCCAAAAGGCTTGTATCACACATGATGATAATGTACTAAATAATCATACATAGTCACTGTCAGTTGGAATGTATTTAGTTTTGGAACTCTTTAGTACAAGTTTGCTGATAAATGGAGTTTCTAACACATTTGTGATATAACAATGAAAACAACCTGTCATTTATTCTCACACCAGGGCTACTTCACTAAACAAGAGACTCATCAGGTGTTATAATACACAAGTTTTAGTGTTTTATCCATGAACTTGCCAAAAACAGCAGAGTGTGGTCACATATCCCTGTTTCCTTAGAAACAAACTGTCCTGATAGAGATTGAACCACACACTTGTGATCTTCACTTGAGGCTGTGTGTATGCTCTACAGATTAAGTATTCTTAGCATATCTCAGCTGATTGCAGTAAGATAATACATGTACAACAAAAAGTTCTCAAACAAAGTAAAACAAAAATCACAAATGAATAAGCAACAGATCACAACCTATCGGTAATAACATTAATTTTAAACATTATGTTGTATAGTACTGTGTTACTCTATACTATACACACAGAAATGTCATTTTTCTGTAATTTTTTGCAAATATGCCTGGTAATTGATCATATTATGAACAGGATCTTAAATTCATTTTCATGTCTCAGACAGCTGGTTTCCATTTCTGTCAGTTTAATTACATTTATTCCAGAAGACAACATATATAGTAGACCCTCCTTCTCCCTGTTTACATATTTTTAGAATCCCATTGTCACAAAATCTTTCCAAATCAATACATAGTATGTAGTAAAAGTAATGGGAGTACCAGTATCAGAAACATGATATGTTGGTCTGACCTCTGACCCTATCAAATAATTCTCAAACAATGTTTGATATTCAAAATACCTGGTAGCAAGTGTTAGATGTCTAAATATATAGATGTAAGAATTTATTTTTCCCAATTTAATCCATACCATCATGGCCATGCCCCAGGAAACCATCCATGTCAACACTTCATCACTTTCATATGAATGCATTCAACATTATTAATATCATCATATCAAGTTGTCTAGAACAGTCAATTAAATTTTGCAGTTCTGCCACAATTTCATCTAGATTTATCACTTTATAAAAAATAATTTATCTCTGAAAGTTACATTATAAATCTTTGATTGTGTAGCACTTTAACTTGTATATATAAAAGTTGGGCACTAATACAAAAAAAATCAAAAAAAATCAGAGAAATCTGTAAAGGCTTGTTTAGTTTCTTTTCTTCTGTTTTTTTTTTGTTGGCTCAAATTTTTTTTATTTACTTTACAAAAAGCTGAAGTAGCAAAATAGATGTATATATTGGAGGTCATAAATCGGACAATAGTTTTATTTATTGATTTAATAATCAAAGTATTTATATTTCATGGTTTTATCCCATCACCAAAAATAGAGAAAAGTAGACTCCCTCACAAATAACTTTTATACAAAATAAATGATAAATAAAAACCTTTAAGTGACATATCATATTGTAAGAAAAAGACATCTTCACATGTACAATTAGTTAAGGTTACTGATCTTGTCCACTTCATAATCACATTGTATGAGGCACGCTATCAAAAATATTGACAAGCATTTTTTGACAGGATATAAGGACACCTTTACTATTTTAAAAGGAAATAATCAAGATCTATACTGGAGGTCAATAGATCTATATCTAGTAGATACAATGGAACAATTAGTGTCATATTATCATACATCAAACAAACAAAAATTTGTTACACAGAGAAAGTGATGTGTATGTAATAATAGATGTCTGTTACAAAACTGATACAGGTGTGGTATACATGACAAGTAAAATACAGGTACACCTGGTTTGTGTCAGGGTACAGTGACGCTGTATAAACACCTGATACTAACACAGATGTGATATATGTATATTACAGACAGGTACACCAGGTTTGTGTCAGGGTACAGTGATACTGTATAAACACCTGATACAAACACAGATGTGATATATGTGTATTACAGATAGGAACACCTGGTTTGTGTCAGGGTACAGTGACACTATAAACACCTGATACAAACACAGATGTGATATAAGTGTATTACAGACAGGTACACCTGGTTTGTGTCCGGGTACAGTGACACTGTCCAAACACCTGATACAAACACAGATGTGATATAAGTGTATTACAGACAGGTACACCTGGTTTGTGTCAGGGCACAGTGATACTATAAACACCTGATACAAACACAGATGTGATATAAGTGTATTACAGACAGGTACACCTGGTTTGTGTCAGGATACAGTGATGCTGTATAAACACCTGATACTAACACAGATGTGATATATGTATATTACAGACAGGTACACCAGGTTTGTGTCAGGGTACAGTGATACTGTATAAACACCTGATACTAACACAGATGTGATATATGTGTATTACAGACAGGTTCACCTGATACAATCACAGATGTGATATATGTGTATTACAGACAGGTACACCTGATACAAACACAGATGTGATATATGTGTATTACAGACAGGTACACCTGATATAAACACAAGTGTAATAAATGTTACAGGCAGGTACAACTTCAGATACACATGACATAAACATAAGTGTAAAGTGCAACAGACAGGTACAATTATAGGTAAGTCTTACATACACACAGGTGTGATATACATTACAGGTGGGTACAATTACAGGTATTCCTGGTCTATGTCAGTGTGTCTTTATGTTGTATATGGTGTACAGAGACATTATCAACTTAAACACAGGTGTAAAGAGAACAGTGATGATTGGTAAACTGTAGTACTGCAGATAATACATAACATCCTTGACTGGTACAATTCCCAAGATGGTCAACATCCCTGCTGTTGTCGGAGGCAGACATCGCACCTTCCAGTAGTCTAACATATGCCCGAGTGTTGTAAGGTCAAGGTTAGTATTTAGGGCTTCTCCCTGTAGCAAACCAACAAAAATTAGAGATCAAACAGTGAAGTTACATGTACAATGATGGGAGTTAAACAATATTTGCTGATTTTAGTCTCCCGTAAAAGCCAGACACATGTTAAGGCAGGGTCTACTTGCAGTAGACTTGGAATCAAATGTCTTGGCTCAGCACAGACTGGTCCAATTCTTAGCTTCCTGAGAAACACATCATTACAAGTCAGGAGCCTCGCATTACCTACCTACGATCTACACCTGAGGTTACAAGAGTCAACACTCTAGCAACCAAGTTATTACAGACAAAGCATATTTAAACAAATAATTCAAAATAGATTAAGTGAATGTCTCTTAATTTGTTCTATTTTCTCTTTTGATGGGAAAATGATCAAACTTCACTAAAACCTTTTTTTTTTGCATGACCAGTTTACTGAAATTTAGTGATTAAAGTCAAGTATGAATGTATAAATCATAACAGCTGTCAAAGCAATAGAGACAACATTTCCTATGATAATGATGAGATTCTACTCACTAGTGCTTCACTTAGGAGATGGATGTTGACCTGAATGGTAGTCTCCACCAGGTAGGCACTTACAAGCAGGCAAGCCAGGGCTAATGTCCATGTCCCTATCACAGTCAACAGCCAGACCCTACAGGAGAGGCAAACAAGAAACTAGATACACTTGCATATATCCCTTAACTTCAAACTTTAACTGTTGTCCAATACAATCTGGAGAGATATTTTGAACTAAAAGTTGTTTGTAAAACATAAGCTCTGTTTAAAAATATTACTTTCATTGATATCAAAGACAAATGCAAATTGTAATCATGAATTGGAAAAGGAAAATGTTGTTTACACATTTTTGTTGTGTTCATTAACAAGCTCCATCCGACACATAATGGATTGCTTCAGTGGAAATACCCAAGTGTAGTCCTAATGTGTGTTTAAGTTCTGCAGCTGTGTTTTTGTTTCTAGACGAAAGCACAAGATTAAATCACAGCTAAGCTAAGTTTTGGTGAAAGTAGGAATATAAGAAATAACCAAGTTCTGGAACAAAAAAATATTTCTGTGTGATATGATGATTTCTGATTACAGCTCAAATTAATTACCACAGCAGACTAAAATGTAAATTTTTAAAAATACCAATATTACTTACCATTTCTTTATCCGCTTGGGCGAGAGTTTATTTTTGGCAAACATACTATCATAGAGATAATAGACCAGAGTGCCAAGCCCTGCAGCGTAGCAGCAAATATAAACTGGGTAGGTTAGGGGCACACTGCTAACGTCAAAACTTTGGTGGATCTCATTCTGAAAAGTTAATTTACACATAACAAGGACATAGTGTTCAAGATCCCGCACCCATATTCATATACACTTAAAGTGAGCAACATGGAAAACAAGAGTATTGAAACCATTTATTGTTTATGTTCAGTTTGAAAGTTCCGTTGAAAATAACCAATATAATAACAATTTAGTAGCATGATACTGTTAATATTAAAATCAGCTTATACCTTTATATTCCCTTCTTTTACCTATTGTTATGATAGAATATTTGTCACTTAATTTCAGTTATACTGGATCAATCAATGATTCTATTACCAATCAAGTATGACAAAACAGTGAAATGGTTTATACACATTAATAAAATACAATACAGCATCTAATAGTCAGATATGTAAAATTGCAATAAAAAAGATACTAGCAGTAAGGCAAACCATACCAGGTGATAGTGCAACATCACTTTGAACATTAGACTTCTAAAAACATTTTGGAGATTCACTATCATTGGTTTATTAGGGATTTTACTGATTGGTGAAAAGGCCTATTGTTATTGTTCTGTTCCTTGTTAGTAGTATTCTTCTTCCTTGATTTGGTGGCATCTTAATTTCTGAATCAGTACGAGATGTATTTATTGTCTTTACAATGTCTTTTAAGACATGGTCTGCAGGAGTGCACTGATGTTTTATTTTTTTTAAAAAATCCAATACAGTTGATATGACGTCATATGTCAAACGTTTAAAACAACATAAGTTAAAGAGTATTTACTGTATGGATTTTCTGAAATGATATGGTTGACAATGTTTAGGGCCTAATTTCATAATGGACATATAAATACCTAGGTCAAATTAAAAAGCTCGCTGTAGGATCAATGATCATCAATTTTTCAACTATTTAAAAAAAAAAGTTTTGCAAAAGCTATTTTTAGGCGACAGGGTATTATCCCATATTGATGAAGTCTTCAGTTTGTCTGTAACATTTGCCACTAACATGGTACGCCATTTTGAAAATTAAAAAAAAATAACCAAAAGGCCCTGGCTACTGATAATTTGGCCTGGACAATGTTAGTATGAAGGTCTAAAATGTTTATTAATATGATTGATGTTGACTCACTTTAAAGGATACAGTGGTCTATTAAAAATTAAAAAAAAAAACAGGTTGAGTTTGTTTTAGATTTCAAAGCACTTCTTCTCAATTACCAAAAGGCCCAAGGATAAATGGCTACTAGGTTTGTTAATAGGGTTGACTTCTACATTTGTTAACATGGTTGACTTTGATTCACTTTCAAGGTTACAGTGTCAGCCAATCAGGTCACAACAGTCTCATGAAATATTCATGGAATTTGCTGTTAATCAAAGTTGGACAAGGGATTCTGGAAACAAGTCTACCAGACCAGGTCTTCAAAAGCAGCATCCAGATGGATGAGAGGATGGATGGAGAACAAAAGGACAGATGGAGCCCATATGAATAACCATCAGCAACTTCATTAGGTGGGGATAATTCTTTCCAAACTGTTTAAACCTACTGAAAGTTGCTCTGACATCTTCATCAATAATAAAGATGTTTGTTCGTTATGTTTATAATTGTACAATATTGTATAATTGTAATTTATCTTACAAAATAAACCAAACACTTCCATAGAGCAGAAATAATCTACTCATAAATACCTCATTATATTCAGTGCACATCCATCCAATTGATTTTTTTCTGAAGTAAATTTCATACGATATTTACAATGTTACAAATGTTGGTTAATTACCAATAAATGAGTAAAGTCCTGATGCCAGCTGATGAGGCTTGCATTGAAATGTTCCTTTGTGGTCATGACAACTGGGTGGGAGTAGTGATGTGTCTTCAGCTTTCCATAAAAAAATAATAACTTTGATATCACAGCACCTGTGTCAAAGAAACATTGATATGATAGATTAGATTGTCTCCCCTTTGACTATGTGTAAGAATGGGAAATACATGAATAAGACACTGGTTGAAATGGTTCAGCCAAAAACGAAACAAGGGAGATCAGGCCTAAGGTATCTTCTTATAAATTATACAGTTTATGCCCATACAGATTGAAATTGAGGAGGTACAAACTGACAAGAATGTAGGTAACTTTTGACAATCAGTAAATATGAGGAAAAATATTTACCATGCAGATAATTGAATATGACTGTCACAATACTCAATAGAGTGATTGCAACAAGGATAATCTGTACAGTGTCCTGACGGGAGAGTCTCATTCTTTCCATCTCTGGCCACATAGCTACACCACCTCCTACACTCAGACTGTCCACCTTATCCTTTGCTTCAGCATGCTTCATAATTAGGGTCTGACGATCTTTAAACACTCTGCCTGAAAATGAAATTCTACACATCATACCACTTGTGTGTATTTTTAAATATGACACAATGCTTTGGCTGCTACAGGCTTTTGGGAATAAATCAAAACTGACATCCAAATGTAACATAATGAAAATGTGTCAAAAAAATTGTTTGATTTAATAAATGAGCCAGATATCAACACATATACACAGGCATGCAATGACAGAGACAAAAACCATCAAATATGTTGTGATTGGGCACTACAAAATATCTTCTTAATTCAAATCATGAAAAGAACCACTTATTTTTTATTTTGGTATACATACTTATTGTGTGTAAACAAGTGTAACATTATGATATACAACATGTATTCTATGTAAGCATACACATTAAAAAGTCTGTAGACTGATCTGAGATCAGTGCACGATACAATCCATCCCTATCTGTTGTAGATGTGTCCTTCAGTTCATGTAAGACACACTTCACCCCAATCATTTCGGATAGTATGTGTTGGGCCTTCTACATAATGTTTAGTGAGGTAGTTGTGTGTACCAGCTATGTATTATTTGGAATCTGTGTGTTAGAAAAATAACAATACAGGATTAATAACATAAAACCATGGCTAATAATGGTATGAATGTTTACCAGGTGTCATTCTCAATCTTTCTAGTGTAGGACTGGTCTTGGTTTGGAAACTATCATCTTCTCCCAATTTTTGGATGTGATTTCTAGTTACACTCTTTCTTTCTAGCCTCTGTCTTAGATACCCCAGACTGTTGGAATCTGGGGTTCTGATCCTACGTGGGGTAGAGCCATTTGCTTCTTTAGTTAATGACTTGGTCCTGGCAGATCCTGGGGTGTCTTGATTAGTTCTAGCCATATCAGACCTAAAATAAAACATATAAATTGTACTTAATACATGCATGATAAGTAATTAAATTACATTAAAAAAATGTTGATATAAAGTGGATGTTCAGAGATGTAAACACTGAAACTGGTTCATGGTATAACTGTACAAAATGGCAATAATGAAACCAAATGAGCTTATGCCATGCTGTGGTGTTTGGTAAGAAGGGATTTTTAAATCTGTTCAAATAAATTACCTAGATCCACTTTCAAAGTCACAAGGATAAATATTTAACATTAAAATCTTGAAAAACAACATGTCAATAACCTAAAGACATGGTCAATATATTTTACCAGTAGGGTTCTGTGATAAAAGGCTTGGGGTTTGATCAGGTTAATGATCAACTCTGACTCTTATGTCCATACTAGTTTATGGAGCAATTACTGAACTTAGCATGTCTATGTATGTATGTATGTATGTATGCTTGATGATGAAGATAATGATGTTGACTGTGTCTAAGAATCTGCAGCATCCTTATGCATGAAGGTTAAAGTGTGTGAAGAAGCTGATAATGAGGATGTGTGATGCTGCTGTGTGACGAGGATGATGATTGTATATGATGACGTTGATGTCAGATGCTGATGTTGTTTGTATATGTATCAATGCTGGAGTGCTAGTATGGCTGCAAGTTATAAATATATGTTTAGAGTGATTGTGTTACATAGTGTCTATGATTGTTAAGATATAGTGTGCAACTCAAAATGCTGTGTGTTTAGTGGTGAAAATGATGCATGACTATACTCTGTAAGTGTGTGCAGTGGGAGTTATAGACTGACAGTATATATGAATCTATTTATTCCTCATGTGTTTTTCGATAAATAAAAAATGAAAAAAAAACTTCTGACTCTTATGACAAAACCTTTTTTATAACAGAACCCTGGGGACTCCTAGAAGTTAGTAATTACAATTCATGATCAGCATCTTTTACCAAAATAAGAATTTACTTGCTCAGTATATTTTTAGCTAATCTGTATATGCATTTTTGCTTAATTATTTCCTACTAGCAAACAGTCTTACTATTAATTATTTAATTAAATTGTGAACAGGTAGTGTGGATTTAGATCAATAATTTCTGGTAATGTCTTCTTTGCCATTTGAAAATAAAAGATATCTTTGGCCAGTTTGATTTGTACATAACACTATATTATTCAATCACAAAAAATGGATGGGAATAATTTTAAAATCTTACTTAAATTAATTTATGTACTGATTATGTTTAAAATAACGGTCTCCAAACAAGTATACTTAAACTGTTGCATAGTAAACCAGGTAGATGCTCGTTGTTCAATGCAAATCTAACTAGTTCCTTACTTTCATTACCTACAATCGGTATGTTTTATTTATGGTTAGCCTCTAATTGGTTTTGGAGTGACAATCCGTCAACACGTATTCCAGCTGGATTTTTGCGACAGGCAAGAGACCGAAAAAAATAAATATGACATCAAGAGATAAAACCAAGTTGTAATGTCAAATCACAAACGAACAAAACCCAAAAAACAAAGATTTATATCTTATGTCACCATTACGTACTTGCATGTACTGTGGTACCAACATTCCCCCTTTTTTAGATACTTTCATTCAATGTGAACTTACATAAAGCACCCAACGAGTTATATGTAGTTACTTCTGTTATAAACTCTTCGTCCATCCGTTCTCATATTTTTTCTTTCCACACTGATTAACGATTACTGGACAATTTGTATAATTTTAAATTCCTTTCATTTGTATCTGCCGCTTCCCTCATCAAAATATAAACAATGGTCTTGGAGACGCTTATTCATAACGTTACTGTGGGCTTTTACAAACATTATACTGACAACGACACCGGAAAACGGAAGCGGGAAAAAAGAAACAAACACAACACGTTGTAATGATCAGGTAATTCCAAAAAGTTTTCTCAATGTTCACTTATCAGTGTTGTAAATCTTTGTGTCTAACATTAGTTTTTTCTAAGTATTCGCCCCAGAAATAACTATTGACAACCCAGGTTCGGGCATTCTCTTGTCAAGTGTTCACCTACCAGTTCTAGGCCTAGGGATGGTTACAAGTACTAGATGTAATAGGACTGGAAAAATATGTTACTAAACCTAGGTCTGAACCTGGAAACCTCTAAATTCTAGACAGGCGTTCGAACTTCATGCAAGGTTGCGTACAGTTGATCCAGTCAAGTTTTGCTACAATTGTATACGACTGGGTCTTAATTGTTTCCAGTCTATGCAAATACAAGTTCCAAACGACTGGTATTCTGAAACTCAGAAGGCCCAATATTTCAGAAGTATTTACTGTAGTCATGTGTCAGTCTCACATGTCGGTGCTTTGACAGTCATGCAAGTACAACAAATTTACTGTATGATGTCATGAACATATAACAAATAGGCATATTTGGCCTAGCATTGTTTTAACAACCAACATATACCTTAAAGAAGGTTATTTAAACAGTTTAAAATCTTTTTTTTTGCCTTTGAAAAGTACCAAATCATATTTCAATGAATTAAAAATTTCACCATCTGGATTTATGTTTCATTATTTCACAGATGAAGTTTTCGTGATCACATCTATCTAACACAAAATGTTGAAAATAATGTGCCAGCGAAAACAACCAGCTTTATGATATATCCAATTAACAGCTTTGCTTCATTTGTAGTTTTCTGCCTATTCCACTTCACATTTTGCAAAGAAACACTATCAAATTTCAACATTTACAACTTCTGTACTCCATTTCCACAAAATAATAATAAAACACCATCTTAAAGTGATAAATTAGCTATATTCTTGGAAATTAATAACCAACAGGTGAAATGCCACAGTACTTGTCTGCAGATTCCTGGGATGAAGCCTATCAAAGTTTACAAAAAGAAATGACCTTGACCCATATTTTAGGTCACAGGGGTCAATTTGTTAAAACCGTATAATTGATTTCCTGTGATTGACCAAACATCTGACAAGGATGATATTTGGCTGGTCGGTCTCTGGGATGAAATATTTATAGTGTTTGCAAAAACAAATGACCTTGACTTACATTCAAGGTCATAGGGGTAAAATTTATTATAACAAATTCTGCTGATACATCAAAATACGTATGAGCATGATATTTGAAAGATAGGTTTATAGTAGAAATCCAGAAGAAAGTCTTTGAAAACAAATAACATGGACATATTCAAGGTTACAGGGGTTGAATTTGATATCAACTGAAAAAAACTTCTTTTTTGTTGCTGAAAATGCCTAGAGGCATGATGTGAAGTTGGTAAGTATCTTTGTTGAAGCCTAATGTTTTGAAAAGGTATGACTTTGACCCAATTTCAAGGTCTTAGGATAGAATTTGTTAAAGTTTAACCAATTTCTTCTGATCATGACTAATCACAAGATCTAGAAGCGTGGTATTGGGCAGGTAGGTCTCTTGGATATCAACGAAGCCTCATCAGAAAGTATACAAAATGAAATGGCCTTGAACCATATTCAAAGTCACAGAGGTCAGATTTGTCAAAACCTTACAAGAGTTCGCTGGTAAACCAAAAGACTGAGAAGCAGAATATCTGGTGGAAAGATGTTTTTTAGGTCAAAGTCCAACAAGTTTTGATAAAAAAATAGGTGGCATTAAAATTTAATCCAAATCAAAACTGCAACTGTTTAAGACTGTGAAAACTGATGGGATGTATCCATTTTGAATGCCAATGTGCATGTGTTAATGAAAACCATGTGAGTGATGAAGGACCATTGGGCCTGTTATTACTCATTAGATTTCTGTCATAGAGTAATCCCTAACCCTAACAATGCTAAAAAGGAAAACAACAAACCGCAAATTCCCCACCCCCAATCTAATCATAATAGGTATATTTAGTACTCTTCTGTATCATTTATTTGCTTTTATTTATTCCAGATATTAAGTTTAAGATGACCAGAGGTGAGCATTAATGGATGTTTCTCCTGTGACTGGCACAGATGGTCATGGACCAATGGCTTCCACGCCACTTGATCCTCCTGAGGATGACCAGCAGGAAACTAGCGCAACTCTCCTCGCGAAACAAAACTGGCTTCAGGCTCAGATAGATAACCATAAGGCTGAGATATTGGCAGGTAGGTAAATAGACAGTGATGTTGTAAAACTTCTAGTTTACATTACTGGTACTGAAAATTTGTGGTACAATTAGTAGCTTTAAGTATTGTTGTGTTTCTAGTACGATACTCTTGCATATTATTTACGCTATCTGTTGTGTTTGTTATGCAGGGGAAAATAAATTTGTTATCGTTCACAGTAAAACCACACTGATGTTGACTTGATAGCTTATGCCACAAACAAAGCTGAATATTGAGAGTACTTTAATATACATCAGTTGTACCTTACTTATGAATATAGATGTTAATGTTGATTTGAACTAAAACAGAATCTTTGTTAAATGAGGTAAATGAAAACCAAATTTCATGTATATGGAATTTAAAGAGAAGTGCAAATAGTTAACATTCTTCAAACAAATCCTGAGTTTATTACATATCATTGTTGTCATGTGTAATAGTCAGCCATTAAATGCTTTTATACAAAACCTAATTCAGGATCTACTGCTGATGAAGATACAGATGGAAAAACTGACGTGTGAGTACATTGTACAATCAAATCACCTTTTTGCTGACTTCTTTGTTCTCCACAATAATGACACTCAATACAGTTCTCAGTTAACTAAATTTATAGTTAATTGTTTTATTTTAAAATGTTTCATGATAACTATCAAATCTTTCAGGTAATTTCAGAAAAAGTTTTCTTTTCAGATTGGCTGATTTGGAGAAGGAACTTTTAGATGAATACATTGAGAAAGACAAAAAAGAACTTATCATTAAAAGGTATGACTGATTACGGAAAGGTGACAAGAGTATGCTTCATTTAGCTTAGACATGCTATGGTCATTCAATTTAAGATACACTGCAATGGGTTATGATCTTGACCTAGGTTAACATGTTGAACCACTATAAAACTAGAGCTGGTGATCACATTTGATTTAAAATTGATTTTGTAGGTTTGTGTATTATGATATGTAAGAATATGATGTACATCCCTTACAGCTCTGGATGGTCAAGGTTATATGAAACTACTCGGGATACTGAAAGAATGTCTGGTGTTGCATAACTAACACAAACAATGACATTTTGTGGTACATATTGTAGATCTTTGTGAACTAGCTTCTGTTGTCTTTGTTGATCCTAAAAACATCATATCATAAGTGTCACAAAATGAAAACTCTGGCGTAAAAAATATACAACCGTTTCACCGGAAAGTGCTGTACACCTCAACCTCTTCCATTGAAAGTCTGGACTCATGCTTTTACTGTGTGACTCAGTGAAATTTGGAGAATGCATTATATATATCTATTGGTATTTTCTGGACTCATCAAAATTATGGAGGTGCCTAAAATATCCTGCTAAAAAGATACTGCTATATACATATAGTATAGAACCTCATCCATGGGAAATGCTTTCAATACGTAATCATGTTTTCTTATATGAGTCTGCCTGTTTTACATATCCCCTTTTTTGAGGGGGATACATTTATGGAATCACAGTAAGAGATCTGTTTGTGTATACTGGGAACATTTGATATTTTTAAAATTTTGTTCTAGAACTTCTTAACTGAATGAAGTTACACCAACTGTTTCCCCTGGAGAGTTTCTGCCATGTCAATGTTAATCTTATAAATTATTAATAACAATTACTATAAAGTTATAGTCATATACATGTATGTGTACTTGTATCTAAGAAAGGCAGGAATCTTTAATGAGTGTGTACAGGTATTCATTACAGATCCATTGTGGCATGTAAATGTTTGAAACATCAACATCTTCATTTCCTGGCTTTCTAAGTCATTGACATGTTCTAGACAGTTAGGTAGTAAAAATTTGTAACCAATTTTTTTTCTTTGTATTTTTCAAGATTTTTCAAATACATAAAAAGTATATAAACAATACATCAATTTGCACACACATAAACATACATCCTCATCATTATCAGCACCTTCATGTTGATGCATTCATCATCAATATTGCATCCACATCATGATCGATCAACATCATTATATTTCTTATGTATTTGTTATGTATATATATCAGGTACCCACATAATTTCATTTGTATGCATATACCATTACTTGTAAGTCTTAGTTTATCAAATTTATTTTGTGTTCAAACATATACCAATGGGAAAAAATTAATTTCATACATATATGATAATGTACATTGTATTATAAATATTTTATGTAAAACTTTGTATCTATATGATAATGTATGATGTTCAACAGGATGCAGATGGGAAACTTCCTTATAAAACAATTGTTTGAACAGTCCACATCAGATGATATTGACCCAGCAGAAAAGGAGGAGAAGGCGGTCAGGGTGAAGTATGTACAATACCATGGTTTCCATTTCTCTACATTTATTCATTCAAGTTCATTTAATTCATTATAACTTTAAATACTGTCTTTTTGGATTTTGGCATTCTCACAGCAAAAATATTGAGTGTTGGTTTCTGCAGTTGTTAAGAAATAACACAATTGGTGCCCTTTCACAAATATTTTTTCAAAGTACATTGCAAATAATATTTAAAAATTTTGAATTTTGCTTTTGTTTGTTTGCACATAGTAATACTGCAGAATTTAGCCAAGTAGACTAATTATAATGCATATACATCTACACAGTACAGATAGAGATCTAGCCATGTGTGACTACAACGTGTACAATATCATTGGTTTCAGATATTTGAAAGAATTGCTTGACAAGCAATGTGGACTTGTGAGTGGCATTATGAAGAATCAAAAGGTATGTTGGTACATCAACTTCATTTTTAGTTTCTTGTTTTTTTTTCTTGAATAATCATTGTCATATTTTTGTTTAGTATTACTGTATTCCCAGCTATTTTAGCTGTTAAAGTGTTGTCCTATGTAGCTTCAGGTGAAGATCAGAGGTGCATGGTTCAATGCACCGTACCCATGTTGGTTTGTGAAAGAGCTCACAGGTCTGGGATGATGAGGTTGAATCTTCAGGATGTAAGACCCTTTACCCTTCATAATGATGTGGATGGCATGCAAAGGCCATTCCATATGTTTTTTAGTGAGACAGCCACTAGAGTCAATACGAGGAGTATCAATCTCAAAATGACCCTGACTGTTCATAGGGTGGTGAACGCAGCAAATTCACTTATCTATATATCTGCTGGTTTGCCTTCTCTCCATACTTGTTGACAAATCCACATCAACAGAATTCTTGCTGGTTTGAATTCACTGATTACAATTATCACCATAAACAATACTTTCACTATAAAAACTATTCTTCTGTAGACCGATTTCGAAAGGGGAGATAATTCTACATCATGGACATAACAGTATTAAGTCTTACAGTTGTGGTCTTGTCATTTTTATGCCTTCCTGAAGTACTTATTCCAGTAGGCAACAGATGCCTTTTTTAATGTATCTATTGCTAGAGTTTGTAGAACTGATTTACATCTGATAAATCATGGTTTGTTTTCAGGAAATGGAATCTAAAAAGAAAAGACTTGTTGATCTCAAGAAACAGAATTTTGGTAAATACAATTAGAAGTGGACATATTGTATTTCAAATAATAATGAATTGTTTTTTCCCATTATGAGCAAAGATTATTGTAGACTAGAAATAAAGATAACTTCAAAAAACATCATTCCAACAATTTTAAATTGAAAAAGATATACATGTATATGATGTATTGGTTTGCCCCTATTGAGTTACAGTACATCTCAAAAAGCATGAAAATGTCTTCTTTTTTACTGTTAAGATCCCTTTCTTCGAAGTGTCAGTCTTTTTGAACACATCATCAGAACTATGGTGTGTACATGACACTGTTTTGATTCAGGCTAACACAAATTGAGCATTTCAAGCTCAGTAAAATGTATATTATAAGTTTATCATTTAAGATCTAAATGTTTGTTATATAAATTTGTCTTAACTAGGTATGATTTTACATTTCATTGTGAATGGAATAGTCTTACATATAAAATTCAACCAAGGTCTATTATTTTGCCCAATGTTACAGTCAGAATCTGTGAGGCAGTAACTCCCAGTATGCTGTTTTTCCGTACTGAAGCTTCTCTAACTACACTTTCCCATTTTATGCAGGTACATGCTGCTGTAAAAATGATAGTAAAGATATTTGTGTTTGTTTATTCAGCATGCCTGGGAGTTGTTGAATTCAGTTAAGTTTTGTGTGTAACCATGTACAGAATGGTGTCTTTGTAATTGATCATGGAAAAGTGTGACAGGCGTTCCAAAAATTGCATGTTTTGCAATGAATTTATTTAAATTAACCTGTTAAGGACTGTGAAGTTTGACAACGACACTTATTTACAAAGATTAATGTCACTACAGGGGGACAAAGTTTGATAACAACACTAAGTCACAAAGATTAATGTCACTACAGGATGACAAAGTTTGGCATCAACATTATTATAATCCATACCTTTAGTCATTCCTTAATACTTTCAATCTACTTATATTGGATTGATACCTGACCCAAGTTTCAAAGTCAGGGATGCAATCTTTTAGGCATACCAATTATAAGGAAACATTGAATTCTCCGCCCTCAAAAGCCATAGAAAATGGTGGAATTGCTTTTAGGCATACCAATTACAAGGAAACATTGAATTCTCCGCCCTCGAAAGCCATAGAAAATGGTGGAGTTGCTTTTCCTTATGAATGTTATATACCTTGTCCTTATAATTTAGTAAATTAAGTAATTTAGTATAATTTAATCCCCAGTATTTATCTTTGGTGGAAAAGCTACTAATACACACACACAAGATATCAAATGCCTTTGAGCTGCATTGTATTGATTAGTAGCTAGTATACAAACAGTCTTTCATATCTTTGAATTACTTCCCATTGACTAGTACTAAAACACAGGTATTAAAGAGTTGAGTTACCTCTTCGACTAAATGTAAACAAGTTATTAAAGATCTGAGTTACCTCCCCTTGAAAACAACTGCAGGTAGATGTACTTAATCTATTATGTAAACTTTAGCATGTTTTTAATGACAAGAACTTGAAGGAATATTTTACCTATAACTTTCATGTTCCCAGAATTTCTGTCACATCTTCCAGTCTGTGGTTAGGTATACCACTAACACATTTTAATCTTTTCTGGAGTGAAAAAAAAAGAAAATCGAAAACAAAGGAAAGAAATGAAAGAGCAAACTAGTGAGCCAATCTGTTTTTATCTTTGAAATACTTACCATGTTAGGAATGTATAATCACAATTTTCACTTAGATTTTTGTCCATATCGACACCATTAATGTCTGAACAAATTTGGGTGGTCTTAGGTCAAGGTCAGTGGCTCAATTGGTCAAACTTGACCACTTTTCAAACTTTTAAGGGATTATCACAGGTAATTACATTGTACACTGATCAATCTGTAGGAGTCCCTTCTCACTTTGTGTGTTTGAAGAGCAAGGTTTTATTCTAGGCTCACTTTGTGTGTTTGAAGAGAAAGGTTTTAGGCTCACTTTGTGTGTTTGAAGAGAAAGGTTTTAGGCTCACTTTGTGTGTTTGAAGAGAAAGGTTTTAGGCTCACTTTGTGTGTTTGAAGAGAAAGGTTTTATTCTAGGGCTTCACAACAAGCTGATGGGGAAGGGGTGTCATGTCAGAAGCCATGGTCTCACAGTTTGAAGAAAGGTTTGTGATTATAATGTTTCATATATTACAGATCAAATGAGTGTCAACAGACAGAACATGCAGACTCTTCGCGAAAGAGAGAATCCACAGTGTGCTGACAATCAGGATGAAGAAACAAAAACGTCAGTATTTCTTCAACTCAGGTCCATTCACACCATACCTCTCCATGAATTAGTACTTCATACCCTCATAATATCATGGTCGAGGGCATATGGTATTCAGTTTAGGAATTTTAAGGAGGTAAAACATTCACAAAAATGATTAGACCAACACTGGACATTTTAGCCAAACTCTGATGGAATTTGAAAAATAAAATTTTTGCTATTTCAATTTTATTTAAGATTTTCTACTGTTGATAATGCAAGCAAAACTTCGAGTTTTGTTTCATGAGTTATAATACTTTTCTTAAAGAGCCAATAACAATGAAAAAGTCAGAGGTACTTGTGCCGCTTTGACGCATATAATTTATATCACAGTTCTTTGACAATAACAGTTGCATATCAAAAATTGTAGCAGGATCCCCTCATAAACCAGTTTACATGTTCTTGACTTCCTTCATACTTTTAAAATACTGAGATGTTGATTTACACGTTGACTTTTGAATCTTGTATTTAAGTTGAAATTACAGGCAGATGTATAAAACCTTGACCCTTATGTCTTTAGTATCTATAAACTTTCTTTTTGCCTTTGCATCTTATGTAGAATTACACACAAAACTGCTAAATCTTGTGTCTTTTGGACCCAAGGGGTTGTGTGTCATTTGTAATTTTAGGGAAAATGACATAATGTTGTGTGTTTGAATGTGCACTTTTACATCTATGTAGAATTAAAGGCAAAACAGCTAAATATTTTGTCTTTTGGAATCATTGGGTTGTCTCATTTGTAATCTCAGGCAAACTGACCATAGGTTGTGTGTAGGAATTTTCACTATTGTGTCATATGTACAGACAGCGCAATCTAATCCTGTGTTGAGGTAGTAGGTGTGATATGCTCTCACTTCTGCACCTGAATCCTATTCTTATATACATTCAAATGTAGATCTGATTTTACAGATGGCCAAACATCCCTTCTTCAGAGAACCTAATATTAATGAATCTTTTTATAAAATAAAAGATATGATTTACTTTGATCATAATAGTAACAAATAGAAAATCACTGATGTGTTCTGAATCCCCAGCATTGCTCAAAAATGTTGGCTTTATTTACATACGTTTTATTATTGATTTTTTTTCTTCAAATTATACTTTGAAGTTTTACTACAGACTGGTTTTAAGCTTATACAATGTACTTTTGAGGTAATAAAAGCAGCCAGCGTTCTTCTCTAACTGTGCATGTGATTGATTGGTCCATTTGTACAAAGCTTCAAATTCATCTGTCATCGGAACTAAATAGACTGTTAACTTGACCCAACCCTAACAAAACATCAATTTTTTCCACATCAGATCATGAAAAACCTTGTCTTGGTTTATGTTCTCGACACCTCTGTACCAACCTGTCACCTAATTATAGCTGCGCAGGCCAACCTGTCACCTGGTTGAAGCTTACCTGTGCCCTTACCTATTTTGCCGTTGGCTATATGTTTTTGTTCTTTGTTTCCTTGTTGTTTTGGCTACCTTCTACTAAAAATGGACATTGTTAAAATTATATAGCAAAACCTTCATTATCATCGATGGTGCTGGACTATTCAAATTGTCTTACATCTGTGGTCCATGATCCGCCTGTCTTCCATCAATGAACAAGTCTTGTTACCATTATTTCCTGAGAAGTACTGGATGGATCTTCCACCAATTTCAAATGAAGGTTCTCCTTTGTCCCTGGTTGTGCCCTTTTGTTTTTAATCAGAAGAATAATATGACTGACAGGCAGCCATCTTAGATAATTGCTATTTCTTGAGAAGTACTAGGTGGACGCTTCTCAAATTGCTCATATAGGTTATTACTAGTCCCTAATGACTGAATTTTAAAGGACAAATGAAGGTTGATCGTACAATGGTGAGCATCAAGAAACTTTTGGGATCTCTTGTTGCATCCACAAATCTATGTTATGGAAGATTCTTGTTGTTGGCTTACTTGGGATCAGCAGTATTATTGTGTTGCTGTGTCAGAGGATTTGTTGCGACAATGAGCTGCTACTTTGCAATCAGCACTGGTATCCACATTAACATGCAGAATTTTCTTTTACGAAGATGTCTTGGAAAGTTTCGGGACATCAGTAATCAGACACAGTACTCCATAATAAAAAATGCTGCAGTAAGAAATTCAGATGTTTTGTTTAATAAGATATGTGCAAGTGTCAACTGATCAATGTAAATGACATATCATATAAAATATTTTTTATTTTACTTTTTGTAGACTGTTTGAAGACCTGGACAAGAATCTCCAGAAGATTGCAATAGTTCGTAATACACTACAGGCAGTCATAGTAGGTAGTGGCATCAACTGGGCACAGGACCCGGCCATGCAAGACCTTGTTCTCGATTTGGGCAAAAAACTAGAGTTGTGATACTATCACAGCAAAAGAAAATTCCTGTCAGAATTTGTGTTAAAATTTTCTAACTGGTTTGAGAGGTTGACAAAAATTTGTGCTGTACTACAGAAATAGGTTAAACAGGTATTAATATTTCAACATAATGATGTGTAGGGTATACTCATTAATGAAAGTAACAACTCCAAACAGAAAGACTAGATGTGGGTCTACTAGTCCAAAGTCTTATTTCCTAAAGAAAAACGGAGCAGATTTTATTATGAGAAAAGAAAGTTAACCACAATGCAGACAAACTTGTGTAAGTTACACATGGAAATACCATATGTGTTCCTATATAATTACAGAGAATGGAATAGTCTCCCTTCAATATTTCATGAATTGTGTAAATTTGTACATTAAAATGTGATGGTGTATCGTCTCCTTATTGTGTTATATAGTAAATTTTCTAAATATTTTATTACGTGTTCTATTTTCTTTCATTTGTTAAAGCACATATCTAAAGAATGGTTTCTTCCAGCGCTCCTTAGGTGTACTCTTATTTGTTCCAGGGGCGATGAATCTTTCTCATACATGAGACAGGGAAATCTTTAACCCTTGTGATGTCACAATTGACATTATATTTACAAGGTTCTTGATGCATAGTTGTGGAGGGAAGTATTCTAATAGGAGAGGAATTCAGAAAATTTATGAAATATAGAGACAGTAAATAATGTGTGTATGTCTGAGATAGATTTATCAATCGTGGATGTTTTTTTCTCTAACCTTGGACAGGTAAATCAACACTTTACAGGTGTGAGATTTCTAGGGGGAAGATAAGGGGATTTAAACAATTTAACAATAAAAGGAGATTCCTAAGGAAACAAGACTGTGTAAGAAAAATAATCAGGATGATATCAGCCCTTTGGGAAGATAATTTAGTTGCAAACACTCAGAATTCTCTTGTTTGCCTAATGTAATTATCTTATCCCACAACTCATTATCAGAACTAGAGTACACACTTTAATCACTGCTCTTAAAAGTTTTGACATTGTCCTTAAATGTGATCGTAAAATCTCCTGGAAGAGTCTTGGAGTTTGATGTCTTAAAATCTGAACCATGCAAGGACAAAAAAGACTTATTAAAACTACAGAACAGAATTGGGAGGGGTCTAACCTCATACTTTGTAACATCAAAGTCATGTTTATTGTACAAAAGTCAAATACTTACTTATCTAGTTTACCCACCAAAAACACATGGATAGTACAAAAACAATGGCGCTTTCTCAAGGAAGCACAATCTCACTATATAAAGACAAGACAATACTTTAATTTGTTTTAATTTTTTGTACAATTTGTAGTTCAGATAACCTCTGTGAAATAAGGTAGAAAAAGCTGGAGCTAAGTGTCCATGTTGTTGTTTATAGATGCACGTGTCACGGCTATGTACTGGTAGTGATGGATATCTGTTTATACCTGCTGTTGATATAAAGTATCCAGATGTATGACCTGCATAGCTTTATAGGTATATGTACACACTAAAAATAGATATCCATGTTTGGTTACGAAAACATCAGATAATTGAATGTGTGAAACAATCTAGTACATATAAGTATTTTCCAAGATTTCGCCTGCATAAAGACTCGATATATATACACAAGATTCAACACGTACACGCTCAACTTTCTTACCTTCGAACACAATTGTTTATGTAAGTTTAATACTTTAAAAACTTCTTTTGACCGACCACGAAGAGCGTTCTAGCCTCTTTTGTCGTTACACTCGTGTAATGACATGTGCATACAAGAGCACGTTGACATACGAGGCTGGTAATTGCCAAGTGAATTAAAACCTATTATAAATGTCTTCGAGGTACCCCTTTACAAAGCCACCCAGAGACTTTAATGCTAACTCATTCCTACATGTCTTCGAGGTACCCCTTTACAAAGCCACCCAGAGACTTTAATGCTAACTCATTCCTACTTGTCGTCGAGGTACCCCTTTACACAGCCATCCAGAGACTTTAATGCTGGCTCACTCCTACATGTCTTCGAGGTACCCCTTTACAAAGCCACCCAGAGACTTTAATGCTGACTCATTCCTACATGTCGTCGAGGTACCCCTTTACACAGCCACCCAGAGACTTCAATGCTAACTCATTCCTACTTGTCGTCGAGGTACCCCTTTTACACAGCCATCCAGAGACTTTAATGCTGACTCATTCCTACATGTCGTCGAGGTACCCCTTTACAAAGCCACCCAGAGACTTTAATGCTAACTCATTCCTACGTGTCGTCGAGGTAACCCTTTACAAAGCTGTCCAGAGACTTCAATGCTAACTCTTTCCTCCATGTCGAGGTAACCCTTTACAAAGCTGTCCAGAGACTTCAATGCTAACTCTTTCCTCCATGTCGAGGTAACCTTTTAACAAAGCCACCCAGAGACTTTAATGTTAACTTATTCCTACATGTCGTCGAGGTACTCCTTTACACAGCCACCCAGAGACTTTAATGCTAACTTATTCCTACATGTTGTCGAGGTAACCCTTTACACAGCCACCCAGAGACTTCAATGCTAACTCTTTCCTACTTGTTGTCGAGGTAACCCTTTACAAAGCAGTCCAGAGACTTCAATGCTAATTCTTTCCTCCATGTCGATGTAACCTTTTACAAAGCCACTCTGAAAATGTAATGCTAATTCTTTCTTACTTGTCGCGGACTTATTCCTACATGTCGTACACTTCCATTTAAAGATCGATATAACGTGTTAACCTATAAGTCAACTTCATGTTTCAAGTCCTATGTAATGGTCAGGAATTTCGTTATCATCACCCGTTAGATTTTTATCCTCTGTATATACTATGTAGATATAGTAAATGTCTCATTCTGATGTTATACTGTTGATTACACAGGTATGATAACATGTTTCTCTTCCACGGGTATATTTCAGATGGCTAACAGCTGGTACATATTCGTGCAGTCCTAGATGTAAAATACTAAAAGAAATAGTCATATAAAGAACACTGTGATTTTAAAACCGGTTTATTTATTGAAGAAAAATAAATATGCAAGACTTTCAATATTAACAATTATTCACATCGAAACTGTTACGAAAGCCTATTATTCAAACATAAGAAAAAAGTAGATGAACATCTCATTAAAGCATGATAATTATCTAAATTTTATTTAGAACATTAATTACATGTAGTTTTCCTCTTTTCAGATACATCATAATAGGCTTTCGTCAAGAGATGGTGCGCTACACAGATAATAGATATTATTGATGACTGACAAATTCCGTAGATGTCTTCCTAGTTTCTACAGTATTTGTAGATGGGTGCAAGATGTCTATTTTTTTCTAAAATTTTCATTTAAAAGGGGGATATTACAAAACACTATTTTCTGCATTAGATTATTAGATATACAGAGTAAAAATGATAAATATAACAACCAGTTATAAAGTTTGTGAATTATACATATTTGGTCTGTATCATCCATGATTTCCAGAGGGAAGCTCCGTCTAAAACCGAACATCTTGATTTACAATGCAAACAATGTTTATATAGAACACTCCTGCTTTTTAAAATGAACTTTTGATATTTTCTATACATTGAAGTAACGAGAAGGTTCTGAATTCCAGAGTCTAGGTACTGAATGACTTTCTGGTAATTCAAAATAAACCAAAACTCGAAGAGATGAAGACACTATTACATAAACAAATATCAACATTTTTAATAATGCAATTAAAATTTAAGATATTCATAACAAGTTAATGGTTTCAGAAATCCTAGAATTACCATCTTGTTATTTCCTTTACATCCATACCAAAGAAATTAAAGGTGTGGTCTCGTCAGTTCCCCAGGGGGATATATCAGTACTACAAAATTCATACCCGGTTACATCGACCAGCTTCAGAATGATAAAATATTACTTTTATCTCAAACTTGCAAGATAATTGGTTGCTGTCATTTCTGTAAAAAGGGTGTTTATTCTTTACTTCAAACCCTTTATTGCACAATTAGGCCATGTCGAAGAGATGACTGCTATGAAAATATATTACTGGCATTTTGGTCTTGATTATAAAACGATCGTGTACTTATCATAGGTCGGTCGTCATATATATAACACTAACGTCTCGGACTACTGGATTTCTTGGGCCGACTCGGTAGCACTTTTATAGCAACCGTTTCACACGTTCGCTTATAACATAGGTCAGACATTTGATTAAATAACTGTCAGCTGTGAGTTCCCGAACCTGCACTGGTCAGTTAATGGTCAGATCTGATGACCATCTGCTTGTCGTTGATGAGTTTTTTTGACCTTGATCATAAATAAAAGATTCTGCTCACATTTCGAAGGAAACCACCACAATATTTTATAAGTCACTTATGTCAACAACACATCACCGATTGAAGCTAAAGCAAAGCAAACTGAAGTCTGTTTTTAACAAAAGCATTGCCCAATGGCGTCGCGATATTGTCTTATTCACTTCTGGGGAGGCTATCAGTTTGTGTAGTGGATATCGCATACTATGTATACACAAAAAGCCACATACCCAATAAAAGAATATATTTGGAATAAAAAAAACTTAACGGATATGCCACTAGCTTCTTGACAAAGTTTATTATTGGTAGGCTTGAACGGCGATCAAATGTTGTTTTTACTGACTTTCCCAGTCGTTCAGTAAGTAAGTAATGAGTCTGTCCCAGAGAGATGTCTTCGGTACAATCCGTACAGCAGTATTTTGCCGCGGAATGACATTTATGCTATATTTGCTGTTGTCGGAAAATCCACCAGCCAATCGCTGTCGAGTTTTCTGTAGCGACAAGAAGAAATTATCATCATTGGCATAAGTATTTTCTTTCTCAGCGGATGCTGAATTCTTAAGAATACCGTCGTCTTCGAATCCCTTTGAAGCCCTTACTGGGAACATTTTTAGTCCCGTCAGACTTCGGGTTTTGCCTGTGTAGTACTTGCTTATCTGCTCTGATCTCGTGAGAGGCCGATAATTAACGGAATGACGGTTGCCGCGGATAGGATCCACAAAAGCAAGTCTCTGATTGGCTAGATTTGCATTCAATCTGCGATTGGCAAGTGACTGAGCCAATCGCTGCCTGCTTAATCTTGACGCTAACCTTTGATTGTATAAGTTTGAAGCAGCGGAATGCAGTCTTAATGTATTCTGCTTGTTCCGTGAAGACGGTTGTCTGCTTACAAAACGATCATTGAGGTTCCTGCTAAGATCCCTTGTTGCCGGTGAGGTACGCATGCTGCGCCATCTGTATAAGTAGGGTGCTGGAAAATAAAAAGCGTAAAACCTTATAATAGAATTTTGTCACGTGATAACCAGGGAAACACCAATGTCATTTTTTTGCATTTGCGTTTATATCACCTAAGGTGATGTCATAAAATGACGATAAAACGATGTCACACATAATTATGTATATTACACTTGACAATAAATAAATAATTTATACGGCGTACAGTGCTAAGATTAATTAACTAATTTGTAGAGTAGTTTCATTAAGAGCAAAACAAGTAAGCCATCTTCGAAATACAGTTAAATTATAATTTACAATGTATTGAATAAATTCGCGTTTTAAATCAATTTACAATGTACCATAAAAAATTAAGTCATGAAATGTATTCGACAAGTAGTCGTCTGTTTTATGAAATGAGCTACTCACTCCAGACATCAAATTCAAGACATACACAGACTATATTCATATCTTTGAAGTGTAGTATTTAATCCAGGTAAATTTCCCTAAGCTTTATCTCCAGAGATTTTTATCAAAGAACAATTATAAAATGATCAATATGAATTCAGTGTACAAAATGATGCCTACTTATTGGTTGTCAGGCATCTAGATTCCAATTATATACACTGAACATTATAAAACCTATAGATATGTTATGTTTTACATCATGTCAAGTCTGATTGTCAAAGTCATTGCCACTTTAAGTAAATGCATATAAATATATATAAATTTTCGTGTTTATTCTCTTTCCCGGTTATGGGAACAGTCTTTTAAATGAAAGATAAATTGTAGATCAAGTATTATGTTGTAGTTGTAAGCTACATTGGAGTTCCTTCGTTCGTACAATTACGTGTATAATCAAGAGATGATAGAAGAATGATCAACTTCTTGTTGACAAGATCTTTCTTGTTTTTGGTAGTATGATCTTCCAGTCTACTATTGGTTTAGACATAGGAACTAACCGTGCCTCTCTCTTGAAAGATTGTTTTTTTTAAAACGAGGCTGAATGTATCATAATCCGAACCATTCTTTCGTTCTATCGAATTTCTAACAAAGGTCTGAAGCCAGCTGCTGACTGATACAAGAAAGTCGATAGTCATCACAACGATTTGGACTGAAAACATCAAAGATCTTTTTCAAATTGATCTAAAAGTTTTTGCTAAATCCTTCAATTTCACTCTTAGATGGCCATCGTATTTTATGTCCATCAGAATATGAAATCCAGGACACTACATACTTTTCAGACATCTGTCGCTTACCCCAACATTTTCTTACAGTGCAACCGACTAGGACAGCTGATTACAATTTCCCTGTTGTGAATTTTCCTATTCTATCTAGTGTCAGTCATGCTCCCTAACTATGATGACGACAGCTACAGTTAAACTTAGAATAAGAGCGGTCTAGAACGTGACCTAGAATTGACAGAGTGGGTGTCGTCGATGAAGCATAATGCAAGATATTTTTCACCCTTTTAATGGCTTTCTTGGATTTATTCTCTTGCTCAACCCCCATTTCGCCGATTTTGAGTTTCAAAGAAGTTTTTGGTAAAATGTTCACATCACTAGGACGATGTGTTTATTGTTATTTTTCTCAATTATTGGACTTAGTTGCGTAATTTCGTTCTTTTAAACAATGAAATATTAATTGTTGTGAACAAAATCTGACCATTTCTGGAAATTAATTGATTGACGTTAGATATATGCAAGAGATGTATAGTTCAGTACAATACAGAGACTATACGTGATGAATAAGACTATAATATAGTTAAATTAATATCTTATATACTAGGACGAAACAGGTGTATGGTGTAGTTAAGTTCATTTGCTGGTTCTACTGTATCTTAATATTTTTGAAAACAATTGTCCAAATCAAGGAAGAAATATCACAAAAAGGATCGAATTTCTGAATGAGGCATCTTCATCGAGTTTGGTGGTAAAATCTTCCAACAGACTATTGGCATACCTTTGGGAGCTAACAGCGTTCCTTCTGTTTGCCGACTTGTTTTAGTTTTCATACGAGGCTGAATTTATTGAAGAGTTTATCGAAATAGTTCACAAAGACCTTGCACAGTGGTTTCATTTCACTTTCAGGTACATTGGCGACGTCTTGTCATTAAATAACAAGAAATTTATTAACCACGTATCTTCGTATATACCCAGCAGAACTGGAAATAAAAGACACGACAGACACTTCTATACCTATCTCTACCTTTTCCTACAATGAAAACAACATGGGGAGCTTTCCAGGAAGCTGTACGATAAGCGTGATGATTTCAATTTCTCTATTGTGAATGTTACGTTTCTGGATAGCAATATCATGCATCCCCAACCTTTGGTGTTTACATGTCACAGGTGATTCGATATTCAATGACCTTTTCACATTATTACGATTTGTGTTCAAAAAGTCGTAAACCGAGTGTAACCGGGTGTCATTGATGAAGCAGAAGACACTTAATCTTCCGGAATACCTGGTCTTATTCTTCTTGTCCTTTTTTCAGGAGTCTCCGCGTAAATCTTTCTTTTGTTCATATTTTGCCCGAGTTTCGTGGAATTTGATTTTGGATTATGATTATGTTGACATATTGGTATTTCCTTGTTTTTTTCTGAATTCCCATTGAAAGATGCTAATCATTTGTATGTCATTTGTATAATCTTTGATTATTTCCACGAATAAAACAAACTGCTTAAGTCTTAGTCAATGATAGACTCATTCCCCTATATGATTACTGCAATGCACACTTCATTGCTATTTATATATGTTGTATTCTGAGTAAGGTTTAATATATGAAATCGATACATCGTATACACAGTACACCTTGTAAGCTACCAAGAGCATGAGTATTACTAGATATATGACAAGATATATGTATAGTGGTTACTAAATTATTCTTCTGTCATATCCTGGAAATTCCATTTGTATACTGTGTAGGCATTAGATTCGACATTACATATTTGTTAAAGCGAGTTTTATGAATGCATATGCTACACATGCAGCTGGTGTCATGAGCAACCAGACGATTCATAACGTCTCGGAACGGTTTGTTCTGGGCGTTAATGTATATCGATGTTCCTATATCACAACCACTTAAAATATTTTCCGCCTTGTTGTGATAGAAGTACACGTCTTCATAACCTATTTAAACAAGACCGCGATTTCAACCCAAAATCAACAAACAAGAACATTTCGAAGAAAAGAAAAAAGATTGAATCCACTGGAAAGTAGAATACATAATGTAAAACAGATAAAGGGATAAATTTCTACGAAAGCACATTCCGGTCAAGTTGTGTTTTATTTGAATTCGAAATTTTGATATAGTAACTCAAAATTTCGAGTTAGTAATCCGAAATTTTGAGTTAGTAAGTCGAAATTTTAAGATAGCAACTCAAAATTTCGAGTTAGTAATTCGAAATTTTGAGTTAGTAAGTCGAAATTTTGAGTTGTTATCTTGAAATTTCGGGTTGATATCGCAAAATTTTGACTTACTAACTCAAAATTTCGGATTACTAACTCGAAATATCGAGTTGCTATTTCTAAATTTCGAGTTGCTGTCTCAAAATTTCACGTTGCTATCTCTAAATATCGGGTTAATATCTCAAAATTTCGGATTACTAATTCGAAATTTCGAAATAAAATTAAACACAACGTGGCCGTAGATTCCGTAGATTTCACTTTGATAGCTGAAGAACGTTGTATTCTCATGACCAGAAGTAGTCTGCTAGTCATCTAAGTGATCTTTGTAAATCCTGATCTTTTAGCATACAACCTGAGTTTAAGCATAGGTAAATTATCATGAATACAACGCCATGTGTTTTAGAAAAGTTAATTCTTCTATTTCAGATAAAGTAAATTTTTGTCATATGTTAGGACTGTCACGCTCTCTGAATGAAAATTGGAGCAGACAACATTGCGATATTACCAAGATGCAAATGAGCGCAACATTGAAAAAGAGTAACCACAGAATCATGATGGTGACTAAAAGGCTTTCCCTTGACCTACACAAACCTGTATTTGTGTTGAATTTTTTTCCCATCAGCAAGCAGTCGATATCTATCACGAAACATATTGAATCCATAGGTAGCTATAAAGAGGAATAGAAATCGTCATGTCTTTCGTAGAACAAAGTGTGATGCTGCTCTAGTTGGTTACGTTGTACGAACAGATCAAAGTTATAGTTATGTATATAAAATTTTATGATTTCAAAAGGGTTATCCGGATGACAGGTTACTAAAAACATAGGACTTGGATGGTCTTTGTTTTTTTATCTAAAAAATTCTTTTACATTCGACTTTGTCTGTAAGCAAAGGTAAAAATAAATGTCTCGAATAAGGCACGGTTCGTTCCTATAACGTTCCCAATAATTTCTTGGAAGGACTTTTGGCAAAACTCTTTCTGGGTTGGCTTTTTCGTATGGATTTTCCTTTTGTCATGAAATAAGGTCCAGGTGCTGTTTACCGTTTTGGGATAAAAGAGCGTTTTTTTCAAAATTAATTCGTTTTTAAGTTTCTTATGATAGTGTAGAGGGCAGAAAAGGTATTAGCTTGCTAGGTACGATTACATTGACAATGTTGTACACTTGAGGATTTTTTTTCTCGAGTGTTGACCATCAGTAAAATTCCGTTACGCACATCCGATGTTGGATAATGAACTCGGCAATTTCCGTTGGACATTTAACGGTTGAGCGATAGTACATTTGTTTCTCTTAATGTCTCATCTAAGAAATTATATATATTGTGATGAAAATTCAATATGCAATAAAACTTGTTCAAAATATTCACTAAAACAGGTAACAATTCAGTAAACATAAATGTGTCTCGTAATAATTGACCCAGTACTGGATATCGTCCTTGTCCGCTTGCTTGATATGCATAATTATCACAGCCGTTCGGACATTGATGAATGACCATCATGAATTTTGCTCCAATCGGTCAACCTCGGTATCTCCTAATACCAGCGGACTGCGGTCTGAGGCCTAGCCTTTCGCACGTCACATGTCAAGCGTGACAGATTTATAGCACAGGATTGAAATTTATACATAGTCTATGCGTATGATGTTGATAAAAGTGCGACTTGTATGCAGGGTGAGTGTTCTAGCTGCCTTTCAATAAAGTACGAACAGTACTGTAACCAGGTGTAAGGTTGTTAAAGCAGAATCACTGCATAAATAGGGACCATCAAATAGCAATGATATAACCTGACAAATATCACAAAGTCAGGCAAGGGGAAACAGAAACAGAAAAAACAAGGAAAACATCAACAATAAGATAAATACTGATGTTGTGAACAGATGCATAAAAAATAAATCGAGAAAATACCAATATGTCAACATAATCATAATCCAAACACAAATTCCATAAAACAAGGGCAAAAAATACAATGAGAATAAGACCAGGTGTTTCGGATGAATAAGCGTCTTTTGCTTCATCAACGACACACGCCATGTAAACCTTGGTCAATCCAAGTAAGTAATATCAGGTTCTCAAATGAGAAAGTTATACATTAAACAAGAAGTAACCCTAATGAGAAGACCTCTGTATAGCAATGATTCCGTTCATCTGCAACTTTTGACCAATGGTTTATCATACTTACCCAGACGCTGAGCACTTCCGGCGGCGACCAGCAGTGTAAGCCAAAAAAGTTCCAAGTTCTGAAGCCAAAAGGAAAGAGAAATAATACAAATGACAATTATAGCCACTATATAGTAAATGCTTTTTCGTCATTTTTTTTTTTTTATAAAAAAGCTTTAATCTTGTGTGTCAGTAAATCCTAAATCGTCAAGTTTTCAACATTAAGACGAGTCTAAAAGCAGTGCTTTTACCATTATCGTCCCCTTCTTCCTCACGGACGGAATAAGTTCAGAATCTGTCACGAAACAATCAAATTGTCAAATTAAGAAGGAGAATATTTTTCCATACATTAGATTTTAGTCGTAATTCGATCGTAATTTGGATATAACTTTCACCATTAACTTGTTATTATGTCCACTAATGAATTTAATTTATCTGCACTCGGTAGTCATCGAGGAGGTTCGTGTCGCCTAATGCTGCTCATCAGGATAAAATTACGACACGATCATTATGACCTTTGACATGGTAATATTTCACCGACAGACACACTTGTCATTTTTGCTATTAAATCTTATGTCGTGTTGGTTTTAATTTACTTATGATTTCAATAAAAAATACAGTATTCATGTTTTAACCGGTGATAGAAATTCTTCTTTATGTCATATCTGACCAAGTCATATAGTTTTTAATTTCAAAGCGCATTAGTCAGTAAATTTCAATAAGATATTACATATATTTTAAGCCATAAGTCATTTTATTGCTTTTAACTTCGACATTTATGAAATAATTTCTTTTCTTTAATTGCTGCACGAGTTATATGTATGTATTTAGTGTATGATCATGATTTCGACGTAACTGCCGCTTTCATATCATGTCAAATACGAATCACTCATAAAAAGCGAGGAAACAGGAACACGTCAGATCAGAATAATTAACCGATCGTTGGATCAGCGAAACTGGCCCATCTTCCAGAAGAATTTCAATCTCTGTGTTGATTCCGATTTGAATTATATTGATTGGAAATGACTTCATAATGATTTTTCAAATTTGAACGTGACGTATTTTCTAGATCACAGAGACCAAATTTATTTAAAGAGCAACACGATACTTTCTTGTCAGAAATGTTTGTCGACGTAAGTGAATTAGATAAATTGTATTTCCGAGTTAAAAAATTTAACCTTTCGTTTGAAATTTATTATTTTAAACAACCCTTTTGTATGATACATATATGTGTGCCCAGGGATCAACAAAAACACATCCATCCTGATACATCAAACCCAACATATATCACTATAGCACCGATGTAACAAGGAAATAAAATCACGTCCAGGGAATTGTTTTATAATTCATCATATCATGGACGCATAAACAGCTACGACACAAATAAAGAAACAGTGTGGGGGGCAATAAACATTACTACTGTGGGACCTGCGCGCGAGTCTACACTGTATAACGGTCAGTTATGAAAGGTGGACAGCACTTACTTGACTGGTTCTTTGTACATGTAGTTTTGATTCCTTGATTATGAAAAAAGCTTAAGTCATCTTTATTCAAATGAATGACTTCACCCTTCGTCTACAGTAGCTATTTGCACGTGAATAGACTCGCCCTTGTGGTATAATTCCAGTTATATAACAATTTTCTGGATGAGCTGGGTTCGTTTTTACTATAGAATCACACGTGTTCTATATCTTATAAGCCGACTCCTGACAAGTAGTCCTTTTGTAACACTCACGTCGTACATTTGTATAATAAAAGTGATTCATTTTTTGGCTCTACTGTATCTAACTCTTAATTGTATTGAATGGTGGTATTCACTTGTTTGTCGTTTGTACAATTTTCATCGATAATACATTTGACTTAACAAATGAATATATGTATCATTTTAAGGGGAAAATTTTTAGGATCATGAAATTTCATTACGTTTAATGCTACATTTTTTTAAAATCGGCTTTTTTATCAGTTTTATCCGAGATTGCTTCTTCTTAAAATATTTTCTTCATGTGTTGCACCAAAGTTGTCGTGTTAAAAGTCATTGCCATGTTTGCAACGAAACATTTTTACTCTCAAATACAATGTCGAAATTTTCAGTTTTCAAACAATATTTATAACACCAGCAGTCGCCTTGCTAGCTAGAACAACATCCATCCTTAAAAAAACGACAAGCATGCTCGTCTTTAAAATAATACCTATCCTAGGGTTTCTTGTATATACAGTAACCACTCATTACGTCTAAATCTGACTTAAATTTCAAAAATATATAAGTATATTTATCAGGATGAAAATAGATATTTTTCTTTTATAATAAAAAATATAAGCAGGGTCCATTTTGTTGATAGGACAAAATATTAAAACTAAACTTACCATGGTAAAAGTCCTAGGATAAAAAAATGCCCAAACACAATCCCAGTCGGATGTAACACTCAACACATTCTTGTAAGATAACTGGTATACCTAGGAGTTCGCCGCCTCCTCCCCTCCTTCAGGTAAATCTCAATATGTCCATATAAGTGTCCGCAAGCAAATAATTCAACCACGGTAGCTGCAGATTTGAGAGATGACTTTGGGATGAGACACATATAATATTCACAGTATTGTACTTGTACAGACAGATGAAATATCGCTGTAGAACTGTTAATTAATGTCTTTCCGTGACAGAAACATATCTAAACTGAAACGACAGACTTTCCTGAGAATTACGGAATATGGGCATTAGCGTCATGAAGTTATATAAAGTATATCCGAGTTTGTGATCTGACCAGTGTCACAAGAGTGATAAATACACTGTGTGACGGTTGTAGAGGTCACCAGTGGTTATACCTCATCACACCATATTGACCAATCAAAGCTTGGGTTTATCACCAGGTGTTAATCTGATCAGTTGCTCGTTAGGGCGTTCACTTGCCGAATAGACAGAAATATCATTAAAAAAAAACACTTCCTAGATTTACGTCATCATGTTATATTTTTCAGGGGTTGTTTTTTCAGAAGAGAAATAACATCCATATATATATATGTTTGATATCATAGGTTTTGGTGAATACAGCGATAAACTATTTCTGAAATTGGTCACATTTATAGTTTAATTAGCAGTGTAGGAAAAGGTTTGTCGTTGGTAATGCTGTATTCTAGCCAGACTTTAATTGATTGCTTGTTGTACCGATGAACTGTAACCGCCTTTCTCCCCGTTTTCCTTGTTGATTGTTCCTTTTCGGTGATAAAGCGTCACTTTTCTCTCATCTTATGCACGCGTTTGTTCTTTTTACCGAAAGTAAATGCACCTGCATTTTTAATCCCAACATTAAGCTCCAATAAAGCAAGTTGTTTCTTTATGGTCTATTTCAAATTTGATCAAATCGTAGGCATAAGTAAACTTTTCCAAATTTTCAAAACGAAAAATGACTTCAATGTAAAAAAATATTGACATTGTCTGCAGCAACTGCTCGTTTGTTAAAACGGACAAAAAAAATCAACCTTTGACATGAACGATAGTAAGTAGCGTTACTAATGGAACAACGTACTGGCGCGCTGGTAGTTAACAACTTCCAGAAGTGTTCAAAGTATCCTCAGGTTGTTCATGATGATTTCTACATATTAAAGTAATTTGCTTTTAGATGAACTGCTGGGGACTTTTCACAAACACATTACCAGCTCTGTTAGTAGATTTAAGGTGTTCCTTTATGTTTTATGCAGTCTAAATGATATTAGCTATATATATGATACCAAACAAGTTTGGTAAATTTTCAGAAAATCGTGGACATTTAAGTGACAAATTATTTGTAAACATGCCAATACATGATCAACACATTCCTTCGGAAGAAAGAAATATTCTTCTTAAAGATGGAAGAGGAATACTAAGGGTTGGTACCAAAGGTAAGAGAAAATGTAGTTGTTAGTGCTAAGAGAAGTTGGAGCTGGTAATTGTGTATTGGAAAGGAATTGATCAAAATCTTTTAGACCAGATATTAAAGCTTTCAGCACATGAAGATATCGTTATCAACGTTTTAAGCTCATCATTCACAAAAGAAATATATGTACATTTGTATTAGCGTATAACGTGTATGCAAAGGTGACAATGCAATATTTGCTATATGAACATTTTGAAATTACGCCGTTTTTCAGAAGGAGAGCGGGAAACAGTCCAAAGTGTAACTGTTTTAAGATTATGTAATTAACAAGTTGACTTGGTGCTTAAGTATCAATATTACGTTTTGGACATATTTTACTCTGTTACGTATGCCTGGTGGTTCCGTTGTGTTTACCTTTTTCTCATTTGGACGTAACATCATCTACTTCAACTGACCAAGATTTACATGGCGGGTGTACTCGATGAAGTAGTAGACGCTTATCCTTTTGGAACAACAGGACTTATTCTCCTGATATTTGTTCCGGCGTCTTCATGTAACTCTTCCTTTTATTCTTATATAGAAAATACACAGGACTCGCCAGTTTTGTCTTTCATAACCCTCTCCAAAGTACAGCTCATATTCTAAGACACTGACCATGTATTCTATTTATCCTGCAACATCGATTGATAATCAGACCATTTAAACTTTAGCAGTTTTGTTGTCAAGTGTTTGTTTACTTAACGTTGACATTATACTGAATCTTGTCTACCTGAAGACGGACGCCAAAATAATTGTCCTGCGCAGATCGATAGTTACAAACTTTATAGGACATGACAACAATATGAATTATTGTTAATAAATTTGTCAATTACAAGATATAGAATAGCTTATTTCAACAGTTCTTTGTATTAGTAAACGTAATCTTAAAAGTATATCCAGGAAGTAATTCTGTCTTATTTACGTACGTGCTAAAATACAGCTGTCTTCGTTACTGTCGAATACAACTAAAATATATTTGGCAGTATATTCCGACAATGATGGCGTCATTTGTAGAACAAATTGCTATGATATTTTTAACATTATAGTTCAATTAAGATCCTGTTTACATGTATTTTCTTTGTTTTGTAACACGTGATTCAAGTTCATTAAATGGTTGACTGTTGCTTTTAGTTTAAGTAATAAGTTCTTTTGTCGGTAGCTGATAGCTCCTCTAATTATTGTATTTAGTTACGTATTACGATATCTAGATGATTAAATTTTACGTTAGAACCTAACAATTATTTGTGTTAATGCATTTAACTAGCACACTAGTTAACGATACCTGTGATCGTTGTGTTACCAAGGCAACTTATCCCTAGATAATTGTTTAACATATAGATAGCAGACGGTTCCTATATATATGTTACTCGATTACTTTAACGGTTGATGTTTAAGTAGTTCACTATTTATGTAGCTTGTTAATAACGCGACCAGACATAAATCGTTGTTTATATTTACACAATATTTGTTGCTAACTAAATTCCCTTTTTAGTTTTCAAAAAACAGGAGGATTTATCGTAATATAAACTGGAAACTTTTCCGTCTAGAATTATTGGCACTCTTATCTAACAAAAGTTTGATTTTAATACATTAATATATTTTGAAAAAAACCCCAGTTACTCTAGACATTGTACCACAGTGACACCGTGCTATATTTAACACACTGACCCGTCACCTCAAGTACCATTAACACTGACCGGTAATTGTCACACCGTGTAGCGGACTCGACATTTAGGAAGCAGTTATATGTGGCATAAGACATAGAACTCCATTCGGTGTCAGCGATTAGAGATGTCTGGTACATGTAATGTTATTTCCATATATATACAGGGGAAAAACGGGAAACAAACGAAACGTTATTATGCTGAACTCCAGCATCACGTACATATTAGAATTTACAAATAGTAACGATATAGACACTATTTAAATAATGGATGCAAATCATACTTATTTCACGATTACGGGGAATAATTTATCAAATGTTAGTTCAGTGACTAGAGTGAAGAAAGTGATCACCTGGATAAGATACTATATAAATCTGGATTCTACCTCACTAGTGAAATTAACTTATCAATACCATATAATCTTCACACACCATACCACCACAAACTACATTTATTGTCATAAATACCATGACAACGCCAACTAAAGTTAATATACACCAAACCACCACTAACTACAGTTTTAATATATACCATGGTTACAATAACTAAAGGTAATATATACGATATCATCACTTATTACAGTTTTAACAGATACCATAGCAGCACTAAGTAAAGTTTAAATATATATCATGACAGCACTAACTACCGTTGTAATACACCATACAACCACTTACATCAGATAAGATATTACCATATCATCACTAACTACACTTTAAATATATACCACAGCAACACTTTCTACAGTGGAAGTATATAACATAGCAACTCAAACTGCAGATAAAACATAACATAACAACACTAACTGCTGTTGAAATATATACGATAGCAACTCTATCTATGACTGAAATATATATCACAACATCACTAACATCACTAATTACGAGGTTAATTTATAAGAGATTTTAACTGTATATCCACTATTAACCATGGTACTTATAAATGTAGACAACGTATTTCCTACGGATTAACTTTATATCGACATACTTAATGATAATACTTTATTGTCAGTCCAAATTATAGATTATTTTCTAATTGTGTTTTTTTATTCTCTGGAACGTTCATTGATTGTCACCGACTCGTAAACACCTCAGGTAAGACATGCTTGTAAATGTCATTTGTCTGATGAAGAAGACAAGCAATCACCGAAGCGTCAAATTGTTTTACTGAACTTATTTTACGTTCCGATTTTTACTGACTGAGAATGTTAGATTTGAAATCAGAGGAGCCGATGTCTCCGTATTTGTAGGAATGCGTCCTACCTGTATGGCTGACTAGGCTCGCTGTGTGATAGGTCTTCGTCACACATCATTGATATTGCCGATGATCGATCCGTCAACCTCGACTGGAATGATTGTTATTTAAGTTAATATTTACTTACCATCAAACACGTTATAATTCATCTATGTTGTCGTGTTACGTGTGGTGTGGCGAAGATGGTCCAAAGTAAAAACAACACCTTTTCTAAACTCAAAACCAGTTACATGGGGCAAAACAAGCAAAAAAAATCCTTCTGAAATAGTACAAGGAGAATAAGACCAGGTGTTCCTGAAGGGTGAGGGTCTGTTATTGTATCGACGACAATAACCTCTATGTAAATATTGGTCAGAAGAAGTTATATCAAACCAAGGCTTGAATGTCTTTGGAGATACCTGATGGTGGTACTGATGTACTATGTTATCGTGATGTTCTAACGCACTGCTTTGTTACTGTCATTCACCGCACTGGGGAAAATATCAGTCAGATCGAAAAAATATCATTATGGAAATCAAACTTATTTTGTAATTTAAATAGAAGAACTAGAAACTGTCATAGACAATTTTGACGGGCTTTTCACCTATTTTGGCCTGTTATTAATGGCAATGCCTGCAAAACATTGGCACTCTTATTACTTATTGTTATCAATAGTCAGTGTCCACAGGAGGTTTTTTTTTAAAGAAATTTCACAATTGTTTACCTCTAAAAATGATAAATTAAATTCATAGGATTTTTACATTATTGATGCCTGTGACCTTGAAAGTGGATCCAAGTCATTCATATTTACAAATTTAACAGACAATTATCTCAGCATTACGCTAATGACGTATCGAACCTCTACGCCTTTCCAAACTTGAGAAGAATATGTATATACATATATGTTGATATCCTACACTGAAGTTTTGAACTTTGACCTCTAAGGCAAACCGTAAGTTGGTCTTTTGTGGAAGTTTGCTTCAAGCAATCAAAAAGAAGTATCTACAGAAAGTTGTTAATCGAAACACGTGACCTCTTAAAAAGTAAGAAAACGTCATTTAATGATATCAATATAATTGATCCATTTGACCAAGTGGGTCAAGGTCATTCACATTAACGACATTTATGTATATATTAGCTTAATATGTATTAGATATCAAGTCTATAGGTCCTTCCAAACTTGAGAAGAAGTTTCGCATACATTGATACCCTACATTGAAGTTGGAGTAAATTTAGTTAAAACTTTTTCCCTGTATCTTATATTGAACTATGGGAATTAAAAAAAAAAAATGACGTAAAACGTCAAAGAAAGACCTCACCGAAGAAATGTAGACACTTAACTGATCGGATTGACATTCTGCATTGAACTGTGGAAAAAATCGAAAAAGTTCAATAATGATTTTTTTTTCTATTTTAAGTGACCTTGACACGTTAGCGAGCTTTTTTATTTGAAAGAATTGCTATTAACATGTAGAAAAAAGTTAGATATGACCTTCCCCTACATAAAATATAATGTAGCAAATTTGTAGGTCAAAAAATAGGTTTCGAGTTACTGCTGTTTTTAGAAGCTCTGGTAACTGGGTCATGGCGGTCATATTGGATTTTTGACCTACTTAAAAATGTGGCATTAACAAGTTCAGATGTACTTCCATAACATACTATATGAATTGCGTGCTTATCCCTTACCGTTTAAAAGATTATGAACCAACAAATTCGGAATAATATTAATAGTAATAATAACGATAAGAAAAAACAAAAACAAAAGGTATTTTCACCTTTTGGTGAAAAGCCCTAATAATGAAAAAAAAAAAAAAAACTACAGCGTAGAACGATGCTGGTGTTCATGGCAAATAAATCGTTCTGTGGAAAAATGGGAGAAAGATATCAAATAATTAAAAAATTTGAAGCTTTCTGGGTTTCATTTAACTCCTAACAACTTTGAACAAAACATATTCTCATATACAGAATAAGTCCACACACAAAGTGATAATTTACCTTTTAAGTTGGAGAAAGTGTTTTTTGTTTTTTGTTTTGTTTTGTTTTTGTTTTTTTTTTTTTAAATATTTTCATGTTCCATGTAATGGAGCACAGAAAAAAATACCGACAGAATATTAATATAAATACAAATGCGATGAAACTATGGCAATCAGCTATTATAAAACAAAATATTCATAGACGCCTAAAAACGCAAAAGATTAAGACCAGGTGTTCCGGAAGGGTAAGTGTCCTCCGTTTTATTGACGAAAACCCGTGATGTAAATCTTGGTCAGAGCGAAAACACATTGTTGTAAAACCCTCATAACAGGGAGGTGGTAAGGTCCGTTGTCTTAATTAAACTGACACAACCATAATTAGGCATGCTTTATGAAAAAGAAAACAAGTGCAATCATTCCCTTGTAGTTTTATCTGGGTCCGTTAAAAACACTGATTGACATGAATGAAATCAATTACTTTTATTGAGCTTATATAAAAATGTATAAACACTTTTTTTTTAATTTCTGCGCATTAAAGTGAATCCTCGTTACTATCATACAACATGTCGATCTCGGTGAACAAAATTTCAACATAAACACTTTCAAAGGCGCTGGCTGGTGAGATACCCATGACGAAATATGAAATTGTTTCCATTCAAGCAGCTAGCTACATCCATAGCTGTTTCGTACACAAACAATTATAATATCTATTATCTCTGGATAGTCTTCAATTTTGGTTTGCAAAGTTTGCCCTTTTAAATTCGGTAGACTGAAATCAAAGTGACTCGCTTCCTTCAAACAACATGGTGAGGGTCACCTTGTCTACTACTCATCTTTAACCCTGACTTAGCTGTCATTTCTGCAGAATGCTACCTCGTCGACATTACTACCCAGATCTTTGGTTTTACTCGTCGTTTATTGAAATATAATATCTGGACAATGTGATTATTCATACACCTGATTTTTATGACGAGCGAAAGGACCATGTAATTGGCGCTTTTACAGTCAATATTTGCGGTTTTTCTTACATTCGGTAGAATTGGAAGGTTCTATTCTAATGTGTGTCTTTTGTACATTATTCATTAAGTAGTCTACTGATACTCTTTATACTCAAAAAAACAATTATGAAAGATTTTTTTTTTTTTTTTTTTATAAGAAAGTGTTAAATTTTTTTCTCACTTGTTAAATGATTATGAAACGAGTTCTCATAAAGTAATACAACTTCATCGGCCTTTAATTGACTTCCCATATAGGTTGTATCAAAAATGATTCGGAATGTCAACGATTGGTAATTAACTTTGAAATATTTGTGGATTCTAGACTTAATTCTTATCGTTTTCCGAACAATCCTTTAAAGACTATCTCTGCATGATGTAATGTGATTGCTATGAATGTTGTTCGTATAAAAACACAATAGAATGAAGGTTTACATGGAAACTGCATTAGATTATTATCCTATAGGTCATTTTCAACATTAAAGTAATTTGGCCCTCGTTTCATCTCTCTACATGTCAACACAAATAACCACGTTGGCAACTATGTCCTCACCAAAACACTTTGATAAGAAAAGACCTACATTGCAAAACACCGGCTTGTCATAGAAAGATCGTCATTTTTTGTTTGTTTTGTTGTGATGTATTCCGTAGACTTTACCTAGATTTGAGGGTTGGTGTTTATACTTGATGCCGGTCGAGGTCATTATCGTCACGACATATAAGCTTTGTCCGTTTAATTAGTAACATAATATAGAACAGCCCGAACGCAACCACTGCTGTAAGTGAAATCATCTGAGACGGTTTCCACACGGAAACGAGGTGTGTGCAGAGTCCACTTTTTATGGAAGCATCGATATATCACGATTTGTGACACAGATATGGAGATGTGACAGGAGTCGAGAATTTATCATTGTCTGCAGACAAATGGAGTGTGTAATCACAGAAATGACCTTATCCTGTGTATATCCTCCTACTATAACACATTAATATATGAACAACATCATAACTGGGAATGTTCATTAATGATTTCAGTTTGAATGTATGTAATGACACGCCCACACACGTATTGACTACCAAACGGAAGTGACTTACATGTATATAAAACACTTGTTTCCTGTCAGAAACTAGTGTTCCGCTATGTAGTGTCACGTGGGTGAAATGTTTCATTCATGGCTTACTTGTCGGTACTGGTTATTTTCGTACCTGTGTATATGCTGTGGTGTATAGTAATCAGATGGCATGTTATTGCACATAGATCACAGAGGGTCATTTTATAGCACTGGTCAGAACACACTTTAGCCAGGCAATGGCGTTTATTGTGACCGATGTCTCATTGCCTCGATAATAAACGTATGTCTCGAGCCTTCAGATACAATTAGGTTATGATTTAAATATACCACCACAATAGGTCAGATGATCATGTTTTCTTCATACCTATAACTATTCAAAGTGTGGTACACAGCAACCCTGAAACTTAATTTTAATTCGGTCAGTAGTTATGGTGGGAACAGACAGAGTGCTGTTCGTCTACAATAAAAACTGCAGTGTTATCACCCCCTCACGACGAATGGTCGATGTGAACCACGGATCTGCATAAGTACATATATATGTACATACGTAATCAGTGGCGTACTTTATCGAACATCCATCTATCCGACCATCATGTTACATGCTCACAACCGTCATAACTTGTACGAGTTCGCGTCGTGACGTCATGTGACAAAAATGATATCACTCTTACTATAAAACTAGAGTTAGCATATATTTCCTTTCTACATTTTGGCTACTGATAACAAAGAATCGTTTCTATTTTTGGTTTAGCACCGTCTTATCTTAAGATGACAGAGCAACTCTAACTAATAAAATAATGAAGACTCATTGTGATGTGATTATCACGCGTAAAATTGGATGAATTGAAAGCATCTAGATAGACGGAATAAGCATGAAAGTTGAAAATAATACATTGAAATCAATTGACAATTCTTTAAAGGGGGAGGTAACACAAGAAGGCTGCTCAGCCCCTTGTTTCAAAGAGTATTATAAAATTTGGCTTCAAAATTCGCAAAAATTGCAGTTTACTTCATTATTTTCTCTACTGTCCAAATTGTTACCATGACTGACGATTCCTAGAAGTACGAAACAGCTGTATGATGCAGTTTAAATCATAATTTGGCTATGCTGTACCTAATTATATATTTATATAAGGATTTACTCGTATGACGTTTTAAACAAATAATACCCGTATGTTAACCTATTCTTTATGTGCTATCTTATTATATGTCTTACAAAAACAATATTGATGGGAATATGTATTAAAGCTACATCCAATATCATAATGTACATTCTATATCAATGATTAAAGATTTATCTCCATTCACCATTAGATTGAGTCGTCATGGAAATAGGAATACAGAATTATCAAGCTAAATGTTAATTAGGAGTATGGCATCATGTCATTATTGGGTCAACTTAACAATGATATCGTATCACCTACAATTTTACATTTGATGAAGATAAATTATAAAGTTACTGGTATGTAGGGTATGCAGCTCTAAGATTGTACAAAACACTGGTGAATAGCACCTTTTAATAAAAGATTTAGAGTTAGATAAAATAAAAAAAAATTATACTTTATTATACACTTATCTGTTTCGTCCTTCTACAACTCGTCAGTGATGAGAAGAGCCATGTTACTGAGAATACATCCATGATTCATTCGACATTTGAAGAAATTTCTAATGAGTACTTCTATTATCTGCAGAAGAGTCAAATGCTGAATTTCATTCATTTTATGTTATTAATAATTTAAATGTATCCTTACGTTGGAGGCAATTAATAAAACGAACACGTGACTATCACATTTACAAGGGTGAGATATTTTTATGGCGTGTGTACTTAATAAACTGTGACCAGTTCACATCCAATAGACAACTGGTTTTAATTGTCATGGCCAGACTTTGTGTGACGTGGGTGATCCTGGGTGCAGGTATGACGTATATACACATTTGTGAGCTGACATTTGTGCATTATTTCCGTGTATATTGGCTTGTCGCCCCAAAACGAGGTTCATACTATCTCCATATAATCAAACAATCAGCTCCGTGATCAAAGATATGTTGTCAAATCAACATGGGTTTGACAGTATCTAGTTTTATTTGATTTTTTTAATTATTTTTATTTTTGTTAGTTTGGTTTTTTTTTTAATTTCTAATTTTAGTGCATTTCCATATGTCGAATTAGATTTACTTATATCTATCCTAAATACCGCTTGAAATAAAATACAGATTAGTGTATAGAAATACAATCACTTAAGAGAATTGCGGTATTTTTGTAAAGCTAACAAATATGACGCCAGCAGTTGCCTATGAAAGGTAAAGTATTACACGATACAATGTCACGCCCTGATGTACCGACCAACCTTAACCGATGCATCAAAAATCGGTTTCCTTGAATTTTTTTTATCACTCTTCCCGAAATATTGACGACATAACAATATCCGTACGAAGCTGTACAACTCTTAAACGGCCATAAAATATTTGTGTCATTTTCATTGTTTGGGATTTCCTAATTAGTTTTTTTTTGTTATCACGAAATGATGTTGTTTTTGTTTTGTATACATTGAGTAGT